TCGTAAAATATTACTAGAGGAAGTTAGTAGATCTAGATAATTTATTATACGCTACTACTATCTAGTATTTATATATATAAACGAATAAGGGGTAGCGATCGTAGTAAGAGGTATTAAGAGAGCTAATATCGCGATATTATAATATTAAATACTCTTTAGGCTAATAATAAACGTTATTATTAAGATAACGAGTATATACTTTATTATTATCTATTATATATAATCTTTATTATCCGATAGAATTAAAACTATTCTATTAATAATCGTTGCCTATTCTCTATATAATATAACTAATAAGGGCGCTTTATAGTTGTTTAACACGATTAATTAAAGACGAGTTTTATCGGATAGTATGGAAGCCATAACTATGACGGGGCATTACGAATTCAAACGCGTCACGGTCAACGCTTCGCCGCGTTTTTTTTTTTTTTTTCGATGAGATAGTTGGGCTTGACGCCATTGTGTAGCGACATCTGAGCGAGCGAGCGATGTGGCTGACTGGCTAGCTGGCTGGCTGGCTGGCCCCTCGAGCGAGCAACGCTAGACGACTCACTCGAACACTTTTGACAATGCCCACACCTACCCACCGCCCGCCTCAGCAATCCAACCGCGCTGCGATCACCCGTCCTTTCTTCCCTCCTCCTCCTCCTACCCCATCCTCAAAAGCTGCGAGTTTAGCCCCGCGATTTCCCGCATGGAAGATCTCAAATACATTCCCTCGTCTGCCTTCCACCCCATAGGCCGCAAGTTTGTCACACCATCCAGACAGACCGCCTTACCACCAACGCGTCCCTCCAACGCACCCGTCCGAACAACCACACGTCTCTGACGCACACGAGCGCCGCATCGAGAGACGCGCCAACAAGACGTCCACCATGCACTCCTTCCGGAAGATAAAGGCGGCGCCTTGGAAGAAGCCAGTGAGAGCAATCTCACGGGCGGCGGCGGTGATGACAACGGTGCGGAGGAATACAAGCAGAGGTGCAGGGGGGAGGACGAATACTGCCATCAACACCACTACTCTACCCGGTGAGAAACTTGGTGCTGAGGGAAGAATTGGCCCGTAAATATTAGCTTGCGAAGTAGGACCCACTACACCCACGCCCTCAACACCGGCGCTCACTCCTGTCATCCTTATCGCCGCATCTCTTTGCCACCCCATCCGGTGTTAGGACAAGACATCAAGAGAGAGAAAACGGCCCGCGATGAAGGGACCATCATACCCCCCACTCCAGGCCGGCGTTTGAATCCCGCCGCTTCAACCCCGCCGGCCACACCTACGCCCAGACCCAGGCCCAGGCCCGCGGTGCGCCCCCCTTTTGACGCTCGCCATGCTGAGCCTCTTGCCAAGTTGTTGTCACCGCCGAGGAATTGGCCCGCGAACATGGGACAGTCATACTCACTGCTTCTGCCCGCCACCCCAACCCCGCCGTCTGCGCCCGCGCCCGCGCCCGCGCTCGCTCCGGCTCCCGCTCCCGCTACCGATCCCGCTCCCACTCCCAGGCCCAAGCCTAGGCCCAGGCCCGCGGTGTGCGTCTCTTTTGCCGCTGATCGTGTCGACCCTCTTGCGAAGTCGTTGTTGCCGCCGAGGAATCGACCCGCGAATATGGGACAGTCATATTGAGTCATATCTACCGTTCCAACTTCACTTCATCCTTACAACAACGTCACCACTTCAGCCGATGCAAAATTTGTGTCGAGAAAGGAAATTGCCTGTGAAGATGGGGTTGTCATACCCACTGCCTCCGAAAGATGGTTGCTTCAAGATGTGCAATATGAAACAATGAACAGTCAAATCAAAGACGAATCGTTGTCGATGCTTTCCCTGAATTCCCAGCATTCTTATAACTATCCAGCTTCATACCATGTGCGCGGCTACTTGGCCTTGAGAGTCTATGCTTGGTATTAGGTGGCATTGGGACCCATTGACAGTCTATGAGACTAGTAGTCCATCTCTTGACAGCTTTGGCTCGGTGATTCGACACCGCCGCCTACACCCATCATTCTCATCGAGGCATCTCTACAACATCGCTTTATCCGGCGCGAGACAGGGTGTCGAGAAGGGGATGGCGCGCAAAGATGGGGCTGTCGTGCCCACTGCTTCTGTCTGCCGCTCCAACCCCGCCGCATTTCTACTCGACGGGACTGATGGATCCTTGCGATGAATTCTCCGCCCGAGCCGATGACGACGGCGATGGTGGATGTGCAGGGATGAGGCGCTGGAGACTGCTCTGGTTTGCTGTAAGTCTACGGTCTGGGCGGACTTTGCTGAATTGAAGCGGTGGTGGGTAGGTAAAGCCTTGAGGTAAAGTAGGGCCTTCTGGGTCGGGTTGGCATTGGCACATGCGGGAGTGTCAGATGCATCGATGGCGACCCTGCGTATAATGCCATCACCCACCAAGAGAAAATGGTTGGGGAGTTGCCATGATCCGCCACGGATATAGACGACTAATCCCAGTCAAACTCTGGTAACGCTTTTTGTCCTGTGCGTGCGTCGATATTAAAACGAAAGATCACCGTCCTCGTCGAGCTTCATATAAAGAATATACTAGATGCAATGCGTACACGCGGAGAGGTTCGAACATACATACCATCTCGACGAACTTGGGGAGGAAAAAGGAAGCGGCCAAAAGAAAAGAGTACGTAGTACCGTTCACCAACCGCCCACATCGCGGGTATTAGCGCGTGTACTACGTACCCGGCTCATTCAGGTAACATTGACTCCATGTATACTTGTTACAATGAAAAGATTGCCTTCTTTAAGGCGCGAACGTTACGGATACCTTATCTTGAATCTATATCAATGTACGGAGTAAGGCTTTTTGTTGCGGGTCAAGCCTCCGGCGCAGCAACAAGAGCGGGGAGGCAGCCTGCGCGTGGAAGTGCCGCACCCGCTTAAGGAAAACGTCAGTCTCGAGCATCGCCCACGTAAACTACCAAGACCGCAATCCGCGTCACGCCGCCAGTCGGTAATCGAGATGGATCACCGACGATTCCCAGCGATCCAAGCGATCAAATCATAGTATACATGCCACACTCGCTCACAGTAGATGCATCCTCCATACTACTACTCAGTTCTAATCATTGATTCCTACCTACCTTGTCTACCTTCCCTGCCTGGCTACGGCTGCCATCTGCACGCCGTGTCCAGTGTCGTCCTGACAGCGGTAGCGATCCTCATGCACCGACTAGCGCTGGTCACCCACCAATGGGGTGTGGTAGGCAAACGCCGATGTGGTGCGACGTTACCTGTCCCGCGTCGGCCAAATCTCGGCTTTTCGTCCGGCGTCCCCTTTGCTCCCAGTACTTATTCCCAACTCCCAACACAATTCTTCGTGAAGAAGAACACGGTCTTGTGACCTTGTGGAGCTCCATGTGTCTTGCCGTTTGCGCGGCCAGCCGCAGCCTCTGGCCCATGTGTGCTGTTGCGGGGACCGGAGCATGCCTGCACGGCGCGTCGCGAGCTTTTTGGCCACCCGGGTCTATCCCTTTGTGTTCCAACTTCCAAGTTCTCAAGCCATCTCTCATGTCCGTCCTGCTATTCCGAATTCGGGGTGGAATTAGGTAGACTCGCGTCTCTAGCAACGAAGCGTGTAATCTCGCCAATCCAATCGCGCGATTCTACCACGGACAAAAGCCAGACTCCGGAGGTGGTATGCCCTGGAACACGAAGGGACGGCACACCTGCCATGTGTTTTGCTCTCTCGTAAGAGGCCAAGTGCGTGTTGAGCGCTGGGGTGGCTGGCAGTGCCAAGATTCTCGCGAACGACATGTCGATCCTCAACACCACGCCGCCAGCGCCTCGCGCCCTGCTTACTTCGTGCGCGCAGACAAAGCCCCCGGCACGACACCCGGCATTCATTCGACACATATGGAACCGTGGCTCACCGCAAGCACCCAATGACATTATAACAATATAAACTATTATCCCCGCGTAATGCTCGTGTTCATATCCAACCGGTCTACATCCACCCTATCAAAAAAACAAATCGTAGTACTAGATCTCCCAAACTTTCTTACCTGTGCGTTCGTTTCTCGCTCCGAGGAGCAGCCGACGCACCGCATGCGATTGGACTATACCTAAAAGAAAAGGTCTGTCTACTTCGCCTTTTAACCACGAACACACAAGCAGCAGACGTAAAGAAAAGCAAAAAAATTAAGTTGTGGGGCTCAGCCGGGGATCGAACCCGGGACCTCGCGCATATCAAGCTTGTAAGACCTCTAATGAGGACTGGGAATTACCCGAAGCACGAATCATACCACTAGACCACTGAGCCGTTGAAAGCGGAGTCCAGAAGTGTATCTGGAGTGGCTTGTTTGATGGTGAAGGTTGTGGCGCGCTAGGGTTATCACTTGCAAATTTTTCGCGATCCGCCGGGAAAACCACACCAAAATCGCACGAAAATGAAACCGCCAGCTGCGAAGACCATGGCCTTGTCCATTCTTACCCAAATCTACTCCAAAAAAAAGTTATATATGTCAGTGATGCCCGTATGGAGATTTGAACTGGACGTATTTTCTGAAGCAAGCTCGTCTTGATTTTCGCCCTTGAAAATTTCCCATCGCCTGTAAACGCTGCGAAAGAATATGGGGAACTCGAATAGAGATATGCTCTTGGTGCTGTGCATGATTGGTGAAGGATTTTGGTGATCGGCGCGGGGCCCAACAGATCTGGCCACTTGATGGATTCTACAGTATCTCAGGGAGGCAGATGCATGTAGGCTCGATTGCTTTAATCTCGCTGTGTGGTGGACTGGCCCCACGAGTGTCGGTGGCACAAGTAGGTTGCAAAAAAAAAAAAAAAAATCCAAAACCCCCCCCATTAACCTACATCTGTCGCACGTGGGTAACAGAATTATACACTGCATGCATTTACTTGCATCTATATCCAGACATCTGCTTCAAACATTCACAAGGCAAGGTGTTACGACACGGCACAAGCGGCTGGAATGGAGATAGTGCTTTAGTACTTGTGATTCTATCTGACCATCGCGCCCACGTCAACGCTCCAACTGCCCCGAAATGATGCTATGTATTTGGTCCCAGCGCTTTTCTAGTGTACTTCTCCTATCGGAAGGGGGAAGGGTTTGAATTTCCTCATCCATGCTGTCGATTTCGCGCTCGTATTGCTTCAGAATCTGGACGAGGCGCTCGTTGACGCTCTCCCGTTCACGCTCGCCATCGTCAAAGCCGTCTGCGAAGCGGCGCCACGTGTTTCCAGGCAGCACCAGTGCTCGCAAAGCAACTTGTGTGCGATGACAAATTTGGAACGAGTCCACGGTGAAGTCCCTGGAGCTTCTCAATAACGGATTCGGGAACGGGATTGGCAGAGCAAGACCTTACCCTAGGAATCCAAGCGCATCCAGCGCATCTTTCTTCTCCTGGTAAAGCTTGGGGAGAATCACGTCGTCAAGCTTGGTCTCGTCCCATTTGTTGGACTCCAAAATGAATCCATCTATAGCCCATCAGCGAACCTATACTTCCGACCAATTGCGGATCGAAGGGCGCTCACACTCAACCAGGAGAAAGTCGTTGCTATGCCGACCGTACGAAAGGAAGACTTCGTCGCCGGGATCTTCCCCAGAGATTAGTTCATCTTGTTCCACATAGGGGGTCCGGGCTGGCAAAAGTGCTCACTATATTCGCGATTGCAGGTAATGGTGAATCCCCTCATATCATGGTCCACCGTGCACTCCAATCTCTTAGCAACACGGCGGTAAAGGGGTCGCGCGTTCACTCACTCCTTCGTCGGCGTGGTTGAAATATTCCATGAACGGACACAGCGCCATGCAGTCATCCGGGGCGAGCTTACGTCTTTTGACCTGCTGCTTGCCCGTGCGAGTGGTTGTCGGATAGTCCCAGTAGAAGGTTCTCGTATTCACAATCAACCAATAGTAGGTGAACAGATCGCGGCAGTCCCTGCTTGGTAGGTACGGCTGGAGGGCGCGCCAGTCCTTCTCGAACTTGTCCTGCTGCTTCTCCAAGAGACCTGGTCAAGGTGAGCATTAACACGACATGTGAGGAATGCCGGTAGTAGTAAGGGTTACGTAGCTCATGAAGAATCAATACAGAGGCATAGACCTACTCTTCGCATGGGCCGGGAGCAGCTCCTTTTCACGTTCCTCCCAGTTCATCGGCATGATTGACTCGAATTCTTCCTTCTTTGGCCACACCGGCTGCCAGATTCGATGCGGAGCATCGGCCTTGCCATCCATCAGGGTCAGATAAGCCGCCAGACGGGCATGGACGGTTGTTTCCTTGGGCAGCTCAACATCTTGGACGTGCTTTGACTCGGTCGTCAACAGCGCTTTGGCCGGGACGGCGACCAGCAAGTCCCCCTGTTTCAGTGGCTTGGTCGCGAGGACGCCCAGACCTCTCCCGGGCAATCGGGCGGGCGTCACACCGTCGATGGTGACTCCAAGCTGATCTCTTGCCCACGTCAGGAACCGCTCGTGTTCCGGCTCCGGCTCCGGGATTACTGCCATTGCGACAGGGAGGTGCTGCTGAGTGGGTGGTGTTGAGGACGGCGGTGCTACTGAGTCGAAGCCGGCATCGACGTGGGCTTCTGCTGATCCATCCTCTGCCAGCCGCGAAGATGAGGAATGTGAATGCAGCGTGAAAGCCAAGGGATGCAGAGCGGCCGGCGCACGCTGCCGCAGCGCCGCCACAACGGCCACCAATTTTCTTTTTTTTTTCCTGCGCCCTACGAAGGCTCCGGTCCCTATCGATAAAGCTCGCGCCAGATCGAGCCACCATCGTCAGACAGCTCTGTCCGCCTGAGCGCTGCTCTCTCTCTCTCTCTCTCTCCCTCCTCCCGACAATGCGACAATGGCAGCAACACTGAAGCGCCCGCTCTCCGCGGCAATCCGAGCCTCTCCCTGCGCTCCGCTCCCGCGCGCACTGCCGCTCTGCGCTCATGCCCGCTTCTCCGTGCTCAACCGCCCTGCCCCCAACTACCCCGGCCATGTGCCGCTGACGACAATCGAGCGCGGCGCCCTGGCCGTCGGCTCCGCCGTGTGGTCGCTCGTCGACCCCCGCCGCGGCGACCTCATCGCCGCCCTGGGCGAAGCCACCGCCCAGCCCTACTTCATCTACCGCCTGCGCGACGCCATGCTGCGCGACCCGACGGGCCGGCGCATCCTGCGGGACCGCCCGCGCCTCACCTCCAAGACGCTGAACGTCGAGTGGCTCCGCACGCTGCCCGAAAACACCGTTGGCCGCACCTACGTCGGCTGGCTGGACCGCGAGGGCGTCAGCCCCGACACCCGCGCCCAGGTGCGCTACATTGACGACGAGGAGTGCGCCTACGTCATGCAGCGCTACCGCGAGTGCCACGACTTCTACCACGCCCTCTGCGGCCTGCCCGTCTTCAGGGAGGGCGAGGTTGCCCTCAAGGCGTTTGAGTTTGCGAACACGCTTTTGCCAATGACTGGCTTGAGCATCACGGCGGCTCTCACTCTGAAACAGAAGGAACGGACGAGGTTTTGGAATATCTACGGGCCGTGGGCGGTCGAGAACGGGCTGAAGGCCAAGGAGGTCATCAATGTCTACTGGGAGGAGTGTCTCGAGAAGGACGTAGACGAGCTGAGGACTGAATTGGGAATTGAAAAGCCACCGGACCTGAGGGAGATCAGACAGCAAGAAAAGGCAAGGAGAAAGGCGGAGAAGGCTGCCGGCGAAGCAGCTCGTCAGGCCGTCGTTTGAGATTGATTTTAGGCAAGCATGCACCGTGTCTCGGGGAGATTTATATTATATCATGGCATTGAGCATGGCAGGAGGGTGCGAGACCACCCTGCAAGACCCCATTCGAAGCCTTTTATGTCGGAAGACGACGCGCAATAACGTAGGTTCAACCATGTATGATGAAGGCTGATGCCATGTTCGCTGTTGCCTGAAACAGTCGTCCGGGAGCAAACGTACGTCAATCAATCGTGAAGATGAAGATCAATCTCGCTTCCTGCTACGAATCGCTCACCGGTTTGTGATGTCAGGAAACAACGAAGCAAAAGATCAAACGCTCTTCATTCCGGAGGTTTCGGAAGGGCAAAGATGACCACGAACCACCAGCGCAATTATTATCCCACAGCCACAGTTTGAGTCCGACCACAACGCCGTACCGATGCAATATGGGTATTCCTCAGATTTTGTCCGCGTGCAGATGCCTTACAAATCCAGCAAGTCGTCGTCGTCGTCGTCCCACCCCCCGCGCCTCTGGACGACGATTTTCTCCTTTTGCTTCTCCTCCTGCTCGGACACGGCGCCCAGGATGTCCTTCAGCTGCTCCTCAGTAACTTTTTGGCGCAGCTGGCCAGACCGGGCTAGCATAATGAGGCGGTTCTCGACGTCCACCGCACGCGACTCCTTGACCATGCGGATGCGGCCCAGACGGTCGGCGGCCTCGGGGAGGAGGATCTGGGAGAGGATGGACTGGCGAGCCTCAGCCTCGCGGGCACTGGGGTGGTGGTTAGGTCAGGGTCGAGACGCGTCTTGGGTAGCGGAGGGGCCAGGGGGCGGCGGGCGGAGCGTACCGTTGCGAGTCTTCCTGCGAGCCTTCTCCGCCACTGCCGGCTTGGGCGCCGGCGTTCTGCTGGCGGAGCTGGGCCAGGCGGGCCTTGCGAATCTGCGGGCGGTCAGCGCGCGGACTTCACGGCGGGCGGGCGCGGGCGGGCGCGCGGTGGGCCGGGGCGGCACCTCTTCGAGATCTGCGTCAGACATTGCAATCTGCGGGCTGGGCTGGTTGGTGTTGGCGGGGCTCGAGGTTGCGTTATGGTGCACACGCAGGACGGAGGCGAGGGTGCAGCGGCGGCGGCGGGGGCCAGCCGCTAGGTGCTCCTACGGCGGGCCACGCGAGCAAATGGCACAACCGCGCGTGCCCTTCCAAGCTGTGCCCTGACGGCTCGGGCTGCGCGTCGCGCGCTGGCTGGCTCAATTGCGCCGCGTCGCCGCACCACGCCACGGGAGCTTCGGCAGCAACGACGGCCCAGGGTGCGGTGGGGTCCGGTGCTTCAGCGCGCACGCGATACCAATCGTTGCGCGGCGGTCCGGGGCGCCCAGGTCTCCTGCCCAGATAGGCATGCGCCAGAGGGCAGAGTCACGAGCAGAGCGCTTGGCCGGGCCGTGACCACGGGAAGCGCCGGCTGCGGCGTTCCGCGTGCAGCAGCTGTGTGGTCGCACGCCGCGCCGCCCCGGGCGAGGGTGAGGGGGCGGGCGCGCCGAGGCACGCCAAAAATAAGAGAGGAGCAGGCGGATGGGCGGCCGGAGCTGGGCTCTGCGGGCTCTGCGGACGCAGGTGCATTCCGTCTCCACGCGTGGGCATGCTGTGCAGGCAAAAGAGCGGGCCCCGCGGTGCAAGGCGCAGCGCTGTTGGGCGGCGCTTGTCGAATACGATTGGCGAGGGCGAGGCCTCCAGCGGCGCTTTGACTCTAAGCGGCCCAAGGAGCCGCCGCAACCAAGCTGCTCGCACGCCGGGATACATCATCGCTCATCTCACGCCTCCCCGTCGACTCGCCCTTCCCGCCCTCCTGCACTCCTCCCTCCGCGCATTCTGCCTGCCGCTCTCCTCGCCCCAGACGCCGTCCCGCCTGCGCGATGCCCATGCCCGAGTAGACCGGCTGCACCCGACCGCCGACGCTCCTATCTCCGCTCTCTGTCACTCCTTTGCCCACGGGCCTCGCGCTTTCCTTGTTCCTGAGCCGATCACCCGTCGTTCAAGCTGGCTGAGTAAGTTGAGCCTCGCCCTGCGTCATCCCGTCCCGGGAGCCTGCAGCCACGGGTCCGCCATTGCACTGCTGACCGGAGGAGACACAGTTCATTTTTCTTTACGGTCGGGGGCTGGGGCCATGGCGGTGGCGGCCTAACACCGTCTTCCCGACTGTCGTCGCAGCGCCGTCCCGTCACGCCGACCAACAAGACGACGCCCGCCATGAAGGCCCTCACCAAGTCCACCTCGACCTCGGCTCTCCCGCGCAATGTCTCGCCCGGCCCCGCGCGCTCCATGCTGGGCCGCCCCGAGTCTGGCATTCTCAACACTATTCCCGACCCGCGCACCCCGAGTCCGAACAACCGACCGGGCTCGAGCTCAGAACGCCCCGAGACGCCGCGCCATCCGGATCTCAACGACGAGGTCGCGACCCTGAGCACCAAGCTGATCAACGCCATCAACCACCAGACGAACCTGGACGACAACCTCCAGCAGGCTCGCGGAGAGCTGGACATGGCACGCCGGCGAATTGAGCAATTGGAGAACAATGCAAGAGAACACGAGCGCGTGATGCTGCGGATGGTGAAGAAGGAGGACTACGACCACCTGGAGATGACTTTGCGGAAACAGTTGCTGGACGAGAAGAAGGCTCGGTTTGCCGCTGATCAAGAGAAGAAGAGGATTGAGAATGAACTCGAGGCCCTTACTACCGCACTCTTCCAGGAGGCCAACACGGTATGTCGTGCACCGGCTACGGCACCGCTTATCATTGTACTGACGTTTTGCAGATGGTCGCAGCAGCAAGAAAAGAAACGGAAGCCTCTGAGCGAAGAGTCGAGCAATACAAGACTCAGCTGAAAGATGCGGAGCTTCTTCTTGCTTCACATCAAGAACAGCTTCGGGACCTCAAGGACGTCATGGCGGCCATGACCGCGGAAAACGACGATAAAGAGACGACCGCCACGTCGAACACGCACAACTCCACAGCACCGTCAACACCAGCCGCCGTCCCCGCCGATCGATCAAGCCGTGCTTCTGACAGAGCAAGCCTTACCCCGAACACACCGCATGATGAAGACGTTGAGCCTGCTCACCCGTTGCATTTTACTCACCTTATCAGCCCTGTTTTGCGTATCGACGTCGAAGCATACAACGATTTCCAGGATTTGTTGAAGACCGCCAAGACACATTGTTCAGCGCCAAATTCGCGCGTCACCAGTGGAAACTACGGCGGACTGAACGTTATGGGTCTCGGATCGATCGCAAACATTTCGACTGCCAGTCTTAGCCTACAGCCCACAAACAGCTCCGAAGCTTCACTGCCGAAATCGGTCAATTCGGTCAACAAAGAAACCGGTGTCATCCTTCCTGCCCTCAAGGAGATCAAATTCTACAAGCGGGCCCTAACGGAGGACATCGAACCCACTCTTCGCTTGGACATCGCCCCTGGTCTTTCTTGGCTGGCTCGCCGGACCGTTCTCAACAGCATGACCGCCGGATCGTTGACCATTGAACCGCAACCTCCGTACGCCAGATACCGCGGCCCTGTCTTTGCATGCAGTCTTTGTGGTGAAAACCGCGTGTCAAAGGTCATGAACAAGGACGGAACCGATCCTTATGCACGGAAGCATAGATTCAGAACCTCTGACGAAAAAGACGCCCAAAGGTACCCGCTGTGCGACTTTTGTCTCAATCGCGTTCGGAGCTGCTGTGACTACATCAGCTTTCTGCGTCTGTGTCGGGATGGGCACTGGCGCGCCGAGAACGGAGATGAAGAGAAATCGGCGTGGGAAGAGAGTGTCCGACTTCGCGAGCGCATGTTCTGGGCTCGTATCGGAGGCGGAGTAATACCCGCTTACATCCACTCGAACAACAGCCCGAGAGGTGCGATGTCAGAGAAACGACGCAGCGCGGCGGCCGACCCAAGGAAAAGCGTTGAAAGCGACCTGAAACTCAACCAAGATGAGAAGGGCACAGTTGGCTCCATCACGGACACGGAGAACAACACGATTCAGGAAGCAGAGGGAGAAGAGCAAGAGAGCCTGGATTCTGTGGAGCAGCAGAAGAGCATCGACACCGGGAGGACGGTGGTGACGATAACGGACGGCGAAGCTCATCTGGAGCAGAAGCAAGACTCTGCTGTTGGCCTCGATTCAGAAGACGAGCGCAGAATTGAGGCAGAAGCTACGAAGCAACTACACAGCGAAATGCGGAAGTCACTCGAGGAGCATGAGGAGCACAAGAGCGAGACGGAAGCTGACAAGGACGCTGATGAGAAGCGCGCGGAACCCGAGACGCAACCAGCCGAAGCCCCGGAGCCCGAGTCGGAGAAGACGGCAACACCAGAAGTGAAGGCCGACGACGATGACGAAAAGAGAGTGGTTGCCGCCGAGGAACCCAGCCCGCGGGCTTCGCTGATGCCAGGCAGCTTTGAGTGAGAGAAGATATTTCTTCTTTTGTCTTCCGCACGCGAACCACCCTCTTGGCTGACAGCAACTTCCCACCAACACTAGTCTCATGGCACGCTCGGCCGCTTTCCTTGCCATGGGGATGTTTTAGAGCGTTTTTGACGATTGCTGCGCGTTTTCGTGTGTCGTTGCTCTCCCTCGCGACCCCTGCGTGTGCTGCGTGTGCTGCATTTGCTGCTCAGTTCACTCGCGCTCTCGATTCGTCATACCCAAACGCAACACGAACCGACGAATAGACCAAAAGTCTTTACGAACGCATCTTTTTACTTCTTCTGCATGCCCGGTCCCTTTGCACGGGATCTCCTTTACTTCTTTGGCCATCAGTACCCACCATACGGACCTTGTAATGCGCGCATACGATACATACCTGCATCTTCAATTCGGACCGGGCTTTGAATCTCCATTGGCGCACTGGCATGGTTCCTGCCCACAAGCTGCTCTGCAGGAGCCTCCTGGAGACAGTCACTTCGTCTTTTTCTCTTCGCGCAGACATTTTCATCACGAGTAGGCAAATTTAATGCATGCGAGTAATGCGGGCAAGCGTCTCTTTTCTCTTTTTTCCTTGTCATCGAGACGTACCCGCATTGCTTGTCGAGAATTCTTTATCATGACGGAGGGAAGGGCATCTCAGACGTCACATATGTCATGGTCGGGAATGGGAATGGGAAGTCCTTGCAGAGAGAGAAGCAGGACGGCTGGTTTTTCATTTTTTTCACGCCTTGATGCATCGGGAGAATGAAAGGGATAATAAGGTATATGGCAAAGCGTCCGCGAATAGACGGCTGCTTCGAAGACCGTGGTACGGATTCGCTCTTATCGGATTGGGCCTCCTGTAGGCCCCCCCTTGTGTTTCGCCTCGTTTTCTGGTTTCAGCGGCTTTTGGCTTCGGACGTTTTGCATAGACTCAACTGTTTTTTGGATGCACTTTTCTGGTGCCAAAAAGAAGGACGAGAAAAGTCGAGCGAGTAAAGGAGAAGTCTCGTTTTTCTCTCTTATGTTTCTTTTTTCTTTCGGGGCATAACGCACACATGTACGATAACGAATGTCTGGTAGGGAAGGGACCGGGTCCTACCGAAATATTAATGGCTTGGTTTTGGACTTCTGTTTTCTTGTGTGTGCCATCTTCCACTTGTGCTTGTGAACGAGAGCCATGATGGATCCCGGCGCCCAAGCAGCTTGGTTGCGGATACAGGAGGCGACATGTGGGCAGTTGAAGCGTCCATCTCGACCTAGATGTCTAGCATAGTCGTGAATGGATGTTCGCATAGGAATTGTAAGAACCTTGACCTTGTTTGCAACATCGTGCGAATCGACCCTCCTACTGCCAACTTGAATCGTGCTTCTTTTGTTCACTCGAGGTATATCTTGAAGGCGCATCACAATTCACTCGATCGTGGCCTCTTTTTTTTTTTTTTTGCATGGATGATCCGAACGGATCACCCATTTGTTTTTTTTGTTGATGATTTTTAGTAGATCTGTAAACATAACGCACCCCCTCCTCCCATCCTCAGCGATTCTCTCAAAAAGTCCGAATCCCTGCATTGTCTGCACTGGAGGAAGGGCTGGAAAAAAAAAATCAAAAGCGCGCTATTGTACAGTCGAGGGCGACAGAGATGTTAAACCACGCTTGAGGGTTTCTCCTTGAACTCTTTCCACCTCCGCCCCCCTCCACCTCCTTTTCCTCCCCTCTTCCCCATCCATCGCCCCTTGTGCCGGCTGAAATGAATTTCGTTTGGCTGATCGTTTCAGTACGCGTCAGAGTTGGATGGCGTCAGAGGCCGATTTCCGATGCGAATCCCCTTTCCGGTATTTACATGACCACGCAGCTGAAAGGGCTGGGCCTGGAGAGCGGTGCGATGAGTTTACCCATTTTGGTTTGGTTGAAGCGAGTGTGTAAGCTGTAGATGTAGCTAAAAGAGTGTGTGTTCCGAATGGTGAAGAGAGAATCGGGAACGAGGGCACCGCTGCTGTTTATATGGCTAGGGGAGCTGACGTTATTGAGGCATGAATCTGGCGATGAGTCCACGTGGTGGCAACCGAGGCCCATTCACGTAAACGGTTAAGATTGAGCACTCAATGGAGAGTGTTTGTTTGATAAACATGTGGCGTTGTCTATTGAGGTATGTTTCGGGATGCTGGGCGCGTATTCAAGTTGCTTCTTTTGTCCCCGCAAAGGAGCAATTATACAAAACGACAATAACCACGTCCAAAAATTTGGTTACAAAGAACTTTAAAGACCACCTTTGGACTCGGTCGACTTCCTCTTCCCGCCGCCTTCGCCAATCGAATACCCAATGGCGTCGTCCTTTCCAAGGATGGTGATGTCCTCCTCAATCTCCCGATGCACGACGTTCTGCTTGCCATTTACCAGGCACGCGAGCATATAGTTCATCACGCATCGAACGCCCACCTCTTCGCCTCGCTTGACAATGTAGCCGTTGATATAGTCGACCTCGGTGTGCAATCCGCGGCGGGTGTCGGCCAACATACTGCTTATGTTTTCACGTGTCTTGTCGGCGACGGCCATGGCCATGGTCTCCAGGCGTGAAGTCGCGAAGCGCGAGTCCAAATTAGGCATTCCCTGGAGCTCTGGCAGGGACCGGATGACCAGGCTGATCTCAGAGAGCAGGAGGCGCATGACACGAGTGAAGTGGAAATTGTGGAGCAGCGCTCCGTTGCGGACATCGATCAGAGCTGTTATCGGATTGATCAGGCAGTTAACGGCCAGCTTCTCCAGCTGGGCGCATAGTAAATCTGTGGGAGACAGACCGACGGCGCAAAGTGCAGGGCTGCGGGTAAGCGTGCGGAGCAAGTAGCGCGATGACAATGCCCATATGCTGTGCTCTAGGCCGCCGAGCTCATGTCCAGGGTCATCACTGGGAGGGGCACCAGAGTTTTGGGCAAGGGGGCCTCTCGGCAGTAGACCCAGTTGTATTGTGCCCATGCCAGCATGGGTAGCAGTGAAAGGAGACGATGAATGCACGCCGTGGCTGATGATACCTTGCATGTAATTGGGACGGGTGGACTCGTCAGGAAACAGGTCCCTGTTCACCTCGTCAATGACGCCCATGCCGTTTTGCAGGAAGCAGATGGTGGACGACGTGGACAGGCGGTGCTTGACGGCGGAGATGGCGGACACGGTTGTAGTGGCCTTGGTGGTGACGATTAGATTATCAATTGGTTCCATCGAGTCTGCGCCCCCGCCGCGGGGAGCAGTGGTGCCATCTGGCGTAACGTTCGGCACGTCCGAGATGAATGTACGCATGGGATCGTCCATGTAGTCAATCTCCTTGCCGTGCTCGCGGCGGTTGGGCATGGCGAGTTCAACATCAAAGCCTCCCATTGCCTCAGGCACGCCGGCAGTAACGAGCTGGATGCGTTCGCCGGCTTCGCGCCAGGCGTCTATCATCGAGGGCTTGTGGAACAGAAGTGTAATAGGAGGTGGATCCATAAGAGCGCCGAGGGAATGGGCGATTAGCTTGCCAACGCTGCCAGTACCGATGATGTAGACGCGCCGCGGGACGCCCAGCGCAGCATCGATTTTGGGCTGGAACTGTGTCTCCAGCTGGGAGGCGGGCCTCGTATGGCCGAAATGTCGAGGGTGCGGGAACATGGCGATGGCCAGAGGGCGGCGGGTACGGAGGAAAGGAGATGAGCAGCATGTTGAGAAGCGGGAGTTGGACGAGGGGAAGGCCACCCGGCCGGCAGCATTGCTACCTGCGGGGCATGCTGTGGCGCGGCATGGTAATCTTGGCCGCAGCCGCGGGAGCGGGTACGCGCGATGGAAGCGAGACAGGTTGAAGGCCGTGATGGTCTCGGCAGGGTGTCGAGAAGTCTCAATGGATGGCCAGACGAGCGGGTAAGCGACGGGCAGGGCGGGTGCGAGATGGTGTTGGAGCTTAACTCCGATCAGTTCCTAGAAAATCGCCCGCCGTACGCCGCCTCGCTCACCGCCCTGGCCTGGTCCGGTCGCAGCTTTTTCCCGGCCCCGGCGCAGTTGCATCCAAGCCAAGGTCAAACGCCCAACTCCGGCTCTCTGCGCCAACACCCCTCGCCATGGACACTCCCAGTCTGCTCCCGCAGGTCGACGCCTTGGCCGACAATATCGACGACCTGGAGGATGCCCTGGGTCCGCTGCTCCAGTCCGCCCTTTCCACCCACGCAAGCAAGCTGCCGCTGCTGGACAAAGCGAAGCTGTACACCCTTGTCACCTACGCCATAGAATCCATGCTTTTCTGTACGCTTTCGCTCGCATTCGGCCAGCTTTCCATCCGCTGACAGCAGGTTGACAGCATACCTCAGCCTGAACGGCGTCAAGGCCAAGGAGCACGCCGTCTTCACCGAGCTCACCCGCGTGCGTCAATACTTCCAGAAGATCAAGCAGGTCGAGGACGCTCCCATCAAGCCCAACCAGTCCCTCGACAAGGCCGCCGCCAACCGCTTCATCAAGGCCGGCCTCGCCGGCAACGACCAGTACGACAAGGAACGTGCCCTGCGCCAGGCCAAGGAACGCGCCATTGCCCAGCTCAAGCTCGAGCAACTGTCCAGCAAGAAACGCAAGGCTGACGACGCCGCTGAGGACAATGAGGCGTCATCCGAATCCTCCAGCTCCGAGTCGGACGAGGACGAGGAGGAGGAGCAGGAGCCCGAGGAGCCGCAACCCCGGAAGAGCAAGCGCGCCAAGGCGACCGACATGTGGGAAGCCGGAGCATCTGAGGACAAGGGTGGTAAGAAGCAGAAGGGAAAGAAGAATGGCAAGCAAAAGAAGGCCGAAGAAGATCCTGGAGAGCCAGAAGGGGATGCCGGTGAGGATAATGAGACTGGTCGCACGCGGAAACAAAAGTCCGGTCATGTCCCGCTTGGCCACAAGGGCGCGTTCCAGGCGCTACTAAAGGGACCCCTGCCGAAAAGAGACGAATCCCAAGCACCGAAGAAGAAGGGCAAGGGAAAGAGGAAGTCAAGGGGTTGATAGGCCAAGGCCATCACCTTGTTTCTGCATGGCTTTGGCGCATCGGCGTTGCGAGGACTGGGAAAAGTATCGGTATACCAACCCTTCATGAGAGGGTACATTTTGAGGAGTCCCAATCAGGTTTGTTCGTCTTTGACCTCTGCCGATAGAACTCTAATCGTGAATATCGTGCGGTTTCCATGGTACGATCTCATTCCCATGGAACAACATACAGAAATTGGACAACCAAATCCTTTTTTACAGCTGGTACTGTTCCTGGGAACATATGCTTTGAGAGAGCGGAGCAGGACAAAATATTTTAGCCGATCAATATCTAGACGTTGATGTGTTATTTAAAATCCACGTCCAACCATTTCTTTCTCTTATATGGAGAGTACGATGTCTTTATGATCACTTGTAGAAAAAAATGCCGTCTCGCTTGTCACAACCTACTTTGTAACTACTCTAGTTTCAGAGAGTGATCGGAGGGCATTTCACGGCGTAACAATAACTTTCGGGCAGGATAGCAAAAGAAATCAAGGAGAGTGAGGAATATGCTGGTTGCGTGCTCGTTCTGGCTTTTGTAGTCTATCTAGATAAACGTTGGTTCTTTGAATCCCCCATCTACAGTCGCTCATGACGCAAACCTGAGTATTCCTGGTAGTTTCCATTCTGTGGCCGACTGTGGCGGCTTTCAGCTGACTACCAACGTCTATGATGGTGGTCTCATCTTGTCCTCTAACCTCAACGCTCGTTGAGGGTAGCGGATCCGTTTCTGCGGAAGCCGGGGAGAGAATAAGGAGCAGGCTGTTGCTGATATGCTGCGCTGTGGCAGGATTCACGGATGCTCTGGTCTGCCGGCAGGAATATATACTTAGCTGCAGGACCCCGAAAGCCATCAAGATACCAAGAAGGAAGCTGCCAAATGTACGCACGATTTAAACTTGCCGATGAGGGTGATAAGTGTTCGTTGTCGAACGCTACGCGAGAACTGTTGGCAGGCCATGTGTTGATGAGGCAAAATATTCAGGCCAGAAGGCATTGAGCTATCATTTTTTATCACTAAACTACCCATGAAAATAACCCACAGCTCCAGAAAATCCTCTTCCTCTCCCATACCTTCAAGGGCTTGCTGCAATGTCAAGTGTTGAAGAGATGGGAGAAGAAAGCTATCTTTCATGATCGTCCACCACTGTGAGTTCCTCTTGGGATGGTTCCTGATCCGCTATCATAAATCATAAGCCTTGGTGGACGCAAACTGGCTGTGTCGACTCCGTGAGTATCTTCATCCAGCAGGAGTGGAGTTTTTGGGCTTGTCGTCAAGCTTCTCGGTGGCCTCTTGGATGAGTTGCTCAACAGCATGCTTGATATTGTACTGTGCATGCTGAGGTCCAGACCGTTGCGCGGCATGTTGGCCAATCTGTCCGGCCATGTGCTGAGCCGCCTGTTGAGCAGCTCTTCCGATCTCCTTCAAAGCCTCCGCATTGGCCCTGCGGACCATATCCTCCCAATCCGTCTCAAAGGCAATTTGGCTCTTCACGTGGGCCATATAGAGCTCGTTGCTCTTGACCCACGCATCGAACTGCCGCTGCTGTGCTGCATCGGCGGCGTAGATACTGCCGCCGATTGCGCGGAGGAACTCGTGCTGGCGGTTGCAGATGTCGTGTAGTGCAACCGCCATTTCAGTCCTGCTTCCCAATGCTTCACGCATCTTTTCGAACTCCATGTTCTTCTGCAGCAACGCCTTCCGGAGTTCGGAGGAGGGAGGATTATCCAGGCGGCGGGCGGCCGCCATCTTGAGACGGGATATCTCCTCCTTCAGCTGTTCATTCTGATACTGGGCCTCGGCAATAGTGTTGTTGCGCTGTACCACGACCGCATTGAGACGGGTCAGCTCAACTGCACGATTCTCTTCGTGGATGTGTGCTCGATTCAACGGCGTGGCTTGTCCAAGAGGTCGTATGGAAGTGTTATCGCGCAGAGACTTGAGCTCACGAGGGCCGACAGAGAGGCTTCGCTCATCTCCACGGCGCCGCTCCCGCTCGTAGCCCGTCAGTTCGTGGACGGGAGGTGGCGGCAGTGGCGGGAGCAGCTGCTGTTGAAGAAAGCCGTTGCGACCACGGTCACGGACAGAGTCGTGTTGGTTGTTCTGCTCACGAGACCGGCCGTCGTCGCGGCGCCGCTCAGACTGGCTATTAAGCTCTGGTGAGCGGCGGACGAGATCGTGAGACGGACGGTCCCAATCCATGTAAGCGCCGCGTTGGCCGGACCTGCGAGGCGGAGCAGGTGGCAGTGAGACGCGAAGCGGGTCAGCCAAGCGGCGGTGCTGCTGTTGATGAAGCTGCAGGGGCGTCGGCCGCTGCTTGCGTCGAGGGCTTCCTCCGTTTGCATTGCTGCGGGCCATTGTGAGTGTCACGCAGCACGGCGAAGGTTTGGAAGGGTGGAGCGCGGCGGAGGATTAAGCTGTCCAGATATAACGGGTGCGAGGCGCAGCTGCGGCCGGGGCTGCAGCGTCTGGAATAGGCAGTCACTTCGCGCCCTGCGCCTTCCACTTTCGCCACCACGCTTTCGATTACATCAAATCCATGGACGGCAAGCTGCAGTCCATGGCAATGGTTGTCTCACACATTTGTGCCCCAGTAGACGCGCGTTTGCCGCTCGCAATTCAACTCTCGCCCAAGAAGAAGAAAAGGCTCGATTTCCTCTCATAGCATTCAGATCGCAGTAGCTGGCTATCAAGGTACCGTGCTGCCTGGCTCTGAACGGCCAGGTCCCATGAAGAAGCCGATATCCCACATCATGCAACTTCTCTCCTCCACTGCATGCATCGGACCTCCCGCCATTGTGTTCACGCAGAGCATCAGATATCATCCTCGGCCGCCGACTCCCTGCCGCGGTCTGATAGGGCCACCTGCGCCTTCTACAACTCCTCCTTCGCCTCACTGGCCTCCATCTTGCTCTTGATCAGCTCCGCCCGCAGCTCCCGGGCCATCTGCTCTGCCTCACGGCGCTTGCTCTTCTCCACCTCGAGCTGCACTGCCAGGCTCTCAATCGTGACTGGTTTAGTCCAAAGACCCGGCATGACCGTGGTGTTGACATCATTGTTGTTGGCAGCAGGTTCGAGGGCGGTCGGGCTGCGTGGGTGGAAGCGGGACACCAGGTCCGACATGTGGCTGCTGGTCTGGGTGGCGCTATGGTTGCTGTTGCCATTTCTAGTCGTCTGCGTGGCCCGGTGGCTGCTGTGAAAGGTACCGCCGACGCCAGCCTGGGCGATGTGACCAGTGGTTCGGATGTCATTGGCGGCAGTTGCTTTGTTGCAGCAGCAAGTGTCGGCTGTAGAACCCTTGCTGACGGACATCGTGAGGGGTATGAAGCTGTCCATGTTGGTCGAGGCCGGTGTGTCAGGTGAAGTTGAGGTTTTCCGTTTCTTTGCTGGGAAAGCTGTGTCTCAGTGGCTGTTGACGTTTGCGCCGAGTGTTTCTAGAAGAAGGTATTTGTACTTGACAAGGCTACGTGAATGCCTGCCGAAACAATCGGTAGCGAGGACCCTTGTTTTTGATCTCACCCACTTGAAGCGTGGCAATGCGCGGAAACGTGCTATCAAAGTCCTTTACAACTTCAAATACTACTTGTCCACAGTCTTTTACCAGTAGCCACACTGCCGATGTCCGTCATGGCCAACCTGACAACAGGCTGTAGCCAGTTCGGCCGAGCCAATCTTGAAAGAAAATCTCAACCAGTTCAGCACTGGTTTGCTCCGGAGCTCACATGGTCGTTTTGCTGGGGGGTTAAACGGAGGGAAACCCATCGAGTACAGACGTGAAATACTGGCCCGGGAATCCATTGTACGATTAACCTTGTGGATATGCCTCTGGACTAAAGCTTCCGCCAGCGCCGTTGTATTCATATCCTTGGCGAACTGACCTTGCGAGTAGTTAACGACTATGATGGGAATCTTCAGCACTCATGAAATTTCCTGTTTCACCGTCATGCTAGACAAAAAGATGATTCGTCCAATAGGAGCATTTAAAAGAAGACGCCAACAAAGGTTAAGGAAAGCCTAGAGGAGGGAATGCCGTTGAAAGAAGATCCAAGCATCCCGCTATCGAAATCCACCCACTGCTCAATCTACATCTTGAGCATAACAGCGTTAAAGCAGATGCGTTTCAATGTAGACACGGGACGCCAAAAAAAACATTCGAAAAAATATGAGCAGAGAGCCGCCAGGACCGTTGCATTTTGCCGTGCTTCACCATGACTTTCGCCTGTGCCATCTTCCTCTTGCTTGACTGTCCCAAGATATATTGCAAATGTGACACCACTTATCGGCTTCGATCGAGAGCATCGTCACCAAAGCTCTCTGCGTTTCTTCCCCGTCCGTTACGGTTGCTCCAGAAGCCGCCGGCCCAGGACTGCAGCTCATGCAATCCATCCCGCGCCCACGAAAGGACGCCACCGTCCTCAGCACCACGGCCTCCGCCTTCGAGATCATGTTCTTCCACACTTTCCATGCTGGAAATGCTGATTGGGCGTGAAGCAGATGGTGAATCGTTCCGTGTTTGTGCAGTTTCGTCTTGGAAGTCGTCACCGTCGTCGTCGTCGTCAGATAAATGGTGCATGCCAAACGTGGGACGCGCCGAATCGCGGAAGGGAGGGGGAGAGCGCGAGCTTGGAGAGGAATATGAACTCGACGCATGGGGTTGAGATGAAGATGCAAGGCTACGGACGACGTCGCCCTTGCATATCGGACACGTGCGTCGCCGCGTCGTCAGCCAAGGAGTACTAGTAAGTGTCAGTGTTGACATGGATGGTGAGTTGGAGAGCTCGGAACCTACATGCACTCCGCGTGAAATTCATGGCCACAAGGAAGACTCATTACCCTGCTCACCCCATCCACGTATTCCTCGAGACATACCACACATTCCTTTTGACGACCGCCATACTTGCGCCGCCATGCTGCGAGACCCGTCTCAGCCTTTTCTTCTGGGCTGACTGAGCGACCCAAGCCTTGTGGGGTTACATCTCCCGCAGTTCTACTCCTTGGCCGGTTCCGGGAGGAATTGGCTTGAGACGAACTTGATGATTGCAGTAATGGTGTCCGCGGGCTTCCCGCCGCCGGTGTAGCAATGGGGCTAGTTGATGTTGAGCTATCGCTAGAGTTCAGAGTCTGGTAAGTGCGGACTGGCAATCTCTCGACAACAGACTTTGGAGCCCTCCAGCGGCGGCGGCGGATACGAGATCTTAGGAGGAGGAGAGCATATACCACCGTCAGAGTGACTAAAGGGCTGACCACAAGTACGAGCAGAGTGTCAAAAAAGGGGCTGTTTGACATGCTCGTAGGTGTCAAAGTCACCCAAAGACCATCATGTCTGTCCGAACCAGATTGTATGCCAGGGCGACTGCTTTGCATAGCAATTTCTGTGGGTGTTGGTGTGCTCTTCAAACTTGCTTTTGGCTTGAAAGACGATGCGGGGAACGGTTGTGTAAACGCCTCTGCCTTCGCGTCTGGTTGCTTATTCCATGGCAAATTGCCAAACCATCCGCCGTGCTTAGCGTGCTCCCTCTCCTTTGCTGCCGAATCTTTGTCAGAAGAAGCCGGCTTGAACTTTGCATTAGCAGAGCTAAGTTCGGCATACTCCCCGCTTCCAGGAAGCACGTTGCCGCCAGAAAAGGAAGTGGCGCCAGGAGACTGCTTTGTTTTTGATTGCGCAGTCGGTTTCTTGTTGATCGAAGGCTCGGTCTTTGGAGGGAGTAGATCAGGATCTCTCCAGTCTTGCACGCCAATTACAAAGTCGTCGGAAAATTCACCAGGTAGGGCCAGAGACGTCGAACTGGTCTTCTGCGCAGCAGCGGTCGCAGTTCTCGTTCTCATCGGATCCTCATCTTCCCAATCTTCTACGAGGATCCAATCAATGTTTCCACTGCTAGGAGGTCTCCTGCTTTCTTCCGTCGCCGACTCTTTGCGAGAGCCACTACTAAAGATGGCCAGAAGCGAACGGATCCATCCGGGCTTCTCTCGTGAGGTTACATCGCCTCGGACTTCTCCGTTTGGAGATTGGACGCTTTTGGCTAGGTCCTCAGACACTGCACGCCCTGCGGTCTGCTTAGAAGCCGGTGAAGTGGAGGTAAATGTCGGGCCGCTGGCAGGACCTTTCGAGGGTTTGCTTGCTTTCCCAAGAGCAAGTTTGAGTGAATCCTCAGTAGGCAGGTTCTCGATAAGCCCTCCCGAAGGCACAAGAGAAGACAGAAGATGAGCGGTAGTATGGGAAGTGAACAAAGCGGGTATCGTAACGTTGGAAGTATCGCCTCGTGCATACATGGTGACCAAGGGCCCGCCACGGATATCATCGCCTACGATGACGGCAACTCCGCCTCTCCGCTGGGCCCACTTGACCTTCTCCAGGAAACCGCAGCCGCCACGGCGAAGTAAAACGACCCTGCCGGCGATCTCAGCGCTCTCCTGCAGTGACTGGATGTCTGCATGGTCGCTGGATTCGGAGGAGGCCTTGCCCCACGAAGGGGCGTTGGGGTTGTGGGGTTGAACGCGGTGGAAATGGTCGTCGGTACCGTCATCGTTGAGCGGCTTTGATTCCGGCTTAGGGGCGGCATTAGACCGCGATTTCGCACCCAACAGACCGCGCCGGGAGCGACCTGGCTTGGAGGCGTCTGCGTCGTTAGCAGTTCCCGAGGCCTTCTCGAAATGCGAAGCAGACGCTAGCCTGCCACGCCTCTCGTCCCAGCCGGGCACGTCGCTGCAGCCAAGCTCGCCATCGACGCCTGCAGCAAGACCGCCGTGGGTCAGGGTATCACCACCGAAGCCGCTGCCAGTCCAGAGCTGGCCACTGAGGCCCTTTGACGGCAGCGGAGGACCAAACGCAGCGGGTCTGGCGAGGAAGAAGGTGGAGTTGTCGTCGGTCAAGCTGATGATGGCCGAGGGCGGGAACAAGGCGGGGGCGGAGAGAGAGAAGAGCGCGCTCAGCTTGCTCTTCTTGTGTGGGCTCGAGGAAACATGGGCGTCGCGGGCGGGTATGGCGATGTAGAGTAGGAGGGTGACGGCAAGGACGCACGAGGACAGCGACAGCAGCAGGCGAAGAGGGCGCATTTGGGGCGGGTGGTGGAGGCGACAGGCTCGACGCCCGCCGCAGCGATATGGAGGACCGCTGGGAGGAAGCTGGAGCTTAGGGTCGGGTGAGCATCTGGGGAATCTCAGGTGTTATGGAGGCGGAGAAAGGGCCGAGCGGCTCGTCAATCGGAGCAGGGCCGAGGCGGGGCGTCGCGGTGGGCGACGGGGATCAGAGACGAGAAGGACCGAGCAGAGTGCAGGCTGTCGGCGTGGACAGCAGGCGGCGACAGCAAGTTAGCAACAGCGAGGGCGCGACGAGAAGACCCAGGCAGCGCAGGGGTTCGCAGGCCGGCGTCGCGGATGCAGGCTGGCGTCAGGCATCGCGCACCGCCGCAGCTGAGCCCACGACGACGCTGCATGCGACACAGCGCTGCACATGACTGCGCAAATAAGCGCCGCGCCACAGCTAAAATGCCGCTCGTTGCGCATTCCCATGGCATCATCGCGCACATGCTTGCAGCCGCGGAGCCTGGGGCACAGAGCGCCTAGAGCTGATCGCCCGCCCGCGCCATTGAACCTCGGGCCCGGTCTCCGTTGCGCCTGCCCCAGCCGGGCCCCTCCCTCATGCTCAACACCACCATCGCGACAGCCCACGACAGCAACCACGCCGCCATGCGCCTGCCGTGCACGATGCTCGCCATGGCGCCTTCCTCACAACTCCCGCTCTCCGTAGACATTAGTAGCCAATCCAGCTGTCCGCCGCCATGCTGCTCTCTCTCTCTCTCTCTCCTCTGCACGCCGTTGCTACCTGTGAATCACCTATACACCCCTTCAAACCTCTTCTTTCAGCCTTGTGAATCCTCTTGTCTCCGCCCGCTGCCGCTCGCGTCTGCCGTCTGAGACCAACGGACAACTCTCTGGCCTCTCTGCCTCCTATTTAGCTCTCCGGTTCCTGTGCGCACGGAAACTCAGCCGCCATGAACATCAACAGACCCGCCGACAATCCCATCGTGCTGCCAGGCATGAGGGTCAAGACCAGTGAGCGTTCTCCGCCTCGCCGCGTCCATGGCCTCAGCTGGCTGCCAACCGCCGTCCGCAACCACATAATCGCCATGCTTGGCGAATTTGTTGGCACCTTTCTTTTCCTATTCTTCGCCTTCGCTGCTACCCAGGTCGCAAATGCTGCTGCTGCCGGTGCTGCCATCGATAACGGCTCCGTCAACCAGTACCCGAACGTGGCTGTCCTCCTTTACATCAGCTTGGCCTTTGGCTTTTCGCTCGCCGTCAATGTTTGGGTCTTCTTCCGTATCTCCGGAGGTCTCTTCAACCCTGCCGTGAGTATTGTCCCCACGCTCCGCAATTCAGTGCTGATCCCCCACCCAGGTCACATTGGGACTGTGCCTGATTGGAGCTGTTGGATGGATCAGGGGCTTCTTGGTCATAATCGCCCAGATCGTTGGTGCCATTGCTGCAGCAGGTATCGTCTCGTGCCTCTTCCCAGGGCCACTGAACGTCCGCACCACCCTTGGCTCCAACACCTCGATTGTGCGTGGCCTCTTCATCGAGATGTTTCTCACTGCTCAACTCATCTTTACCATCTTCATGCTGGCTGCCGAGAAGCACAAGGGCACCTTCCTAGCCCCTGTTGGCATCGGCCTGTGCCTTTTCATCACACAGCTCGCAGGTATGTGCCGCACCTCATGTTTACAACTTGCGTGCTCACTGCTTCAGGCGTCTACTTTACCGGTGGAAGTCTCAATCCCGCCCGATCCTTTGGCCCTGACGTCATTCTTCACACTTTCAACGGCTACCACTGGATCTACTGGGTGGGTCCAGCTTTGGGTGCGCTCTTAGCTGTTGCTCTCTACCGTCTCATCAAGGCACTCGAGTACGAGACCGCCAATCCTGGGGCCGACTTCAGCAAGCCTGATGCCGAAGTTTTCTACCCCGACGAGGATCCTAATGCTGCGCCCCGAGGCCACCGCTCCTCTGGCTACGACGGAACCACGGAATCTCGCGGTGCACCGCAACCCCCAGCAACTACAATTGTGCAAAGATCGTCTTCTAGCAACCACGTGCACCGCGATCGTCTTCAGTCAACTGCAGGACAGACCGCCTCTGTGTATTCAACTGGCTCTGATCGTCGATCTGATCATTTATTGGGCGGGGAGGCCTACAACAAAGCTCCCGGTGCAGAGGAAGGGGCAATCGGCCTGCCGGATTGATAATACTTCCAGAGATTTGCAGACACGATTGCGTAAAGACGGGCGAGGGCATGTATTTTCACTCCATATGGTGACTGGGTGAGTTGAACACATGAGGGAATGGGATCGCGTTGCTGATGGTTTCACCACCGTTTAATTAACCCAGCATGCATCTGGTGTGGAGGGTGCCTTGTAACTAGTGACTTTCTATCAAGGGCAACGCGAAGAATGTGGAAGACAGTGGCTGTTTCCAGTAGACGCAGTAAGTCGTTGTAGCCCATAATTATTTTTTCTCGTACCGATGCCGTCTTGTGCAACGTTTCTCTGCTGCGACCTGCAAAGCGAACGCTTACCTTGTGCTTTCCAGACAAGGATCCAACAACCCATCGTTCGAGTGAGATTGAATTGAGGACTAGAGCCGTTTGCCTCGGAAGGTCTTGACCGGCCGCATTCGTCAAATGCGGATGGCTGCTTTTGCTTGACGTCTCACCGCTGGCATGTTGTACATGCCGTTTCAGAAGCAGATACGAAACACGTCGGGCTGTGAAATAATGCTTCGCACTTCAAGGGCGAGAACGACGCTACTACTGGAGCACAGAGTAGTATTTCTGGAACGGATACCTTGCACACGGCATTCGCGCGACCGCCTCCGGACCAGCCGTTCATACCGATCCGGCTTGTTTCGATCAGGGATAATGAGGTTGTAGACTGGGCTTATAACCACGAATAGCGCAGATTGACTATGCAATGGCTGATCTGGTTCTCTCAATCAAAGTCGTCTTGCTTCTGTGAGCTTTATATAAAACAAGTGCGCGTAATGCAGAGATGAAGTCCGAGGTTGTCGCGATACTTCGTCGGATGAGCTGGGCCGAATAAAAAAAAGATAAGCAATTTCCTTATCTTCAAGACATCTCCTCCAAAAGGTAAGTCAACGATGCCTGGCTTACAGCCAGGAGAGAACATCTCCAACATTTCATCGGGAAATTAATCATGCTGTCTGTTCCACCTAGGCATATTCCGGGCCTCCGGGATTTGGCGTCTTTCAACCAGGTGGACGAGTGCTGCTGTCTTACGACACAAGCACAAGTTCGCAGTCCAGCTAATGCGGATTAGGGTTGTTGTGGTTGTCGTAGGAGCCTCAGCCTTTCTTACGCTTTTGTAGCTGGACAGCTAAGTAAGAGTGGGGCGGATATGTCCAGGAATGGCAAAGGGCAGTCGACACATCTGTTGAGTTGCAAATGCATGGGAATATGGAGCAGAGTGGTGCCCGCCCGCTTCTGCGGTTGTTAAAATGGCAAGCGGTGGCTGAGGGAAGAATGACGTAGTTCGCGCCTCAACGTCACCTCAAAACCCGCGGCAGGTGCTGCTCGCTGCATCTAAGTTGCAGCACCACCTAACAACCCCAGAAGATTCCAAAGTCCTAGCGACTAATTGACCAAAAATGTCGGCCAAAGTCAAAGAGGTTGCCAGAGACGAAGCCGAGCGGGTGCGCTCGCTCGCTACCCAGGCCGTGAACTCAGGAGCCTATGCGTACCCTTTGAAGGGCTTCCTCTACTTTCTCTCCCACCGCAGCCTCTGGAAGCCGATGCAATCCAAGCTTGCCCCGGTTATCAGCACTGGTGTTGGCGTCACCACCTTCATGTTTGTCTTTACCTACCTACCCCAGGCAGCCATTCTCACCATCTTCAACGGCCCGCTGGCTGCTTTGACGACCATCTTGCTCGTGCTCAGCGAGAGCTCAACCATCGCAAATCTGCTCAGCCGTACCTTCTTTATCGACGACGCCCTTATCGATACCTTCGATGGAGTAAGTCACTTCTTGCTCTCGTTTCTGCGCTGTGCTAACGTCCGCAGACTCTTGTCTCACGAGGAATGACCTCTCTTGTCTCCGAAGGCCGTCAAATCAAGCCTGGATCGGACCCTATTGGCAAGTTGGGCAAACTCATGCAGAAGCCTTTTGCGCGGTTCTCTCCTGATGCCATCATCCGTTACTTGATTTACCTGCCTCTCAACCTCATTCCCGTTGTTGGAACCGTCATGTTCATCATCCTTCGAGGCCGCAAGGCTGGACCAGCCGCACATGCTCGGTATTTCCAACTCAAAGGCATGAAGTCTCGCCAGAAGGAGGACTTCATCGAGCAGAGGAAAGCGGCCTATACGAGGTAAGACCGAGTTGCCAAATTGTACTTCTTTTCTGACGCATTTTGCAGCTTCGGAGTTCCCGCTGTTCTACTGGAGCTGATTCCCGTTGCTGGACTGTTCTTTTCCTTCACTAACACCGTCGGTGCTGCTCTTTGGGCAGCTGACATGGAGCAAAGCAACACTACGGCCCCGAATCTCAGAGACCAAGCGGCCAAGGCGGAATGAAGGTACGGCAATGCCTCTTTATCTGCACCAACTTCGAGCACAAGAATCAGAGTAGTGTGATACCCAACGGATAGCTAGTCTTCCCCCTTGAGTTATGCGCAATTATCTATGGTAAATCGGGGCGACGAGCGCCAACAGTGAACAGGAGTTTAGCATGAACAGCCAAAATCAACCTTTTCATTCCGAATTGATTGTTGCAAATGCATTGTGAAATAATATGTTATCCGTCACTCGCCGAGTTTGAACGAACACGAGCAACTGTGTATGTGGACGAAACAGCGACTGTATTGTAGGCTATGATTTCAGTAATCGCCAAAAAAATGTTGGCAGAAGGCGAGTTCTTGCATTCTTTCAGGTGACAGTGGTTGATGAACGTGAGAGTAACATGCATGGCGTGGAATTATGGGATTGAGTTCTGCATGGGCACACAGGTGCGGGTATAGATAAAGGGCAAATCATATACATACAGCCAATGCCATGTCCCAAAGTACTGTAATTTTTGCCCCGCAAAGTGCGCCTTGAAAATGTGCTCATGCTATGCAATGTGGGGGCTCAAGCCTTCCGGTCCATGATCTCCTGCTGGACGCGGGTGTAGCGCGGCAAGATGACGGGTTGTCTATGGGCACGGGCAAAGGCTTCGGCGACCTGGCGCTCGCTGTCGGTGCGGATGGTGGTGCCAATGGACATGAAGAAGCTGGAGCGGTCAGTAGAGAAGAAGCAAAGCGGGGCTTGTGACGTACCCAAAGGTCGCTGCGGAACCGACCATGTACTGGCCGAGGGTTCTCAGCATGCCATTGGGGCCCGGGCCAAATCTGATGATGTTGGTTGCTCCTGCAATCGGTCAGACGAAGCTACTAGAAGCACTGTTGCGCAAAGGCAGCGACGCACCGAAGATGAAGCCGATGATGAGGCCGACGGCTGGGACGGGAGTCAGCGCGCGCTGTGCGTTAAGTCGATGTGTGCTACGTACAGCCGCCCATCATGGCGCCCATCTTAACTGCGACGCGTCAGTGGAGAGCTGTGAAGACGCAGAGCTAGCGACGCACGCTTGTCGAAGGTCGAGGGACCCGACATGCCGCCACCCACAGGAACGGGCATGATGGAGGTGTTGGGACGGGGGAGTGGACGAGCAGAGGCAGAGGCAGGTCGCGGCCGGACAACACTCGAATCGCGGCGGGGTGCGCAAGCAGTCTTCAGAGCGCGGCGGATGGTGGAGGGACGAAGCTCACACCATTTGCCGCCACCCACCGCCCGCTCGGCTGTTGCCCAGTGCCCAGCGCAAATGGAAAGCACCAACATGAGCGAGCCGCCGGCCTGTGCGATTCAGGCAAGACGTCACGTGATCTGCCGAGCCTGGCGACCCGCCTTCGCGGCGCAAGGAATGCAGCGCAGCGCGAGGCATGTCGGATTATGCGGGCGCGGGTTGTCCACGTAGCCGTGGAGGGGGCTGGCACGCAGGGCCGGCTGTGTTTGGACTCACGCGCAGTGTGCCACTTTGGTGCGAATCTATGATCAGCGGCGCTGTCGCAGCGCTGCGCTTAGCGAGCGCCTCCGCCGGCCAACCTGACACTCGCGCAGACAAGGAGCCGACTTCACTGCCTCTCTCGACTACTTCTCGTCCTGAGCCCTATCACCATCACCTTCTGCGCGAGCCACCCGCTTCACGCCCTCCTCCCGCGCCCCGATCCCCACCGTCTGCCGTCCAGCGCCCTGTCGTCACGGCAGCCCTCGAGAGCGACGCCGCCCTGAAGCCGCCCGGGGTCGCACGTTGCCTGCACACGGGCCAGCTCACGACAGACTTCACTTTGCGACTCGACCCTAAGCGGCGAAGACGAGCCTCCCCGAGTCCGACTGGTTCATGACCACGCCCGTCGCTCGACCCGTTGCACGCCTGCCCCAGCTGCCCTGAGGCTCTCGCCCATAGCCGTGGACGCGCCCGAACGCCAATTGCCTGCGCGCCCCGTAGCGAAAGACAAGCGCTGGAAGGCGACCCTCTTTGAGCACGCTCCATATCCTCCCTGCCCGTCGGACCCATGACGGCTGTCGCTCCTCCCTTGAATTTCCAGCCGAACTCCAGAACGGGATGGAGCGCTCCTAATGCCGCCAACGGCCTGAACTCTATGAGCGCCGACGACGTCTCCAGAATGTTTATGCCCCAGCGCAAGAGCGCCCAGCGATCGAACTCCTCGTCCTCCATCTCTTCCACCTCGTCCACTTCGACCATTGCATCGTCGCCCGCCCAAACCAACGGCGTCTCGCAACCCCAGCCTCAGGACCCGAACGCCTGGGGCTCGCGCAAGAAGCCTGCCCGCGGGCTATGGCCCTCGTCCAAAGCTGAGCCTATCGCTGGAATCTCTACCGCTCGCCCGCAGTCTGTCGCGTCCACGTCGTCCGGTCCCTCGGCTGCCTCTGCAATCTCTGCCCTTCATACACCCTCCTCCATGCTGCCCTCTCAGCACGGCCAAGCCGCGCAAGCGCAGCAGAACGGCGCACCCCGTGCCCAGGGTCAGAACGAGCCGCCTGCAATCCTTCACCTCGTTCCGCTCAACGGTACCTTTGAGCGCAAAACCATCACTGTACCATACTTCCCCGAGGTCCTTCGCATTGGTCGTCAGACAAACAACAAGACAATTCCCACGCCGCTCAATGGCTACTTCGACTCCAAGGTCCTTTCAAGACAACATGCCGAGATATGGGCTGATCGCTCTGGCAAGATATGGATCCGTGACGTCAAGTCGTCCAACGGCACTTTTGTCAACGGCACTCGCCTCTCTCCGGAGAACCGTGACTCGGAGGCGCATGAACTTCGTGAACAAGATATGCTCGAGCTTGGCATTGACATTGTCAGCGAAGATCAAAAGACTATCGTCCATCACAAGGTTGCTGCCAAGGTCGAGCACGCAGGTATCTATCCGAACAACAATGTCCTGGACCTCAACTTCGGCGATCTTGATCCCTCGGTTAACGGGAATCTGCTCGCCTCACCGCTCAGCCAAGGTGTCGGCCAGGGCAGAGGCCGTACTGGCAGCCAAGGTTCCATGGCGAGCAACGGACGTCTCGGCTCGGTACCCCAGAACGTGGCCGGCAATAACATGGCCGGGATGCCACAACAGCGCCATACCAATTTCTGGTTGCAACCTGTTACCATGGAACAGATTGTCAAGAAGCTGAACGTGAGTTGATCCAGAATATCGCGCGCTGGCTTTGCTAACAGGATCGCAGTCTGAAATGAAGCAAGCTAGACAGCAATCTCAGGATCTTCAGCGGACTGGACAGTACATCGAATCGTTGTTAGCGAGCGATCCGAAAAAAGAGCAGAATAAGGCCTCCCCCATGACAAAACAATCGCCACTGAAAGGCGATATCAAGGCACGCTTCTCAGACCCTCCTGCTCCTCCACCATCGCAACCCCTTCCCGAGAAACCGGATGCAGCACAACTATCCTTGCGCCGCGCGGAGACCGAGAAGCCGAAACTGCCCGGGAATGCAAACGCCAGCAAAGGTGATTCTTCCCAAATCACGACTCTGGTCGAGGCTTTGAACAATGCCAAGAAGGACTTTGAGATGCAAAGCGCAAGGTTGAAGGAAGTGGAAGACCTGCTGGTTCAGGAACGTCTTGCACGAGAGAGCGCTGAGGAGCGTGCACAGCGATTGGAGCTGGAAAGAAAGAAAGATGTGGCTGGCAACATTGTCGAGACGTATACCAATGGTGTTGACGACGTTGCAGCGGAAGAGGCGTCTGCTGTCTCGGATGATGCCGTCGGCGCAAAGACGATAACGATCGAGCCGCCACAAGCTTCAGAAACTGGCGCCTCCACTGCTCAGCTTCAACAACACATTGAATCTATGGTTGCGGAAATGGATCGCATGCGGCAAGAGATGGAATCATACAAACAACGCGCTGAGAAGGCAGAGTCCGAAAGTGCGAAAGATCGTCAAACGCTCGCAGAAATGATTGAGAGCATCCGCAAACAAGAGACTGAGCGTGCAACCAAAACCTCTCAAGGAAGCAAGTCGGAGAATGACCGAGGTATAGACACGACAGTTGATGTGGATGGAGCGCAGGATCGAATTTCTCAAGATGGAGAGATCAGAAACTCGTCACCCACGTCTACCTCAATTTCACGAGAGATCGGAATCCAAAACGGACGGCCTCTCCAAAGCGAACAGGGCGCAGTATCCAAGGAAAACGGGCCTCATGCCCTTGTCACCAAGTCGCAGGGAGGCGAACAGCTCGCGCACGTCGGCCCGTATGCATCGATGGTGGGCGTCGTGGTCCTCGGTCTGAGTATCATGGCGTACATCAACGGATGGCAAAAGCCGCTGGAGAGGTGAGGGCCACAGAATGGCAAGCCGTTCTCCGGCCACATAAAATCGTACCAGCGTAGATGGCAGCGACGCACCCAGTGGTGGAAGCACCGCGACGTGCTGCGTGCGAGCACGCTGCCTGAGGCATTGGATAGCCCTGGGCTGAAAAATCGCCCTCGTCCACCGTACAAATGTCGGGCAGACTCGGTTTTCGGCTTGCTTTGATTGCTTGAAGCATGGTCGGATGTCGATCTGGCAGGCGCAATACGACATATTATGGGTTGGAGTACAGAGGAGAAGCACAGCATAACGACATTGCTACGACCAACCACCAGGCAACAAGGATTACCGCCGTAACCTCTAGTAACTATATACCATTCACTCCTTCTTTTCTGTTTGATTCCCCAGTTTCGATTTATCATCCACTCACTGTCCGCCTACTCTCCTTTGTTCATTCCAGCCTCCATACTTCCTTCTCTCGCATTGGGCCTTACGGGGCAGGGCTCATGGAGCATTGGAACATTACAGCGGAGTGGGCGTCGGCGTCGGCGTCGAGAGATGAGCGGTGCTTTATTACCATTGTTGCACTTCTGAGACCTTTTTTATTCCGCTCGGGATCTAGTTGATTGCCTGCGACGTTTTTCTTTCTTGGACTAGTAGTGTAGTTGGCTTCAGGCGTACCGGCAGCTCTTGGCAGCTTCATCCGTGGCTGTTTTCCGTGTATCGGTAAACCATCATCGTTCCTCTCGTATTTCAGGATTGGACGGGTGTTCTTCCGTCTCCTTCCAATGATACATATTTGACAGGATCAGCTGCTGAGCTAGCAACAGTTTGCGAATGCCGTGACTAGGAGGACGGATGCAATGGCTCAAGCTTGTGCCGCACAAGATTCGACACGCAAGGGTACACGTTCGGTGGCATTTTTGGCTTTCTTGGGGCCAGCACGCGGTTCCTCCTCTTCCAGCACCTCCTCGACGCTAAGCTCAGGCCACTGCTCTTTGAGCGTCTCGGCCAGAAAGCGGACGCCCCACTCCTCACAGGAACGGTGCCCCACGCAGATGGCCGGCATGCTGGCGGCAGCTGCAGCCTCCAGGCCATAATCTCGCGCAGCGCCCGTCAGATACAGGACGTTCGAGGCGTCGTCGTTCTCGCCAATCCACTTTGCCTCCTTGGCAGCATGAACAACGCGGTTGATTTCGTCGGGGTGGAAGGCGTTCATGATGGCGACGACGGCAATTCGAGAGTCGGAGCCGAGGGCTGCTCCAGCGGGGAGATGCAGGTCACCGGCGCCGGCAAACTCTCGCCTCACGGCGTCGGTGAGGCTGCCCAGGGAAGGGGTCACGCCGGGCCGGACTTTTGCAACGATGCCGATTCGCCGTTGGGGGTCGCCCTTGTAGCCTTGGATGCACACAGCGCTCGGGATGTGGAGGCCCAGGCGGCCTGCCAGGGTGATGTTCCAGCCCACGGTCAGGTACATGTCGAGGGAGGTGTGGCTGGCAATGACGAGCGTGCCCTTGGGGACGGCGCGCCTGTCGAGCTGCCATGGCCGGTGGAGGACGCAGAGAGGCGGGGTGGAGGACGAGGCGGTGTTGAGAGCGGCGTATACACCGGGAGTGGGTGCTATGCTCAGCACGACGCGGGAGACGACGGTGCGAGAAGGATCGTAGGCGGGATGGCGAGGAGTGTGGTAGAGAAAGTTGACATCATTCGCGGCCGGAGGGAGGAGACTCGACAGGAATTGAGTGACACTGGCATGCGAGGGAGGGCCGCCGCGCGGAGGCAGCACGTTAAAAGTTTCTTGCCTCATGGTATCGAGACAGCACGTTGCAGGGGCGGTGGACGGTGGTGGTTTTCATGGCCGTCTATCTATCGACCAGCTGGCCGCCGCCGGTGCCCATGGCGATCTCCACAAGACGTCATCGGCGTCGGTCGACGACAACGATCCAGTGGCCCCCCACCTAGCTCACCGTCAGTGACGTGGCCTGTGTTCTCAGCTGAACGATCATCGAGACGGGCACCATCATGATGCCCCACCATGGTCTACGATGCGTCGCGCGCGCGAGATGCAGAGCGGCACAAGGGCTGGGGAGAGGTGGCGATCGCCAAGCATCCCTGAGGCCGATCGCGGCTTCGCGGTACAGCCGCAAACACTTTTCCACCCTTCGTTTGCGGAGTCGAGTCTCTTCGAAAGACATGGGTTCCGGCTCGTCTGCTTCATCATCATGCTCCCAAGCACCCCTGTCCAGCACGCGCGACTGCCTGCTCGAGTCTGGGGCTCGTCCTCGGGCGACGGACGATCAAAAGCGGAGCCAAGGCCGGCGGAGGTAGGACGATCTCCAGATGCTGCCTGGACGACGACGAGGAATTGCAGATGCAGCGCCGCTCTGACTGGCTTGTTGCCTGGCTCGCCACGTGACAGCGTGATCCTCCAGGCGCCAGCGCGCGTTGGACCTCAGACACGCTGACCTAGTGCTGACCTACTTAAAAAGCCATTGCCCATCAATGATTCGGATGCCCCTCATCGCGTCCATCTCTACGCCTCTACTCCTCAGGCACCTGGTGTGCTGTCAATTCTTCAGACCCTACACGTCACTGGATTTCCCCACTTGCCATCGAAGAAACCCCAGCTACACCATCTCATTTCTCTCGTCCTCCTCACCGCGCACAATGGGTTCTGCGGCAGACGTGACCGCCCCGTCGGCTCTGCCCAAGGTGCCCGTGAAGCACAATGACTTCCTCTCCTACGTTGCCGCCCATCCTGACTCTCTCATGACGGAGCTCATTGAGCCGTACAAACAATACGACTCGAAACTTCGTGAGGTCTACGCTCAGGAGCCAGACCACCCCGCGCTCACTGACCGATTCCTCAATGTCACGCCTGTGTTCGCTGGTCAGGAATCCAACGCCAAAATCCGCGCGCGAAACCTCGCCGCCGAGTCCGAGGCCGAGAAGGAAAAGTACATCATGCCTCTCGACTCAGACCAGCGGAAGCCCAACGGCAGCCCGGCAGTCGTCCAGTCCTTGAAGGAATTCCAGACGAACTTCACCGTCTTCTCCGAATCCTCACTTGTCGACATGGATTGGAGCAATGTGGTGGCAGTGAGTACACCAGCTGCGAAACTTGCTGAGCCTTCACTGACAAACCCAGGCCGGGAGCTCAGTCGTCACGCCGCTTTTGCCGGTCCCGGAGGAGTATTCAGGCTCGAAGCGAGCGCTTCGCCGGTATTACCATGAAGTCGTTGCCCCTGCCTCTGACGTCGACCTTTTCCTTTACGGCCTGAGTGAAGCAGAGGCCTTGGAGAAGATCAAGCAGATTGAGCAAAAAGTCAAGGATTCCATCCTGGCTGAGATGACAACAATCCGCACCAAGCATGCCATCACCATCGCCAGCCAGTATCCCACGCGCCATGTGCAGATCGTTCTCCGCATCTACAAGTCCGTCGCCGAGATCCTCACCGGCTTTGACGTCGATTGTTCCTGTGCCGCCTATGATGGCAAGCAGGTGTACGCTTCCCCCCGCGCACTTGCCGCGTACATGACGCAGATCAACACAATCGACCTCACCCGTCGTTCTCCCTCGTACGAGAACCGATTGTCCAAATACTCCCACAGAGGATTTGAGGTGTACTGGCCCAATCTCGATCGGTCCAAAATCGACCCAACCATCTTCGAACGCAACTTCGCTCGAACCGTGGGACTTTCTCGCCTGCTCGTCCTGGAAAAGCTTCCTGACAGTTCTGATCGCGACGATTACATGAACCAGAGGAGAAGAGAAAGAGGGAGGCCTGAAGTCAACCAGTACGCCCGGGCTGCTCGAGGCTTGAGAGGGAACATCAAAGAGAAACATGAGGACGAAGTTGCCGAATGGGTTGAAGAGGACGAGGTGGCTGATTACCACACATTCACCATTCCGTACGGCGATAAGTTCCACGCCCGGAAGATCGAGAAGTTACTCTACACGAAGGATCTGTTACTCAATGCTGAGTGGAACAGATCCAAGGACCGCGAAGTGAATCTACACCGTCACCCAGCTTTCTTTGGAAACGCCGAAGACGTCTTCTACGACTGTTGTGGTTATTGCCCGCAGCCGGAAACGCCCGAGGAAGAAGAAGTTGCGGAAGAAGAGGGCAAGACTTTCGTGTCTGGGAAGATCTCGTTCATCAAAGATGATCCAGGCCGCCAGACCATTGGCAGCTTCAACCCCTTGACCGACAATGATTGGACTGAGATGGCATACGTCGGCAACACTGCTCGTTTGTGCCAGGCGATTGTCGATGGCGATTTGGAGCATGTCCAAGATTGGCTCGCACAGGAAGGCGCCGACCCCAACTGCCGCGACTATACCGGCCGGACTCCTCTGCACCTTGCTTGTCACTCATCTTCTCCTGAGATAGTTCAGTGTCTCGTTGATGCAGGTGCTCGCATGGTTGCTCGTGTGGCTGATGGCCGCACAGCACTTCATCTCGCAGCTGCCCGAGGAAGTGCGGAAATTGTGAGGATATTGATGAAGAGAAGCGAGGCGAACGAAGAGGAGGAGGCCAAGAAAGCCGAACTGCGCCGGAAGACAAGACTTGCGGCAAAGGAAGCTGCAGGCCCTCCTGCTTCCAAGAGCCCCTCTGATGCCAAGGAGGCCTCTGATGAGGAGGATGCCGAGATGATCGACAGCGAGGAGGATGAAGACGTGGAAATGAGATCGACTACCACTGGATCCTTTGTCGATGTCAAGAAGAATGATGGGCCCAACGAAGATGACAATTTGCCAGAGGATGACGAAGAAGAGCCTGACGTCTACGACGTTAACGTATTGGCTTGGGACATACCCAGTTCTCCAACTCATCTGGCTATCTTCAACGGTCACTGCGAGGTTGTCAGGGAGCTTGTTCAGAACTTCGGTGCCGATGCTATACTGCCAGTCAAGCTCCTCAACAGCTACAACAAGAAGCCTTCGGCAGCGATCCTGACCCTGTGTCTCGCAACGCACCTGCCTTTGGAAAGAGCCAAAGAGATGATCAGTACACTCCTGGAGGTTGGGGCATCTTCTGCGCAAGCGGATCTCCATGGCGTTACGGCCTTCCACCGTTTCACGGCTCAGCAGACAGAGCTGATGCAGGCGTTGATTGACTACGATCTGCCCGGAGCGAAGAGAGCTCTCAATCACATAGTCTGCGCGGGGCATGGGTACCGCCCTTTCGCTATCGGCCCTCTTCAAACGGCAATCGATGCCAAGAACATAGCCCTGGCGCTCAAACTCCTGGACATGGGGGCTAAGCCGGACATTGGATTCGAAGAGTTTGTGGCCGCTTGGACCTCGATGCGAGGTTCGTATGTCGACAAAGACAACACGGAGAGGAACTTGGAGACTTTCCGAGAAAATGTCTACCAGCCGATTGTCGTAGCCACCCTAAACGAACTCCCTGATGTTGTTCTACAGCTGCTTCAGCATGGAGCCGATCCAAACACACTTACTTCCAATGGCTGGCGAGTTGTCCAGGAAGGCCATACGTACGGAAGAGATGACGCACAGAGCCTGCTTGACCTCGTGCGTGATAAGCTGAAGCAATATCGGAAATACGATGACAAGGTTGATGTCAAGATTCCGAAGCCAGCCTTCAAAGGCTCTGGTCAAGCGTACATCGACGCCCATGAGGACGGCAGCTATCAGCAGTGGGTTGCTGTTCAGGCGGTACAACAAGAGCTCCAAAACCATGAGTCTTCCATGAAGAGTTACAGGGAGAAGGTGGAAGATGCTCAGAAGAGGAAGGGACTTAAGGAGAAAAGAGAGGCGGTAGAAGAGCTTTGCCGTCAGTTTGAGGGCGTTGAAAAAGCACTCCTGGCGAAGGGAGCCAAGACTTTTCCGGAGCTGCATCCAGACAAGGCCTCGAAGAAGCGTGAGCCGAGCTCTGACTCTGATGTACGAAGCGAGAAGGAAGAGCCGTGGAAAGTTGAATTCGGGTTCAGAGTCCCGGATCTGACTGACAAGAAAAGGGAAGGCTATGTCATGCTGTGAGTGCAACTGAACATCCCAGACATTAAATACTGGCTCCTTTCGCAAAAAAAAGGAATATTACTGACACAAAGTTTCTTTCTAGATTCGATGCCGCCTGGAAGGGAGACTTGCTTGCTATCAAGAGACTCACTCTGACATTCTGGGGCGAACTGCGCGACCGATTCCCGCTTAAGATTGCCGTCTACGACACGAACAACCTATCTCCTCTTCATATCGCAGTTCATCGTGGTCACATTGACTGTGCTCGAGGCATCTTGGAGATCGCCAAAGCCCAGTACAAACCGAAGGAGAAGAGAGGCGAGCGATACAACATGGAAGAAGACGAAGACTCGGATTACGAGTCAAGCCAGGCCAGTGAAGCAAGTGAGGACGAGGACAAGATCAAGGTTTTCCGAGAAATAGTCGACGATCAGTTCACCATCGACAACATCGGGGAAGTCTCGACCCAGGTCCGAAGCCATGTGACTCCATTAGCTCTTCTGGATTGGAGTTGCTCGATTCCTCGAGTCAAGATGGAGAAGCAAGAGTCCTCGGTCATTGGTCTTGCTTCACATGCTCTTGCGGGAGAGTGGTCAACCGCCGAATCCAGTGATCTCATACAGTATGCCATCGAAAAGGATGACGTTGGCCTACTCAAGACCTTGCTTGGGTGGGGTGCTGAATACACCGCGCAATACAGCAAGTCTGATACTGAAGAGACGACCTCCCCATTCTATACAAGGAACGAAAACGACCTCACTCTTGCGATGCGTCTCGGCCGCATCAGTTGCCTTGCTGAGCTCATCAAACAGACAGGTGTCGGTCTTCCTTTGGACAAACTTATCAAGAAGAGCGGCGTTGAGATCATTGAAAAGCCCAAGTATTACCAGGGCTTGTCGATCCACGGGAAGAAGCGAGCGGATTGGGCAGCAGCTGGAAGAGGAATCACTACCCAAACAGCGAGTGAGGATCATCCTCCGCTCCTTCAAGCTGCGAAGACAGGTAACGTCGAAGCTACCGAGTGGTTCTTGAGCGATGCCCCGGCAAGGTGCTATGGGGAATTCGCTGAGGCAAACAAGGAGGACAAGAGGCTGCAGCACCTCGCGACAGTTGGAGGCGGCGGCATTCAGAGGATGATCTCCGAGTGGCTGGAGCTAAGACGTAAGTTTTCTGGAATCCTAACCTCATCTACAACGTGCTAAATAACTCCATAGAAAAGCTTGTCCTCCACTGTGCCATTATGGCTCCCTGGGAGGCTGACCAGACGCCAAAGCTCCTAGACTATCTTGTACGCGCCCTTCCCAAGACGTTAGAGACCAAGGCGAACAGCACTGGCCAAACCCCCCTTCATATCGCCTTCGCCATGGGTCGGTATGTCACGGCGAAAAAGCTCATTGCAGCCGGTGCGGACCAAACCTGCCGCGACAATACATGGAACAACATAATCCACGCTGTGCTCGATTCCGGGACCCACCCAGACATCGAGCTGTTCAAAATGCTGGAACTGGTTGATCGTCGCCTCCTCGAATCGTTGTTCACGGAACGAAACTCCCATGCTGCAACCCCGTTGGCGACTTGGCTTCACTGGGCCGACGATTCCTCAGCAAATGTTCTGAAGCATCTTCTCTCATTGTCTCCCACACTCGCAGAGCTCGACATGGTTGACGGTGTGGGCGACACGCCGCTCCACATCGTCACGAAGAAGGGACTGCCCTCGCTCATGCGCATCATCATCGACCGACGCCCCGAGCTGCTGTACCGCGAGAACGCAACCGGCCGCACACCTGCAGAAATGGCAGGGGACGCGTGGACTTCGGAGTGCTTCGGGAAGCCGCCCCAGATCCCCTGGGATCCCAGCGAGCAACACTGGTACTGGCGCCAAAACGAAGGAACCGACCCCGTCCTCGACCGTCCTTTGGAGAAGTTCGTGCCGGGTGACGGAGATGACGAGCAAAGCACCGCTACTACTCCGTGGGAGCTGTGCCGTGAGCGCTTGGAAAGGGACGGCAAGGCGGGGCTGGTCAAGCGGAAGCTCGTGTCGCTCAACGAGGCCAACGAGGTCGCGCGTCGTCTGGGAAAGAGGCAGAAGCGCTCTGCGCGTGGACGTCGCGAGCCCCAAGATGGCGACAATGAAAGCCAAAACGAGGAGGACAGCCGCCGCGATGAGATTATTACCTGGTGGGGGCCATCTTGGTGCGAGTTCGAGTACGACAAGGATGGAAAGCTGTTGACGGAGTAGACAGGGGCGGTTTGGGAAATTGACACCTGGAGATGCGTTCCTTACGACTCGCATCTCTGCGTTATCATAGTGTATCACTACCGAAGGCGAATATCCAACAAGACCTCTGGTACTCGGTTCAAATTGGTTAGCCTGGACCGCCAGGAACAACAGCGTCCTCGGTATCTTTTTGCAAATCTCTTACCTCCCATTTGCAGATAACACTGGGCCGAAGTAAGTGGTCTAGTAAATGATGGCTTTTGAGATTGAAATGCGTACGAGATGAGCCATGGCTCGTGATAACTAGTGCTTTCGATAGAAGATGAGGCGCGCCGCTTGTCGGCCTATATGATGGCTTTTGAGAAAAGGATTTTTTGGGACACAACTGTGAACTTTGGGTATCTCAAGTGAGTGCTACTTCGTAGCCACAGCCAAGAAAGCAAATGCGCCATTGAGATACGGCTTCATCATGGCTCTACATGCAGCTTCGACCATTGGATCGGAAAATCCTCGAACTTGTCTCCTATCTACGCATCATGGCCAGGCGCGCAGGATGGATGCCGCCGTTATCAGCAGAGGCGGCCTCATCGTTGGCACCGTCGTACTGCGGCGGCCCCTGGTCACCCACGGGCTGAGCATTGGCACCCTTGCCCGGTCCACGTTTGGCTTTCTTGTCTGCGCGCACCTTCTCCTTAGCCTCGGTCTCGGCGCGTCGTTTGCGCTGCTCGTTGAGCCTCTCGTTTTTGTTCTTCAACTTTTCTTTGCGGGCTTCGGACTTGGCACCACCACCACCGACACTGGACACAACGTCAGTCAATGTTGGTCTTGCTGCAGGACATTGTTACTCACGTCAGCTCGACATTGATCTTCCTTGCGGCGCTCTTGCCGTCATCGAAGCTGGAATGGTGGTACAGCTTGAGACATGACTTCATGTGGTCGTAGCGGTCAAACTCGAGGAAAGCGAATCCTTTGCTCTTCTTGTTGTCATTGGTCATGGGGGCGCGGATGGAGGTGGGCGACAGCTTGGCGAAGTGTTTGGCGACGGATTCTTTTGTGGCGGTGTATGGCAGGTTGCCGATGAAGACGATGAAGCGTGTCGCAGACTTGTCGTCGCCTTCAGGGACCGGTTGGGCGTCGGACTCGGCGGACTCGGCGGACTCGGCGGACTCGGTGGACTCGGCGGACTCGGTGGACTCGGCGGGCTCGCTGGAGGTTTTGGCCTTCTTCTGCTTTTTTTCCTTCTTGGATGCTTGTTGCACATCGCCCTCGGCAGGCTCGTCAGAAGTCTCTTCATGCTTCCTCTTCTTCGACTTCTCGGGCTTGGGTTCGTCGGCGGGCTTGCTGGGCGTGGGCACACTTGTGGGTGCGTGGTCCGCTTCAACTTTGGGGAGCTGGTTTCTGGCCGCGCCCAGCTTGGCTCTCTCCCGCGCCTCTCTCTTCTCCAGCCTCTCCTGCTTGCCCTTCTTGTACTTGTTCTCCTTGGGCTCTTTTTTTTCCTTGCTGGCTTTCTTCTCCTTCTTCTCCTTCTTTTCCTGTTTCTTCCGCTCCTTCTTCTCCTTCCGCTCCACTTTCCAGCGCTTCTTTTCGCCGTCGTCGACAGCGGCGACGACGGCGGCGGCGGCGTCGGCGGCGACAGCGCCCTCGGGCTTCTCCTTCTTGGACTTCTTGCTGCTCTTCTCGGATTTTGACATGATTGCGACTGGGGGAGATTTTGGGGTTGAGGCGAAGAATTGCGACGGGCGGGCGCATAATGGCTGGGAAATTTCCAGAGCGGTGTGGGGATTGGGCCGGCAGAATCCATCTCACCGCCCAGCCGAGGCGTCTCCGCAAATTCGGGCTTGGCCACCACGACGCCGCTTCTGCTTCCTTACGCCATTGAGCTTCGTTCGACCGCAATGCAGGCCTCCCGCCTCGCGCTCCGCAGAGCGCCTCGCCGACCCTTGCGCCCGCCCAGCCTTTCGCTCCAGTCGCCCGCCTCGCGCCCCTTCACCCACAACTCGCAACTCCTCATCCTCGCGCGCTCTGTGGGGCCGCGCCCGCAGCTGCCCTTCCTACATCCTCCGTCCGTCGCCAATGCATCGCTGCGCCGTCGCCAGCCCATCGGCCAATGGCAGATTGCGCGCCTTCTGACCACCGAACGCAAGAAGTACATCAAGGAACAGGTGTGGCTGGCCGGGAAATGGACCGCCTTCTTGTGGACCTCGGCCGGTCTTCTTTTCATCGCCGCCTTTGGTGTGCAGAACGAGCTTCTTGAGCGCCAGACCCCCAGCCCGCGCGAATGGAGCGCCATCAGCCGGATGAATTATCGCAGCGCGCGCGCCCAGGAGGACCCGGAATTCTGGCCTTCGGGAATGACGGATTGGGCGAGCACTGGCAGCATGTACAAGGATGTGCTGGACCGCCTGGAGGACCCTAGCATTGATGGAGCCGGGACCAAGGACCAGGATGAGGGCGGCCTGCTGGTCCCGGGTGTAGGAAAAGCAGGTCTGGATGTCTCTGCCAAAAGCGAAGCGTGGCGACGCGGCTATCATGAAGTTTTGATGGGCTGCGCCAAGGCCGCCGAGCATCTGGAAGGTTGGGTCAAGGACACCACACGCCGCATTAGCTTCCCGCCCGAAGTGGTTATTGGACCTTCTAACCCGAATCCCCGGCCTTGCCCTCCGTATGCCCACGAGGCCCCGTTAGAGGAAAACTGCGTACCCGCCTTCGCGGGGCCGGAAACTTTCTACATGAAGGTCATCACCACCAAGGGTTTCTCGACATCTCAGAGGCTTGATGCCGCCCTTGCCTACGCTGAATGGCTCGACACGCACGATTTGCCTTCGAGCGCCGCCGAGATGTACAAATGGTCGTTCGACATTGCCACTGCTGCCGTTGAAGACGCTTCAGACGTGGTTGACACTACTACTGGCATCATTCGCGACAGCCCTGGTGCTGCTGGTGTCTCTCCAAACATCACCCGCGCCGCCACGGCTCTCGCTACTCACTATGCTCGTCAGCAGGAGGTCAACAAGGCCCTCCCCATCTTCCTGTCTGTGTTACGTGCTCGGCATAACGCACCCCTGTCTCGAGGCACCGATTCATCCGCTTCGCTTTCTAGGCCGGCTAGTTCGGGAGTAGTTGGCACCCTACGCTCGATCATCATGCCACCATCCTACCCTCCGCCGCCTCCGACCGGCGACGAACCTCTCTCACGTACGCCTGGGACTATCTGTGATGATGCTGCTTTGAAGACGTACATTGGTGAGATCCTCTTCGCGACCAGTTCATCATCGCGCGATAAGGGGCTTTCCTGGACGCGGGATGCAATTGCCGATGCAGAATCCGGAGTCTCTCAGGACAACAACCTCAACGCGGGAGAGAAGGAGAGGTGTGCACAGTGCTTAGAGATCGCGGTGGGGAATCTGGAGAAGATGGCTGGGGTAATGGCCCGCGAAGAGAAGGCACAGAGAGAGGCGAAGAGGTCGAGTTGGTGGGGTGGCAAGCAAAATGCGGCTGGTCCAGGAGAATGGGAGACCGAGCATAACAGCTTGCAAGAGAGGGTTCAGAAGCTGAAGCTGGAAGGGTTGAGGGAAAGGTTTGCGAGGGCCGGCAACGTCACGGGTGGCACGTGGATAGGATAGGGGTTTATTGGGAAATGGTTCTGATACGCATTTTCGGCTTGGAAAATTCCGCATGCTGGGCGGGGCGCAATTCGGGCGAATTAGGCGTTGGTCTTACCAAGCAAGACTGCTCTTTTTTTTTGATTCAGGGGCGCGATAAATGTGGCTCTCGCTTTATGTATTCACTTTGCTTGACAGAAACCACGTCCGCTCTTATGACCTCAACTACGGTCTGCTCCACTCTCAAGAAAGGAAGAAGCGAGGGAATAGTAATGGCTGATCGAGCACGACACAAAAGATAACGGGATCATGCTGGTGAGCTCCCATAACAGAGCGCGGGCGAAGGCAATGTCAGGCTCAATGGACCAGATCCGCCAGCAAACCACCAGCGGTAGCGTCCATAACGATGTGCGGTCATGACATTCCGGCTCTGACGGCAAGTGTGTCAAACTCTTCAATCCATGTTCGGCTCACGAAGTGTTTGGTTTATTACTTAAATATTTGTAAAGAGAGCTCAATTACCTATGCCCGGGATGACAATTTGGGAGACAACAAGAAGAGCGAGTACCGAAAAAGAGCGAAAGGGCACCTTTAACATCTTTTTCATCTCCTCCGTTCAGAAGCAAAGCGACAAAAAGGAAAAGCGGCCGTAATCTCTCCTATCAGTCAATAACATGAGGAGAGAGAGAAAGAGAGAGAAAGAGAGTAAGAAATTCGCTCCCCCACCGACCCAACCAAAAAGAAAAAGGGAGAAAAAAGGAGAGTCGAGAAAAAGATTCAAGCCTAAACACCCTCGCTCATCACAGATTCACTGGGACAGCCCAAGTCGTCCTCACCACCGCTCCCACTCCCCTCTCCGTCATCCTCCTTGTCCTCGTCCCCCTCCTCCCCCACCTCCCCCACCTGCTGCCGCCCCCGCCGCTGCCCCCTAGCCACCTGCGTCGCCAACATAACCAACGCCTTACACTGCCCGCACCGGCGCCACCCCCTCCCCGCCAGATGCTCCGACATGAGCGCGCACGTCACGCCGCCGCCGCCACCGCCGCGTACGATACCATCCCCATTGTCATCATCATCTTCTTCTTCTTCCTCTTCTTCTTCATCCGATCCATCTCCGCTGCCCGCCGCCGTCTCGCTCCCCGCAGTCGATGACGGCACAACGACGGGCGAAGCGTCGGCGGGATCGTATGGCGGAATCGGCAGTCCTGGGCCGATGTCGAGGCCTAGGGTGCACTCGTTGTCTGCGTTGATGGTCGCGTCGGCCGGTGGTGGAGGTGGTGGTGGCGGCGGCGGCGGTGGTGGTGGTGTTAGCATGAATGGAGGGAATGGGATGGGAGGTGGTGGTGGGGCGGGCGGCGCTGGCGGCAGCGTGGTTCCGAACCGGTTCGGAGGGGGAGGGGGAGGGGGAGGGGGAGGGGGGTTTGGGGTTTTGTGGTTATTTTTGTTGTTGTTGTTGTGGGCTTGAGGGGGTTGAGGGGGTTGTGGTGGCGGGGGCATGTGGTACTGGGCGAAGGGCCCTAGATGAGGGGGCCCGATGGCGGTCGGCGGCGCTGGGGGCGGAGGAGGTGCTATAAGCGGAGGCGTGGCTGTCGTCGTCTGCGTGCTCGGCGGGAAAAGAGGCGGTTGACGTGGCATGGCAGGCACGAACAGGTCCGCTACTCCAGGAGGAGGAGGAGGGATATAATCAGGATTTGTGGCGGGGAAACCCATCTGCGCTTTCGGGAATGGGTCCAGGAAGGGCGGCTCGGGGTGGGAGAGTTGAGGGCCTGGCGGAGTGGGAAACCAGCCATCGGTGTATGGTAAGCCGGCAGCTCGTGCGCGCTTGGCTGTTTTCTTCTTCTTGCACTTGCTCTTCTCCAAAGGGGGTGCTTGGCTGCCAGGCTTGTGTCCTTTTGGAGGACACATAACCAATTCTGGATGACCGATCGCTCCCCACATGCCCAACGAACGAGTTTCGGGCGGCGGCATTGTTAGTCGACACACTGGCTCATCTAGCGGCCGAGGAGCTGTTCGAAAAACCCCAGGACGCGGTGTGGCGGTCCGTTCCGAAGACTTGTCATCCTTTCCTCCTTCAAGCTTGTGCGCTGCTCGTGCCCCAGGAGTCTTCGGTACCGGTGGTGGCGGTGGCAGTGGCGGTAGACTTATCCATTCATGCTCCGCATCCATTACGCCAGCTCCCCTGTCAGGAAGGCGGCGAGGCTTGAGAGGGATTGAAGGTGAGGTCTTCACTGTAGGGTTAGGCTCAATGGTTCCAGGACTGGATGGACGGCTCGGCTGCTCCAGCACGGTTGCCTGTTCTGAATCGGGGATCGAAACTGTCGCTGCATCCGGGGACTGAGGTTCATACATCTCGTCGGTTGAGCTGTGTCCGTATCCGCACTCATGGTCCAACTCGATGACATCGGCATCAAAACTCAGCCCCGAACTCATGTTCTCGTCACTCACAGCATCTGGTGCCGTTGGCATCTTCAAAGCATTCCCATCAACGAGCACGTCAAAAGCGGCATCGAGTAGGGAGCGAGCGAAGGTGCTCTTCAGACCCGGGACCAACTCTTTACCCGCGCCTCGCCTCTCGACGGCCGTGTATTTCTGAAGAATTCCCTTCACGTGGCCATCGAGCCAGTCGTCCCGCACTTGCGAGTTTTGGTACGCCATCTCCACATCTTGCAGCATGATCCACGCCGGCACCATCCATTTCAAAGCGTCCGCCCGCTCACGTGCAAGTCTACGCAGCCCACCCAACTCGTGGGTCGTTGCAGCAACATAGGAGAGCAAGGCGCGGCGGTGTTCTCTCCTCCTTTCAACGATGGAGCCCTCGGGCGGTTCGCCAAAAGCGTGCGAGTCGAGTGTCTGGTACTTCCCCGTGTGGAGGTAATGCACAAAGGTATGAGCGACATCGGCATCGACATCTTGTATGTGGACCAAGCGGGTTGCAGATTGGGAGAGGTCCTGGCTGTACCAGTAACGTTGGTTGAGGAGAATCGACCGAGGAATCAAGGTTCGTGGGATGAGATAGAGTTGCATCGAGGAGCCGAATGAGAGCCATACTGGCGCACTGGTGTATGGACTTTCCACTTGGGCATCAGTGGTCGAGCTGCGTTTATTGAGCGATCAGGCATGTACGTACGACGATTGCGGTCGATCTTCATGACGGATGGTACTACCTGGGAAGTCGGCCGGCGGTGGATGATGGTGGATACCGGCAGAGGTAGCCTCTGCCATCTTTACTTTCTCGTGAAGTGGAAGGCGCGGCGCAATCCAGAAATGCTGATGGGTTGCGAGCAGGTGTAAGACATACGATGGATGGAAGTGTATGATCTCGGTCACGACAGAGCAGCTCTCCACTCAATAAGTATGTCCCTCGTCACGCAGCCACAGTCGTTTCCCCGCTTTGTTACGCAACTTGTACGCTCTTCGTACTCATTAGTGCCACGATGGAAGCCTACGAGGCGGACGGTGCAGCCTGGTCAACAGCCACTCGAAAGCGAATCTGGATGGTGGTGTACAGGATACAATTTTCGGATTGGTTGCAGAGCTGCCGCTTACGGTTGCTTGCATGACTTCTGCCTGGAGCGAGCAGCCTTGCTCTTGATATCTGGGAAAAGAACACTTGTGACGAGAGGTTTGTGAAACAATGGCGTAGTGCGGGGAAGTCGGGATGGAGAGCACCCAAACAGCGCATCACTGTAGTGAAGTATATATGCAAGGAAACATGGGTCGCCGTGAGCAAGGCAATTCTCATATGCGAAAGTGTTCCGTGCTTTGTGTGGTTCGGAGTATTTTTGTGGCCTAATGAAGAAGTAGGGTACAACAGCGAATAGCTACTTCTATTCTCTTATGACTACTACATATCATCAGTTCCGAGGGTCCTGAATCTTAAGTATCTGAGTCGTGCGGGATGATGGAACTGGATTTACCTCCAAAGAGGCAGGCAGTTTTGACACTGGAGAGCGGCATGACTGATTGAGAGAACCCCGCGTTGAAGTTGACCAATCTCCGACACGCACTCTGACACTCTACAAGAATATCACGTCAATCACCGGACTCCACACATCGAATCCACCTACGTATGAAGGGGAATGACTCGTCCACTCTTGATTACTTGTGGATCACCACAGTGATATCAGGCTATAAGCAGCGACAGGGCGTTTATCTGCGGCAAGATCACACGACTTCCGCTAGAGTATGATGGTCTATGTAGCGAAACACGCCTGGGCTTCTATAAAACTTGTCCTTCCAGGTGTCCGGGCGATGCTTACGCCTTCACTCATTACCCTAATCCGACTATGCACCACCGATCCTCTGCGGTGATAAGCCACCACTTAGTATTGCAACTACAATATGATAATAGTCTGACCGTACTAAGGCTTTCAGGGCAAGGGTTCGGTCCGGACATATCTCGGAGCTGCTTAAAATGTGGGGAGAGACAGAAGCCGTGCACAGAGATTCAATCTCCTTTGCGTAGATTTTAACCATGGAGAAAAGGTATGTAGTATATAAAGGCTAGCAATATTGGCTTATTCAACAAAGGCAGCTACAACTGTCCAATGGGCGAGGTGGCCGAGTGGTTATGGCGCTAGTTTCAGGTATTCCCCCTCACAGGGATACTAGAAAAGGATTTACTAGTGGAGCAATCCTCGTGGGTTCGAGTCCCACCCTCGTCAACATCTTTTTGCTCTTCTGCCGACTACCAGTCAGCTGGTGAGCATGCCCTTTTTGCCCCTGAGGCCGGAGAATTTCATCGAGAAAGCGGTTGGCAGAGAGTAAAGTCAATGCGAAGGCACAACTGCACTGAAATGCATGCACTTCTTCGACTTTGCTTGGTGTCAATGAGCGGTCAGACGGGAAGGCGAAAGGCGTGGCCGATGGTTCCGCTCCGTGCGTGGCAAACAAAACACTGTTTTTCCGGAGCTGTGCGGGGGGTCAAGGCTCGGGGTGGCGGATCAGCTAGGGCACAAAGTCCTAGTTATATCCACACCATGATGAAGGGGCTTCAGCAAGCTTTGTGAAGCGTTGCCGCCGAGGCCGGGCGTTTGATGACTCGAGCTTAGCCGCCACTTCACAACGCCCTCTGCAGCCTCCGCGTTTCGCAGACGGCGGCGCCCCTGACGGACAAATACATGGCTCCGACACGGCTGAATCAAGTGGCATTCTGCGCTATGTCCCTTCAATCTCGACCACGGCAAAACTGTGTGCCGTAAACCGCCATCACCTGCTGTGCACCGAACATGTTAGCTCTACTGTGGACCTAGGAAACCAGGAAGCATCCAGTCGGAAACGCATGACGGCTGTACCTGCATACTACATACACAGTATACAACAGCCCGCCGCATCGTGGGATACCGCTCCTTTTCCGCATCGGGACCGGAGCGAGGCGGCTGCAGTCTGTACTCACGTTTAGCTCGCAGCACTGTAGATCTCAGATAGATTGCCTGCACGTTTCCCACGACTAACCGCCCTACAGCATGCGGCCCAGAAACGCCTCCTTGCCAAGCAGGCGATCTGGAGCCTGCCGCGGCAATGCCATTCTCCAATTGGGCCTGGCTGCGGTGTGGTGGCGTGTTCCCCAGACTCTCCACCTCGCTTGGCTCATGAAACGGACACCGCTGGAACAACGGCCCCGGATCCGGACAGCAAAACAAACTAGCCTAAACAAGCGTCCAGGTCAGGTGCCATTGGACCGCCCACGGCCCTGCGTCCTTCGACGTCAGTCGAGCCAAGAATCCTACCTGACATGGTGCCGCCTTGAGCCTCAGGGACAACAACCCGGAAATCACAGGACTGGGTCTGATTCTTCCGGTCCGCCACCCCGGCCACCGCCTCGCCGTCGTTGAGATCCACACGGCCGGAGCAGCTGGGAGGGAAACGCCGGCGGGAATGTCGTGCATGCATGAAGTGTTGGGTGGATACTCACAGACTGCCGCATTCAGCCCCAATATACCGTGGTCAGAAACGGAGATGAGCGTGCCCATGTGTGCGCTCGAGAGAGTATAAGACGGCGCGAGGCGCCTCCCCAGATGTTTGCTCACCAGTTGCCGGACAACATTCGCTCACTAGCCCATCATGCATCAGACTTCCGTTCTTTCTTCGCTCTCTTTGCTCCTCGCAGCCACTCGTGCCCAGCAGGTCGGCACGCAGAATGCCGAGACCCACCCGAGCCTGACGACTCAGAAGTGCACCACCGATGGTGGCTGCACCGATCAGTCCACTGCCATCGTGCTCGATGCCAACTGGCGCTGGCTGCACACCACCGAGGGCTACACCAACTGCTACACCGGCCAGGAATGGAACACCGATGTCTGCTCGTCCCCGGAGGCTTGCGCTACCGGCTGCGCCCTCGACGGCGCCGACTACGAAGGCACTTACGGCATTTCGACTGACGGCAACGCTCTTTCCATGAAGTTCGTCACCCAGGGCTCGCAGAAGAACATCGGCGGCCGTGTTTACCTGCTCGCCCCCGACTCGGAGGATGCCTACGAGCTCTTCAAGCTGAAGAACCAGGAGTTCACTTTCGACGTCGACGTCTCCAGCCTCCCCTGCGGCCTGAACGGTGCCCTGTACTTCTCCGAGATGGACCAGGACGGTGGCATGTCCAAGTACGAGAACAACAAGGCCGGCGCCAAGTACGGCACTGGCTACTGCGACACGCAGTGCCCCCACGATGTCAAGTTCATCAACGGCGAGGCCAACATTCTCAACTGGACCAAGTCCGAGTCCGACGTCAACGCCGGCACCGGCCAGTACGGCTCCTGCTGCAACGAGATGGTAAGCCGGTCATCCCCTCTGCGCTCCTTTCCCGGAGGCTCATGCTGACATTCGATCCAAGGACATCTGGGAGGCCAACTCGCAGGCCACTGCCTTCACCCCCCACGTCTGCAACGCCGACATCGTCGGCCAGGTTCGTTGCAACGGCACCGACTGCGGTGACGGCGACAACCGCTACGGCGGTGTCTGCGACAAGGACGGCTGTGACTACAACCCTTACCGCATGGGCAACGAGACCTTCTACGGCTCCAACGGCAGCACCATCGACACCACTGCCAAGTTCACCGTCATCACGCAGTTCATCACCTCGGACAACACGTCGTCGGGCGACCTCGTTGAGATCCGCCGCAAGTACGTCCAGGGCGGCACCGTCGTCGAGAACTCGTTCGCCGACTTCGACACGCTGGCCACGTTCAACTCCATCTCGGACGAGTTCTGCGATGCTCAGAAGACGCTCTTCGGCGACCAGAACGACTTCAAGACCAAGGGCGGCATTGCGCGCATGGGCGAGTCTTTCGAGCGCGGCATGGTCCTCGTCATGAGCATCTGGGACGACCACGCGGCCAACGCTCTCTGGCTCGACTCGACCTACCCCGTCGACGCCGACGCGACCAAGCCCGGCATCAAGCGCGGCCCTTGCGGCACCGACACCGGTGTGCCCGCCGACGTCGAGGCCAACTCGCCCGACTCGACCGTCATCTACTCCAACATTCGCTACGGTGACATTGGCTCCACCTTCAGCTCGACTGCTTAGATCAATACCCACGGGGCATAGAATGCGGATAGAAGGGGGTTTCACGCAAAATCTTCTCTTCTCTTGTACACCATTTTTGATGGCCACATACCTTTCACTTCTTGTGTGTTTTTCGCGAAGCTGGGCTGGAAAGTTTCAGGGCTAGTGAGGTGTTTTTAGAATAGGCAATCTGTTGTCCGCATCCTGGTTTTTGGTGACCTGAAGTGGCCGTGTGTGAAGATGCGATGGCGAAGACGTGATTAACGAGAAATGGCGAGCGCTTGATTGGTCGGGGCCGAAGCACGACTGCGTGACTGGCGATAGGTAGCTGCAGCCTCGCCTCGCCTGGCACCCTGCGTTGGGAGCGCGAGCTCGGTCCCCGCAGCCCGGCCAGCACCAAAGCGCCGGCCCCGCGGCCAGCCGGCGGCACAGCGGCGCGAAGACGCTGATGAGCGGCGCCGGACGAAGCGGATTACCTAGGTACGGCGCGAGCGGGCGAGCGATTGCGGGCCGGGATTAAGACAGCTATCGCCGATCGATTGGCGCGGTGCATTGCCGTCGTCACCCATCTGCTACCTCTGAAATCCACGCCTCTGTTGCCGCGATCCTCATGGCTTGACCTGTTCCCGTCCCTTCGCTGTCGCTGTAGATAGTCCGTCCTCCTGCGCCCATCCCGACCATGAGCGACACCCCACGCGCTGCCCACGGTCGCAGCAGCGCCAGCCCGCACCCCGTCGACCGCCCCCGCAACTTGCTGCTGCTGGCGGATGACGACGACGATGACATGGACTACGTGCCTGCCGAGTCGGGCGAAGACGCCGAGTCTCTGATCGAGGACGAGTTCGACGATGGCGACTTCCATGGTACAGGCCCTGTCGCCACTCCGCCCATGCTTGCCGAGTGGCTGACCACTGAGCACCGCAGATGCCGAGGAGAGCCTGAGTAACGTTTCGCTCAGCTTCACCACCATAGCCGCTCCGGCCGACGACAATGAAGACCTCGAAGCCAACGACGACGACGACGACGACGACGACGACGACGACGAAGACGACGACGACGAAATTGAAGACGACGACGTCGACCTCGACGGGCCCCACGGCCGTTCCGTCTATAGTACTTCCATCGCGCCCCCCACGCGACCACCGTCGACATGCTGACCTCGTCGCAGTCACTCGCGATCAGATAATGCAGCTGCTGGGCCATGCTGGCCTTCGTCGAATCTTCGCCGATCACGCCTCCGGCCGGCGCGCCGCCCTGGACGACGACGACGACAGCGAGACCGACAACACGGGCTATGGCGTCGTCGGCGCTCGCCGCCGGCGGGGCAAAGGTCGCAAGGCGTTCGAAAAGGTGCCCAGCGACGCGGGCCGGAAGCTCATGGCTTCGGGCACCTTTGGCGCAAACGATCGCCCAGAAGACTCGTATCTCCGCAGGAAGAAGCTGGCTTACCGCTTGATGCGGAGGGAACTGGGCCTGGACTGCGTCGGTCGCCACCGGCTGAGCAGTAATCTCATCTCCCAGGTTTGCTTCACTTTCTCTCCATCTCGTTTCGCACACCGTGCTGACGCCCGCCCGCAAGAGCCTCATTCCGTCTTCCAAGGCCGACACCATCATTCATTACGATGCGCGTTGCTACTCGGGCCAGTTCTCCAATGACGGCAACTTCTTCTTCTCGTGTGCCCAGGACTTCAAGGTCCGCATGTACGACACGTCCAATCCATACAAATGGAAGTATTACAAGACCGTCGAGTATCCCTATGGCCAATGGACCATCACCGATGCCTCTTTGAGTCCGGACAACAAGTTCCTTGCCTACAGTTCCATTCGTAGTATAGTCTGCCTTGCTCCCACAGATCCCGGTGATAGTTCAGAGCCGCACCTTTTGGATTTCTCCAATACCGGGACGCGCGGAAGGCGAGGCTTCCATTCATATCCTTACTTTGGTGTATGTGCCGCTCTCCTCTCTTCCCAAGTGCTGTATCGTTTTGCTGAGCATTCGCGCAGATCTGGTCCCTCCGCTTCTCCGGTGACGGACGCGAAATAGTGGCAGGAACCGGCGACCGCTCGGTATACGTCTACGATATCGAGCGTGGACAGTCGATCCTGCGGATCCCCGGCCACGATGATGACGTGAATGCCGTGTGCTATGGTGATCCAAACTCGCCACACATCCTGTACTCGGGCTCCGACGACACGACGCTGAAGGTGTGGGATCGCCGCAGCATGGGCGACGGCCGCGAGGCGGGCGTGTTCCTCGGCCACACCGAGGGCTTGACTTACGTCGACAGCAAGGGCGACGGCCGCTACGTGCTCAGCAACGGCAAGGATCAGACGGCGAAGCTGTGGGACCTGCGCAACATGATGAGCGCCCGCGAGGCCGACAAGATCGACGTCAACCAGTTCACGACCGGCTTCGAGTATCGCACCAACTCCTACGACGAGACCGACTACCGGCCCCATCCGCACGACCGATCGCTCGTCACGTTCCGCGGCCACTCGGTCCTCAAGACGCTCATTCGCTGCCACTTTTCTCCGCCTGGCAGCACCGACTCGAGATATGTCTACTCGGGAAGTTACGATGGATCTGTCTACGTATGGAACCTGGACGCGACGCTTGCCGGAAAGGTCGATGTGCTCAAGGCGACCCGGAACTCGCGCCCCCGCGATGCCGATCTTCTGGCCGAGACGTACGACTTCATCGGCCGCAACGGTGGGACCTGGCAGACATGTGTGCGTGATGCAAGCTGGCATCCTAATGCGCCTGTCATCGCGGGTAAGTACATGACCCTGGTTTTACATCTCCCCCTGTGGCTAATGGTGCAATACAGCAACGTCTTGGAACGGTTGGGGGACATCTCTTGGCACGTGCACTGTGCACACATGGAATGACGGTATGGAAGACGACGAAGGGGATCCAGCCATGGGCCAACGCGTCAACGCCCAGCTGGCGCATGATCCGGAGCTGTACGGAGGCACCGATGGTAGCAGAAGAGCGAGCTATTTCTCGAGGAGAATGAGGGCTAGAAGGATCGACGACGATTGAGTTGGCGAGCATATGTGGCGGCTCTGATAATATGGCTGTTGGATTTTGCTGTACATATTAAGAAGTAACTTGGGTCGAGTTGGAGGGAAACCGGTCATGAGCGGCGTCGGCATATATCAAGGCAACTTTGGGCGGCGAAGGTAGGATTCATTCGTTTCGAGAGGCTAGGAATGCACAGCCTGGAAATGATTCGATTTTGATGGTATCCGAACTCCGCCTTTCGTGCCACCTTTGGCGCATTAAATTTGTACAGAAGTCGCTCTTCAATTTGGCGATTTGGTATCACGTCGTCTCCCTTCTCGATGGTGCGCCTGGTGCACGCATTCTCCGGAAGAAGCTACCTGACCGGCGCATGGCCCCTCGCAGCGCTCGTTGCAACTACGAGCCGCCAACCAGGATGTTGTTGACGGGGATGTGTACTGTCGCGGCGTTGGCGCAAGTTGGAGGAGGTCAAAATTGGTGCGCAACGTACCTAGCTTGACAATGTAGCCAATGGCGCCCATGACGACGAAGCCCACACCGACGGCTTGGGAAATCTTGATAAACTCGCGCTTGTCGGCTGGGGCAGTGTTAGAATTCATGCGGAGACGCTGCTGCGGACGGTCGGGGGGTTGGCGAGCCGGCCGTCATACACGGCGTCGGAGCCGCGTTACGCACGGCAGGCGGGCAGAAAGAGGAGACGTACGCTTGGTGCATCTACGGTGTGGATTGTTAGCACATGCATGGAGACGGGCAGTTGAGCAGCTGGGGTGGCGGCGGCGACGGGGAGCTCACCTGTTGATGAATTGGGTGCCGTCCTTGATGAAGTCCTTGGGGACGTCGGCGAAGTCTTTGATCTGGTCAGACATGGCGGCGAGAGGGCGGCAGAGAAAGCTGGTTGCGAGGGCGAAGAGTAGTGAAGAAGCGGGTTGGAGAGGACAGGCGAGCAGGGACGTGTCTTTAGGTCTGGGGCTGCTGGCGCGGGAGGCCAGATTGTCGCTCGCACCCCGGCATCCTGGTCAGGCCGGGCGATTGATTGGCGTGCCAAGCCGCGCGACCTCCGCCCGCGAGCAGGAGCCTCACTCACCTCGACCTCAGATCCCGCGCCCGTGCTTCCTCACTCCTTCTCCATCACCTCCCGCACGCCCTGGTACGCATCCACCCATTCACTCTGTCGCGCCGCCACCGCTGACTTCCGGTGCAGCAGCACCGCCCCCCGCTTCTGCAGCTTCCGCAGCCATCAGTCTACGCGCTTGCGCCCGCGCCCCGTCTTTGCCTCACGACTTGCGACCGCCTGGCGAGAGGGAAGCAGTTGGAGGAGGACTTCTGCTAGCTGCGATACGCGCGGTCGTCCTGTTGTCGTCGTTGAGTGGAAGAGCATATCGTGGTTCTGTCTTTCCAGGGATTCTAGGGGCTCTCTCATCCTGTACCGGTCCAAGTGACGCTCCACGCCTGTCTGCACTTCACACACCTCCTGTTTTCGCGCCTGCGCCTGCTCCCGAGGCGAAAGGACGCTCAAGAACTGTCTCACACACACATACACACCTTTGAGAGCGCCGTTTTCGATCTGTTTCTGCTGAGCAAGAGGGAAGTGTACGTATGACCGCCGACTTCACTCTGCATGTATCACTACCTCTCCTGTCTGCGCATTGCTTGCTTCATGTCTTTCCTTGCTTGGCAGCTATCGGCGGGGCTCGTGTTGACGCCTCTGTATCTTACCCTGCTGATCAATCCCCAACCGTTGCAGACTCTCTTCCGTTCGAGGCAGAATAATATCTACAAGATCTCTCTAATTTCATCATGGCTGACGACGATAACTTCGACATCGACATCTACGGCGACGACGCCCCCCAGGACTCCTTCAACAATAACAGTGATGTCAAACAAGAGGCCCACAGGGGGACCCTGCCTGACGCCTCTCAGCAATCCGACAATGCCCAGTCCAATGGCGCGATGAAGCAAGAGAGTCGCGATAACTCTGTCAAGCAGGAAGATGCCCGTAGTGCCAATGCTGATGAGCGCCAACAAATCTCGAGCACTGGTGGCTCGTCCCATAATCAATTGCAGCCCCCGAAGCAAGCCCCCGTTCAGCAGGGCGTCAAGCGTAAGGAAGGCGCCGACGACCGGCCCGTCGATGCGAACGCGACCACTGCCCTGCTCATCAGCGATCTTCACTGGTGGACTAACGAAGACGACATCCGAGGCTGGACCAACCAGAGCGGATGCGAGGACGAGCTGGTCGACGTGACCTTCAACGAGCATAAAGTCAATGGCAAGAGCAAAGGGTAGGTTGCTCATTGGCCATGGTCCTGCACAAGCGCGCATCCCAAACAAACTAACTTTTGTCGTGCAGCCAATGCTTTGTTGAAATGGCATCGCCGCAGGCCGCCACTGCGCTTAAGCATACAATAGAATCCTTCGGCCAAGGCCAGCAATATGCAAAGAAGCATTCGGCCTCCTACCACGCTCCCCACGTCAACCCTTACCGGACTCTGCCCAAGGACGTCCCCAACCGCAAGGACGGAAACCGAAACGACAATCGCTCCTCCTCAGGAAGCTTTGGCGGCGGTTCCGGTATGAACACCAACTTCAATAGCGGAGGTGGGTTCCGTGGTGGTCGCGGCGGCTTCAACAGTCGTGGTGGTATGAATAGTATGGGCTACAACAACCGTGGCGGCTTCAATGGCCCGATGGGCGGCGGTAACATGGGACCCGGTGGTGGGTTCGGTGGCGGCCCTATGGGAGGATTCGGTGGTGGGCCAATGGGAGGCATGAACAATATGGGCTTCAACAATTTTGGTCGTGGTGGTGGTGGCGGTGGCGGCGGTATGATGGGTGGGATGCGGGGCGGTATGGGAGGCCGTGGAAGAGGTGGCATGAATGGTGGTATGAACGCGGGCATGATGGGTGGCATGGGCCCGATGGGTGGCATGGGGGCCATGGGAATGAATCCAGGCATGATGGGCGGCATGGGAGGAAACATGAACATGGGTATGGGTGGCATGCAAGGTGAGTATGCCTTGAGCCGGGACGACCGCCATCACAGAAATCGGCAACACCAACCCAATCACAACGCCCGATATCACAATCGTCAGCGAGGTATGGACACGCAACGGCCGCCGCAAAAGAACGTGGCGGCTCGTGGGTGCCAACAGAAACCTCGGCAATATTCTCCTTCACAATCACTTCTCGACTCTCATCCCTCTCCTCCAGCACAAAATCAAGCATTACACTGCCGTCCTGGTTTCGGCTTCGGTTCAGACACAAGCTCCGTGTTAGACTACAGTATTGTTAACAGATCCATCGTTCTCACAGGCGGCTTCGGCGGTGGCGCACAACCGCATTTCAACCCTGCCTTTTTCGGAAACCAACAAAGTGGTGGTGGTGGCGGCGACGGCAACTGGAATCCCCATGGTGCGAAGCGGCCGCGCCCCGAGTAAAAGGCGCTCGGGTGATCACGACGACATCCTGAGCGGATGTTTCAAGGTTCGCGCTTCAGCGACACCGCAGAAGTTCCTTTCGGCATTTTATTGACATTTGTTGGACGAATTGAGCACGCATGGCGGGTTGGAAGTTCCGACTTGTGCAAGTACCTCGTCCAGACCAAAGCAAAAATCCCGATTAAACGGCGTTCAGGGTTGGGGGAAAACAGTATGTGATTAGGACGGGTAGGACAGCGAATCTCTTTCTCAATTGTTGTCTGCATCTCTCTTTCTCTTTCTCGTTCCTCTCTCGTTTCCTCTTGCTCTTCCTCTTTCACCATGTTTCTTTCTTTTTCACATCTCATGCTTTCCTTCCGTCAGCGGCTCAGTGGCCTTGGGGTTATTTTTCTCCTGCTTCCTCGTCAGTTTCTCGCCATCTGGTCTCGCCTGGACAGGCTCTTTGTAAACTAATTTAATGGGGCATTGGTAAAATCATCTCTCTTCTTTTTGGGTTCGTTGAATGGCTTGGCGGAGATGTGGTACTGGCAAACGCAAAACAAGACTCTTTGGGTTGCACTGTTGGCTGTATGGAGCAGTTTTCATCATAAGGTGTTGGTGACGTTCCGAGTGCTTGAAGATTTGTTGCCGCCTTTTCTTACCATCTTCTCTCCGGTGCTCATGGTTCAGCAGCTGTTGCCTCGTTCTTGTCCACATGGCTCAAGTGATGGAATACTCAAATGAGATTGTGTCATTGTAATCTATCAGGGACAAATACTGCCACGGGAGAAGGAATCGCGCTCGTGTCGCGATGAGGTTGTAGACATTGCACGAGGTAGTAAGTAGTTCATTCATTTTTTTTTCCATCTGTGTCCCTTTGATATGCCGTGAGCTACGTAAGCAAATCCTTGCTATCATAAGGCGCTATAAGCAAGAATAAAGCAACGAGCTACTGTGATAAGACGAGAGTAGGGCTGAAACGATGGTATGGAAATCTACGTCAAGCATGATGACATGAAAGAGAAAGATAAATTGAGCATTCCTCAAATACAGTGCACTATCCATTAGACTTGATTATACTACTTTCAATTTTTTTAGTTTGTTGGAGAATCTACGGTTTTGGGTCTTTTTATTCGTCTTCGGATTTGGCTTCGGCTTCGTCTTCACGCTCGACAGAATCGTAGAAGTTTGGACGGACATTTGTAGAGTTCCTGAATTTTTCTTGTGGCAGCGGCGGTATGACCATCGAACATCGTTCTTGCTCCACACCCAATCCAACGGATTATCTCAGGTTCTTCGTCAAGCGGCACTTGGGACATACGGTAGACTTCGGAGTAGCGTGACTTTTCTTGGCTCCGCTTGGGTATTAGGATCGTTGGACGAGAGCAATTACCTCGGCGCTTGGCGTAGCAACCTTTGTATGTCCAGCAATCGCCATCAGCACCTATTTACCCATACGATTTGGCGGTTGTTGGTGATCCTGGCTTTGCCGCATTCTGGACATTTGTCGGGCTTGGGCGTCGTCCTCATTGACATGACCCGGATGCCTGGTTCAGCTACCTATGAAGAATGGTCAGGAGTGGTTCTAGAAACAGAGAAGAGAACCACAAGGCTGAGCTGTGGCGATATTGCAAAATGTAGCGGATAAAGCCGGACAGTGACATCAGGCCGGCCCGGTGGGATGGTGCTTTCGAGGAATTTAACCCCGCTGTTTCAGGGGGCTGCTTGGCTGTGACAATGGCTGCCGACGATCGGCAGCGGCGGACAATTGGCGGAATAACCGCAGCGGGCGATGGTGCATTGTCGCGAGCGTCTCTGCACCGCTGGAGGGTAGCTTGGGACCGGAATCAACATCTGCATAGTGCGTGCGGCAGAGGCGTTGTAGAAGGAGAGAAGAAGGGACCAAGGCAAGGCTCGCCAATGCGGACGGCGGACCGTCGGTTCCTGGGTGTTGACTTGCCGCGGCCGAGTTCATTTATTTTAACTTGTACAGAGGGGCTTTACGTCCGGAGGCTAGCGCGAAGGTAACGGGGCTTTAAACAGGGGTGGGGCGATGTGATAGGTCGAGTGGCTGTCAAGTTGCTTACTTTCTTCGGCACCGCAGCGAACAGGGAGATGCCGTAACCGACAGCTCGTGTTGTACAAGAGCACGGCGCCCGGTGGTGCATGACTTGGCCTCTGTTTCAAGCGGGGGCGTTTCAACTGGACACGGACCCTTCGCTTCGCAACGAGGAGAGCGACGGCATTGGACACTCCACCATTATGCTTAACCATGCAGATTGAAGGGGGCGCTCTGCTGCTTCGCTTTCTGGGATGTGCGGTCCGGCGGCTTCCAGGGCAGCCGTTGGCCGTGCCGGCTTTTGGATATAACCTCACCTGCCGCCGCCGCACTCTCTCCCTGATCAGCCCTGTTCATTCGTTCTTTTTTGGCTGCCACCTTCACCATGAAGTCCTTCGTTTACGCTGCCGGTCTCGCGCAGCTGGCACGCTCGGCTGCTGCTTTGCCTCTTGCCGCGGCCCAGTCGTCCGTGTCTGCTGCCACGTGCAATGGCACATTCAACTCCATTACTGCGCAGCAGTTCGTCGATGCTCTCAACCCGGGCTGGAACTTGGGCAACACCCTGGACGCTGTCGAGGACGAGGGCGACTGGGGCAATGCTCCTGTCACCGAGGATACCTTTGATGATATCAAGGCTGCCGGCTTCAAGGGCATCCGCCTTCCTAGTAAGTGTCAACCCACTATCAGAGGAGCCTGCTCGTATGGCTAACCTTTTCTCAGTCACCTGGGCCTACCACTTCACTTCCGAGTCGCCTGACTGGACTGTTGATCCTGCGTGGCTGGACCGCGTCGATGAGGTCGTGGACATGGTGGTCTCCAGGGGCTTCTCTACTATCGTGAATGTGCATCACGACAGCTGGATTTGGGCTGACGTATCAGCGAGCGGAGCCAACTACACGCTCATCGAGGAGAAGTTCTATAGGCTCTGGTACCAGATTGGAACCAAGCTGGCTTGTAAGTCCGAGCTTGTCGGCTTTGAGCCCATCAACGAGCCTCCGGGTGACACGGCCGAGCACGGCGCCGAGTTGAACAAGTTGAACAACATCATGCTCCAGGCCATCAACGATGCTGGCGGATTCAATCCTCAGCGTGTCGTTACCCTGCCGGGTCTTGCCGAGGACAGCATCAAGACTAGCACTTACTTCGAGCCGCCGAGCGCAAACTACACCAACCCCTGGGCCATCCAGTACCACTACTACTCTCCTTATGACTTCATCTTCAGCGCCTGGGGCAAGACCAGGTGGGGCTCCGACGACGACAAGGCCACGCTCGAGGCCGACATTGCCAACATCCGCAACAACTTCACTGATGTTCCGCTGGTCATTGGCGAATGGGCCGCCTCTCCGGTGGCGACCGAGTCTGCAGCACGCTGGAAGTACTTCGACTTCATCCTCCAGATGGCGAACAAGTACAACACGTCTACCATGCTCTGGGACAACGGATTCGACTTCCTCGACCGCACCGCTCACTCCTGGCGCGACCAGAGCGCCATTGACATCTACATGAACGCAGTCAAGGGCGTGGCCAACTCGCTGCCCGACAGCACTGAGGACGGACAAGCCACGAGCCAGTTCACTTCGGCGTACATCTGGCACCAGGTGGGCACGCCCGTGGCGGCGCAGAGCCTGCCCTTCCTCTTCAACGGCAACACGCTTTCCAGCGTCAGCCTCGGCGGCAACCCGCTCGCCGAGGGCACTGACTACTCGGTCAACGGAACCAGCATCAGCTTCACCCAGTCTTTCCTTGCACAGCACGTGTCCGAGGACGCGGCGCCCGGCATCAAGGCGAACCTGACGCTGTCCTTCTCGGCCGGCGCCGACATCGAGGTCCAGATCGTGCAGTGGGACGTGCCGACCATCAGCACCAACACCACCACGGCGGCGGCAGCCGACACTGGATCCGCCTTCTCCATCCCCATCACCTGGAAGGGCCTGAACAAGCCGGCAACGGTCAAGGCCCTGACGGCGGACGGCACGTTCCTAGTCGACGAGTGGACGCAATACCTGGGCCCGCTGGAGGCGGCGCACATGACGTACAGCGGCCAGTGGAACTGGGACGCGTCCAACATCATCCTCACGAGCAGCGCGGTCAAGGCGGTCGTGAGTGCCGGCAAGACGACCACCTTCACGCTCGAGTTCTACCCCCGCGTGCCTGGCAATGCGGTCAACTACACGCTCACTGTTTGAAAGTGAGCGACGAGAGACGAATGCACGGAGACGCGACGCTTTGGGATTTCTTGTATATAGCTCTGCAAAAATGAAGTTTTGTGCACGCAAGCCTCGGACAAATTTAGAAGAAATGAAAACGTGATTTGACCGGCAAGGACGGGCGCATTGACACCGGGGCGGGTCGACGCCTGGGCAGAGACGGCGGAGCGGCGCAAGTAGGCGCCCGACAGGGCAGCGACGGCATTGCGCAATGGAGGAGACGGAGGCTGGCGTTCGGTGACGTCTGCGGGGGTCCGTCTGCGTAAGGAAGCTTCCTGAATGTTGACAGCGAAGCGGCGGCGAACGGTGCCAGCAAAGGGTCGTCAGTCAAGGCAGGCGGTAGGGGACGAATGGCAGGCGGGCAGACGAACGAGGCCCTGCAGCAGCGCAGCACGGGCAACGTCACCGTCCACGAAAGCGCGCAAGGAAGGTTGGGTTGGCGTAGGGATTGGGCAGCTGGCGGGCGGCGGAAGGCGCTGACGCACAGCCCGCTACAGTCCGCCGTACCTTGGCGCGATCGCCGCCGCCTCCTCTCCCACTGACAACGGAGCTTCACCGTGCTGCAGCGCCAGCCTGGCAATCGCAATTACTCGACATACTTCTCCCACCGACCCCCCCAACCCCCGACAACTGCCCCATTCTGCTCCCGCGAAGCTCGAGCGATCTTGACTGCGCGCATCGTCCCCCGCCGCCGTGCGCCGCCCCGCAACCGCCAGCAGCCCATCCCCCGTCTCCCCACCGCGCCTGAGCCCGGAAGCGCCAGGCACCCGCCGTCACCATGTACGGCTCACGCAATGTCGACATGGGCAAGCAGGTGCGTGCCGTGCACATGCGATCCGTTTTCCCGCCCGCGCCGCCAGCGATCCCGCTTGCGCATCCCACTGACTGCCGGATAGGAGTCGGAGCTTGCCATCAACATCCGCAAAGCTACCAGTATAGGTGCGTTGCTCCCGCAGCTGCCCCAATCCCCCCCGCCGCCTCTTGACTAACCGCAGCCCCCCACAGACGAGACTGCGCCGAAGCGTAAGCACCCTCCGCCCTTCCGGCTCTCCGGGCCTCCACTCACGCACCGCCAGGAAAGCACGTCCGCGCCGCCATTGTCTACACATGGGACCACAAGAACTCCGACTCGTTTTGGGCAGGCATGAAAGTGTGCGTTACTCCCCGGGAACTGCGCGACAAAGGCGGGCTTGACGTAAATCATAGGCAACCCATCCTGGCCGACGAGGTTCAGACGTTCAAGGCCCTCATTACCATACACAAGGTGCTCCAGGAGGGCCACCCCGTAGTACTCAAGCAGGCACAGACGCACATTGGCTTCCTCGAGAGCCTTCAACGTGGCGTTTCCGGCGGCGAGGGCATCAGAGGTACCAGCCCTACCCCGCCCGGCCATCCCCTGTACTGACCTTGTCCGTCCTGCAGGATACGCCCCGCTGATTTCCGAATATGTCTACTACCTCATGGCCAAGCTGGCCTTCCACAGGCAGCACCCTGAGTTCAACGGCACCTTTGAGTATGAGGAGTACATCAGCTTGAAGTCCATCAACGACCCCAACGAGGGTTACGAGACCATCTCCGATTTAATGACCCTGCAGGACCAGATTGACTCCTTCCAAAAGCTCATCTTCTCTCACTTCCGCAACGGCTCCAACAATGAGTGCCGCATATCCGCCCTTGTGCCGCTTGTGCAGGAGAGCTACGGCATCTACAAGTTTATCACCAGCATGCTGCGCGCTATGCACACCACCCTTGGCGATGACGAGGCCCTCGCTCCTCTGCGTGGCCGTTATGACGCTCAGCACTACCGCCTCGTCAAATTTTACTATGAGTGCTCCAATCTCAGATACCTCACCAGCTTGATCACCGTACCCAAGCTTCCTCAGGACCCGCCCAATCTTCTGTCAGAAGACGAGGATCGTCCCGCCTTGCCCGCTAGACCTAAGAACGAGGATACCCCGAAGCGCGCTGCCTCCGTCGACCCCGAGCCCATCAATGAATTCTGGAAGAACGAGCAGAAGAGGCAGCAGGAGGAATATGAGGCCGAGCAGAGAAGGTTGGCCCAGCAGTGGGAAGAGGCCCAGCGCCGTCAGCAGGAAGATCAAATGCGTGCCCAGCAACAGTTTGAAGAGCAGCAAAGACTGGCAGCGGAGCAAGCGCGAATGGCTCAAGAGCAGCTAGCGCGTGATCAGTTCGCTCAGCAAACTCAGGGGCACATGGCCGAGCTGGAGAGAGAGAACCTTGCTGCTCGCAACCAGTACCAGCAGGACCAGCTTTTGCTGCAGCAGTACGACGCCCGGGTAAAGGCCCTGGAGGGGGAGCTTAACTCCATTCAGGGCAACTTTGCCCAGCAGTCTCAGTCAAAGGACGACCAGATCCGCGCACTGCAGGAGCAGCTCAACACGTGGCGTAGCAAGTACGAGGCCCTTGCCAAGCTTTACTCCCAGCTGCGTCATGAGCACTTGGAGCTCCTTCAGAAGTTCAAGGCGGTGCAGCTCAAGGCTGCCTCGGCCCAGGAGGCCATTGATCAGCGCGAGAAACTCCAGCGCGAGCTCAAGACCAAGAACCTCGAGCTGGCCGATATGATCCGCGAACGTGACCGCGCTCTCCACGACAAAGACAGGACGACTGGCGGCCACAAGGACGAGGTCGAGAAACTGCAGCGTGAGTTGCGCCTGGCCCTGGACAGAGCCGACCAATCAGACCGCAACAAGGGCTCTGAGCTCTCAGCAATGCTTTCAAGACACAACCGCGAAATCGCGGATCTTGAGGAGGCACTGCGCAACAAGAACCGCCAACTTGAGGACGTGCAGTTGAGGTTCCGCGAGGGTGATTCTGAGCTTGAGCGCCAACTGCGTGAGAAGGAAGATGAGCTTGAGATCTTCAAGGCAGGAATGGATCAAACGCTACTGGAGCTCAACGAGCTTAAGATGAACCAGCAAGTGTCGAACACTGCCAGCGACGAAGTCTTCGACACGGTCATTCTCGACAACCTCAGGAAGATCAGCGAGATAATAGACTCCGTCTTGCAGAGTGGAGTGCAGCGCGTCGATGATGCCTTGTACGAACTCGACTCTTCGATGCAAGCGGGTAACCAGAGTGCTTCTGGTCCTTATGTCCTGTCTCAGATAGAAAAGGCGGCATCCTGCGCCATGGAGTTCTCGACAGCCTTCAACAACTTCATCGCGGACGGCCCGAACAGCACGCACGCCGAGATCATTCGCACCGTCAACATTTTCTCTAGCTCAATTGCCGATGTACTGAGCAACACCAAGGGTCTCACGAGGTTTGCGTCGGACGATAAGAAGGGCGACCAGCTCCTTGCTGCTGCACGCCACTCTGCTGAATCAACGGTCGGCTTCTTCCGCTCGCTGCAATCTTTCCGTCTGGAGGGTATGGAGGATCTGCAGAAGACGGACGTGGTCCTTAACTGCAACAGTGAGGTCCAGCTGAACCTGCAGAAGCTCTCGAAGCTCGCAGATGCCTTCGCCCCGAAGAACAAGATCTCCGCAAACGGGGGTGACCTGGGTGATCTCGTCGACCGCGAGATGGCCAACGCGGCAAATGCCATTCTCGCTGCCACGGAACGTCTTAGCAAGCTCAAGGACAGATCGCGCGACTCGTACTCGACGTACGAGCTCAGGATTCATGACGCGATCCTCGGCGCTGCCATCGAGGTTACCAACGCCATCGCCCGACTGATCAAGGCGGCCACCGAGTCGCAGCAGGAAATTGTGCGTGAGGGCAAGGGCACTTCCTCCCGGACGGCTTTCTACAAGAAGAACAACCGCTGGACCGAAGGCCTCATCTCGGCTGCCAAGGCGGTGGCCAACTCGACAAACGTGCTCATTGAGACAGCGGATGGTGTCATTGCCGGACGCAACAACCCTGAGCAATTGATTGTTGCATCCAACAACGTGGCAGCATCGACGGCGCAGCTTGTGGCAGCGTCACGCGTCAAGGCTAGCTTCATGTCGAAGACGCAAGACCGCTTGGAGTCTGCCAGTAAGGCAGTCACCATGGCATGCCGTGCGCTTGTGCGGCAGGTTCAGGACATCATCAACGAGCGCAACCGCGAAGGAGATGAAGCCGTGGACTACACCAAGCTTTCGGGCCACGAGTTCAAGGTCAGGGAGATGGAGCAGCAGGTACGTGGATATCCTCAAGCCCCCCTTTTCCCTTGTTCCTCCCTACTAACAATGTGCAGGTTGAGATTCTGCAGCTCGAAAATGCGCTCTCGGCGGCCAGATTCCGTCTCGGTGAGATGCGTAAGCTGTCTTACCAGGAGGAATAGACACGGGTTACATCTGCCCATACGACATGCCAGACGGCGTCCTTTTTCTTCATCGTTTGCGATCGCATCTGGCACGTCTCGACCCTTGTGAGATATCCTAAGCCCCTGTCGGCTCTTAATTTTCCTTGGCTGTGTTATCGAAGAAGGTAGGGGAGCTGGACGGCACAGGTTCATGAGATGCATTGTGGCGGACAGATGGCATACTCGGTCATTTTTATTCCCTTTCAGTTGTCGGTACTTGGTTGGCTGGGGGGGTCTTCACCGTTATTCTCATTGCACTTTTTGGTCTGCGGTGGCATGTGTATACCAGAATGCATTCTTTTTTTTTCCCCGTTTGCTTTGGATGCATGTGGCTTGCAGCGTTGCCGCGAAATAGGGGAGTCGAAGCATTTGCTCAGCCAGGAAAGATGTAAAGCACACCAGAGGATCAAGATTCAGGACGGCCGGATGATTGGCGCAATACCAGCTGTAATTCTTTTGATTGTGAACACAGTGCGTGCCCAACGGATGAAATGCTCAGCATGCCTTAACTGAATCAGACACTATTGTCTTGCCCACGTAGTGCTGTGGCGCGGAAGCTAACAGCACGGTCGTGTGCCCGTGAAACAGGGATACAGTCAATACAGCTATCATCCCTGCTCTCCGTGACGTCAGATTGACTAGTGAGCCGGGCCTAAGTCATAGGTCATCCTCCTTGGCGGGCAACTGCACACACCTCCCCTTCCCCCGCAAACTTGGAAAGTCCATGCATGAGCAGTATACCTTTTTTTGCACCAGCCAGCCACCTCCTCATTTTAATATCCCCGGCCTCCGATCTTGGCAGATCCGACGATCCGATCTAGGCCCTCACCATCATCATCATCATCATCATCGCCGGACGTGAACGGAAAAGAAAAAAAAAATTAGCAAAGATGGCTATGCTCGGGATGGGCATCTTCTACGGCGGCGTCATCACGGGGATTCCCGTGGTGACGGGCGTGGCCGAGGGCGTGCACCATCAGAAAGAGCAGAACAAGGAAGCCGCCAACGAGACGCGCATGGTCAAGTTCTACATGGACGTCTTCTGCGACGCCAAGAGCAGCAAGAGGGACGAGCTGGACGGGGGCATCATTGTGTTACACAAGGAACGAGTAAGCTTTTTCCTTCTTTTTTCTTTTTTTTTGGTTTTTGGTTTTGGTCTATTGGTTTTGGTCTATTGGGTTTCCATCAAAAAAAATCTTGTTCTCATTCTTTATACTTTCTTTCGCCGCACAACTAGCAGCAGCTTTCCCAAACATACACTGACCTCCCTTTTCCATCGCAAAAAAAAAAGGTCTACGTATGCCCCAAGGACGAAGCGACGGGCATGCCGGCGTCGCCCGGGAAGCCGGGCGTCGCGACGCCGCCGCCGCCGCCGCACCCCTTCACCGGCTTCTACATCATGTACCCGGACGACGACCGCGACCCGCGCGAGCGCGGGCTCGTGTCGACGATCCCGACGGAGCCGCCGATGCTCAACTGGCTGTACGTCGACCGCGACGCGTGCTTCGTCACGCACGGCAACCGCACGCAGAGCATCGCCCACCTCGTCGGCCCGTGGGACTGGACCGACGACGAGGAGGGCGTCACGCTCGAGGGGTGGGAGGGGTTCGTCGCCGTCGAGCTGGGCGAGGATGAGGCGGTGGACGGGCTGCGGTGGCAGCTGTATTACGATCGCTGGGACGACAAGCTCGGCAAGGGCAAGGCGGTGGGCGGCAGGAGGGTGCTGCCGGTGAGTTTGGAGAGGAGGGTGCTGCCCGAGGAGCTGAGGAAGCAGCAGGAGGAGGAGGCGGAGAAGAAGATGCAGGTTAAGAGCACTGGGGACTTGAAGACGAAGCTGGATCTGAAGGATCCGAAGGAGCATCGGCCGTGGAAGTGATGGGTGTTTTGTGAGCGTTGTTTCTTTTTTTCTTTTTCTTTTTTTTCCTTTCCCGCCCCTTGTAACAAAGGAACGGGTAGGGTGGCGGAGGTGAGCTTTTGAAATTCTAGAGGCTTGGAACTGGGTAGGGTTCGTCCATCTTCAGAAGGGCCATGGCGTTTTTCAGGAATTCGACCTTGACTGCGTTGAAATACATTTGCGGAGGTTGATACCCAGCAAAAGCAGGTAGTGTTGTACATTGTCTACTTGTATATACACATGGCCGAGTCATATAAGAATCATCAGTCGTTACCTAAGTAAACCATGCCTATCTCATGCCCATTGTGGTCTTCAATGAGCGAGAAACATGTTGCTCAATGACCGACGACAATCATCACTCATCCTTGTAATTAATGGTTGCGCTGAACAGGGATGTGGGCTTCTGTTGTAGCTGTTGCCTACGTTGCTTACATCGCTTACATTGCTTCCGCGCAAACGCGCTGCGGGCTGTGCCGGAAGGATTGGCCAAGACGTTGGTGTGCTGCGTGCTGAATAATACAACCCAGGCAACAGATCAACGAAAATCAGCAGCTGGGGCCTTCGGTAGCCATGTGAATCCATTCCATGATGGTCAAGGCTCAAGAAGAATCAAGCGCTCAACCACGTAGCATCACGAAACTCACACAAACCTTCCCGTAAGAGGCAATTGGCAGCCTTGTTCATAGCACAGGGTAGTGACGGTAAAGAGATAAGCTCCGCGGCTCAAACATGTTCCATGTTTGCCTCACGAAGTAGCGCCAGCCGCGAGCCCCAGTCTTTGAAACTCTGTTGTTTAAGAAAAGAAAGGCATCGGGAGAGCGAGGCAAAGCGCTATCGGGGATCGAGATGGGGCCTGCATGGTTTCATGCAGCATTGTAGAGCCGCCACGAGATGCGACGAACCACAATGCATGGTCCAAAGATGCTTAAGCGCCTATATGGATCTGAAGGGCCCGAACAGGCGAAAGTCCCGTCGGGACTCGGGGCGGGGCATTTTCTGCGATGGAGACCCACTTGTCCGGGACGCACAGTGTGAGAAGCCAGCTCGTCGTTCTCAATGCGGTGTTCCGAGACCATGCAATGCGCCGTCCAAGCCATCAACCAGCATGACAAAGGACGAGGCTCCCATGGATGGTGAGGCAGAGCTGGAGCGGCGAGCTTGCTTGCTCGGGGCACCGGCTAAGCCCAGGGCGGCCGCCGGATGCCAACACCGCACCACCGGTACCCGCGGCCCCACGGGCGCGTCAAACACCGTCCTGTGGCAGTTTCAAGTCGACTGCTAGCAGGGCCCGGTGCATATTCTCTCAGACTGTGCGGTGTTTGCCGCCGGAAAGCTAGGCGGCCCACGCAGACAGCGCGTGTGATAGGCCGGCCACCCGCGTCAGTTTGTGGATCGACGAGGCGTTGGTGGCTGAGTTGGCTCGACGTGGCGTGGGGCAAGCGCGGTGCTGGATTCTAGACCCTGTCGCTGCTGACTCGTCAGGGTCGTCCGGGGTCGGCCAAAGGACGGGGAAGGGCCTCGGTGGGAGTTGTTGGTGGTGGCTCTACTTCGGTCTCCCGTTGAGGTAGTGATGCGAGCTGAGCTGCTGAGCTGTGGACCCGTGAAGATCCTGTCGCTCCCGCTGGAAAATCCCCTTCACCATGGACGGCGCAATTGAGGTCTGCTAATATGTTCATTGACTGCAACCTCTGTCTGCTCCTCGTGCGCCCCGGCATCTATGCAAGCCGGGCAGCTAGATATGTCTGATGTAGACATCCGTCTCTCCCCAAAGATATATGGATCCGTCTTCCTGTAACCCAGAGCTTCCTGCTCCCAGTAGCGATAGTGGTATCATGTGTAAATGCCAGAATAACAAAGAAAATCCAACGCGCCGAAAATGACCAAATCATGCTGCTCGTCGTGACGACGTAACCAGTACAGATCGCTAACAACGGTGATTACAAAAGAGGTAATGTGCACAAACAAGACAAAAAATATAAGCGACAGCCTGCACTCAAGGCAGTTGGGTATCATCTTCCTCTTCTTCGGCGATGGACTCCAGGTCCGGTCTGTACAAGGCTTTCTCGCCGCTCGAAAGCCTGGCGGAGCTCCTGCGGGCGCTTCTTCTTCTGCGGATGCTGCACGAGAATCGTTAGTCTGGGAATTGGCGCAGTGTGGAGACTGGAGAGTGCGGGACTTACCAAGCAAAGACATCGTCTCCCAGCTCGACCATGCACAGCACGATGAGCACGAACACGACGAGCTTCAGCGCGAACATGTGCCTCTCTGGCCGCCGCCACGCGTCGGCGATCTGGTTGAAGAACGACATCTTCTGGGTCTTGCCGGCACAGCCGTCGCTGTGCTTGGCATCCGGCGATTCCTGGGCCTCGATTTTCCTGACTTTTTCGGCCGATGTCGTGTCGGCGTAGAGAGCGTCCTCGAAGCTGCCGACAGCTTCTTCCGTCACCTCGACAGTGCGGCACACTATCCTGCCCTGCGGCTTCGCGTCCCCCTCGCTGGACCGTTGTGTTCTCGCAGCGACCAGGGCAGCGGCGGTGGGAATGGGTCTCTTGCCCCAGAGCAGATCGGTTGCGGCCGTCGCGACCTTGTCGTCCTGCTCGGCGATCCACTTTTCAAGACGGGCAGCCTCGTCGGCGGCGCGGTCGGTGGGAGCTTCGCGCCAGGCCTGCAGCTGGGGGCCGAGGGCGGCACACGAGTCGGTGACCAGGCGTTGCGACGAGGCGGACGAGGGTGAGACGGGCAGCGAGGGAAAGAAGGGCGTGCTCGCGGGCATGACTGCGCAGCGGCATTGCTGAGACGAGGCCGGCAGCGGGGCGGCGTGGGCGAGGGAGGAGAGCAGGAGGAGGGTGGTGAGCATCATGGTGGGCATGGTGGGCGGGATTGGGCGGGTCGGATGCGTGGTGAGCGGGAGGTGAGGGCGGTTTTGTTTGGAGCCACGGCGTTGGCTTGGCTTGTGGCACGAGGAGCGGATGGTTTGACCGGTGGGCTGGGCGGTGACAATGCCGGTCGAATGAGAGCGATGCAAGGGCGGGCCCGGCTTCTGGAACGAAATGTGGAGAGGGGCGCTTTTGGCGGACAACGCAGGCGGGCTCCACCTATGCAAGATTCCAGAAGAAAAAGTCTGCCGCGGGCTGAGGATGGCGGCTCTCATCAGCTCGGGCAGTGGTGAGTCTTAAGGGCCAGCGCATGCACGCATGATGGCCGTCGGGCGCTACTCGGGCACGGGCTAGCGCGGGGACTGCGTGCCGCACGGGACCGGGGCTGGCGCGCACCGAGCTTGTTTCCTGAGAAGCGGCGGCGCGGGAGGAAGCCAGTGGCGGAGCGTCAAGATTGGCGGAGGGCGGGCGTCTCGCTGGGTCGCGGTTGTCGCTGGTTCCTGGGCGGCAGCACGGCGGGTGCCTGGCAGCGCGCAGGATTCGCGCCAGCCGAGGCCTCCGACCGACCCAACCGTGCCGCTGCCTTTATTTTTGGCTGCCTCAGTGTCCGTCGTGCGACAAACATAGACTCGGCATTGGCAGCGCGTACACAGTAGGCAGTCGGGCAGCCGGGTGCTGCTGAGAGGACGGAGCTGCTGACAGCGGGCGTAGCGCGCCCCCGCGCCTCTGCCATCACCGCTACCGCGCCGCGGCCGTCACGCGCTCGCGTCTAGCGGCGCACCGTCGCGGGTCGGGCTTCTGTGAGGCCGGAAGTAACGGAAGTCTTCTGGAATGAGAAGTCAGGAATGGGCCGGGGGCTGCCGAGCTTTGGTCAGCCATGCGTTCGCTTCGGCCTCTTCCCGCTGTCCGCTGCGTTTTTCGTATCCAACTCGTACCAGAGATCACCGCGCTGCCCATCGTCATCGCCCACGCCGTCCATCGCACCACCGCCCTACGGCGCTCTCGTCGTACGACTCGGCGCAATAAGACCATCACGAGCCCCGACGGCCATCGTCCTGCCCATTCTCGTCTGCTCCCGCGCCGTTGAGCCCTGCGTCCGGCACTTGCCCGCCGCGACCCACCCACCGCCGTGTTCTTCACGCCCCGCACGCCAAATTTTCGCTCGTACGGTTCACGGGCTCACGGGCTCACGGGCTCACGGGCTCACGGGCTCACGGGCTCACGGGCTCACGGGCAATACGGCGCTCCACCGCACCCTGGCCTTGAGCGGTCAACTCGTCGAGTGCAATCCTCGTCGAGAATGTGAGAAGGAGCTCGAAAAATGCTCTTTCAATAATGGAAGCTCACAATCTAACCCGCGGCTCCTTTCCGGCCTCTTGCTTCGCCTCCTTACTACGTACTGTATGCATCCGTAGTCTTGCGCTCTTCGGTCCCCACCAACTCTCCTATCTCTCCTGCTGCGCCACACTTTGACCATGGACACTATTGCTCCCGCTCGCTTGTCTTGTGGTTGTGCCCTCTGCGCTGGCACATATGCCCATGCGCTGCCCTGTGCCTGATATTGACTCCTATTCCGCTCTCGTCGTCTTGACCATCAAATGAAAAACCCCGCACCGGACAGCCCTATTTTGCGGACGGACGGTCCATGTCGAGCCAAAGCAAGCAGGAAAAAATTTTTGTTGCTTGATTGGGAGCGGCGCTGACCCTGATAATGCCGTGCGATCTGCAGCTCGCCTTTGACCATGGCGCACGCGCCAGCAACACTACCCGAACAAGCACCACATGGACTGGTGTGGCTGCTACCTCACCGAACGTCACTTTCTGGGCGGGTTGGCTGGACGAGCCCAGGGATGCTTCCTGCCTCGACGCATTCCTCCCTTGCAGTGTTGATGTTTCTCCCCAGGCATGTAGCGTGGCCAGGACGAAAGATTCCATCCTGAAACCCCGCCTCATTTGCTGGCCTTAATACCCCAGCTCAGCGTGCAAGCCACTGCGCCCGCTTTCGGCTGTGCAAGTCGTTCGCTACTCCCCCACTGCGCCCAGCTTCAGTCTCTCATTATGCTTTTCGCTTTCTTTGCGCTCTGCGCTCTTACGCTCTTTGCTCCAAGTGTTTCGGCCGCTGTGCGCTTCAGGCATGAGGCCCATGGCCTGCAGCGCCAACGCCAGAAGCAGCTCGCTGACGACGGCAAGGAAGAACGATCCCTCGACAAGCGCCAGCTCGTTGTCCCTTCCATTGATTCGAGTATTCTGGAGAGCATCATGACCCTGGCTGCTGAAGAGGCCACCGCCAGTGCTGCTTTGCCCACGCCCACGCCCGATTCCACCGTGTATTCTTACTACTACCCTTCGCCCTCTGCCATTCCAACCCCCATCACCCGGCAGAGCCAGGTTGAGACCACCTACATTCCCCGCATCACCACATGCAAAGGCCCTCCCGTCGCCTTGGACGTACTCGAGCAGTCCACCTTCCCCTACCGCAACTCCACCTCTACCATCTTCGGCCGAGGCCCCATTACCTGCGACACCCTCTACTACACTGACACCACCACCATATGCGCCACAACACTCACCGGTGTCGCCAGCAAGGTCACCATTTCTCGATGCACCCAGGATGTGACCTTCTCCAGCGAGTTTGACGCCACCATGGTGACGTCACGCTCCATCGTGACCGGCAGCGACGGCCACCTTTCGACCATCACCGACGCGCCCTCCTTCCAGCTCCGCACTACTTACTACATGGCTCCCTGGCAATCTCTGACGGCTAACACTGGCGTGCTGCCTGCCGACGTTGACGTCAAAGTTTGCCATCCGCGCCCCGGCAACGGCACCATGGAAGACTGCATACGCATGGAGGAATCTTGGGCCGTTCTTCCCGTCACACTGACGTCCACCTTCACCAGCTCCGTTGATGTCCTGGCTACCCTGACCGAGGGGCCTGGTGAATATCTTGTCGGCACTGTGCACGGCCAATTTGTTGGTAACACGACCACCGTGAGCCTGTCGACCGAAATGATCCTGAACCACGTCTATGAGGCTGAAACGATAAGTCGAGCACCAAGGATTGGACCGTTTGCAACCGACTCCGGATTGCCGGGAACACCAGTCAGCGCCCCGGCCATAGCTACTGCAACCCCAAGTGATACTGGATCGCTGCCGACAATACATTTAACAAGCACGAGGACAAGGACAAGAACGGTAGAGGTGGCCTCTTCAACTGCCTCTTCAACTGCTTCTGAGGACGAGTGAGTGCTTTCATTCGAGGGATACAATACGAATTGGTGGGATGCTGATCAAAAGCCTAGGGAAACAACCACGCTCACGGATCAGAGCACATCAACACTCTACACCGGCACCTCTACAGTCTATGTAGACGATAATCTGCTCTTTACTGAAATACCGTCTGCTGCAATGTTATTCGCAGAAAGTCAAGTATCGACTCCAGCGGTGTTTGCAATTTCGGAGACTTCTACGACGCCACTTTCTACGCCGCCCGATTTCTCCGATAGCCTAACCACAACTCCAACAGCCATCGTGAACAACATCATCTCTCTCTGGATGCAGGCCCTTTATCCTTCGGTTGTGGAGCCTGCTGTTGTGGAGTCCACCCCATCTTCCGTCGAACTTCCACCATCCTCCCTGGCTCCGTTAGTCGCTGAATCAAGTTCAGCTGCACAATGGACCCCTGAATTTGCGCCTGTCACGCAAAGTCCAAGTGCTGGAGCAAGTCCCGTTTTAGTGCCGCCCCCTTTGTTTTTGCATTCATACCCGACAGTGCCTTTGGGAGGGATTGAGCCATCAGCTACGCCGTCTCTTTCAACCCCAGTGCAAGCCGCGACGTCGGCTACATCAGCCAGCCCCTCCTCGTTTCCAATAAAATGGCTTAACACAACGATGTGAGTACTCGGACATTTCCAGCAATGACTCTAAAGAGGCTGACCTTTCTGTAGTCCGCAACGTCGTTAGTTTTATGCGCGAATGAACATTTTAAAGGCACATGCCAATGGAAGTAACGCCTACCTACGCTCATTTGATCAGGTGCACACCAATCCCTCAGTTTCTTTTGAGCAAAACGCTCACGCAGCTCGAAACACAACAGCTGTCAAGTTCTTTGCCGGTTGTCAGCTGGGTCGGAAAATCCTTTCCCATCATGTCTACCCACTTGCATGTAATATCTTAATGTTCATTTATATCATGAAGTCCTTTTTGTCTCTCTCTCTCATTTTCTCTCGTGCCAGCTAAACCACGCGTTCTTGTCTCCCACGAGGCTATTGTCAGTCTACCCATAGGGGCGCATCTGACTTGCCCATCGCAGGCCCCCTCTCTGGTACAAAAGCCTCTATTTAAACCCTCACTTCCTCATTCCCCCTCGCCACCGTTCTCACTGCGACTTACTTATCTTACTGCAGCAAGGCAGCTTCACCGACCACCAATTCAACATGAAGCTTCTCATTTGTCTCACGGCCATGCTCGCGGTCCTCTTGCAGAGTGGGCTCAGTAATGCTATGTCCTTGGATTTCACCATGATCACCTCATCCAGCAATGACAAAGACATTTTCACCGTAGCTCGGGGCCCTCAATCCACTAACATCAATGACATATCCCCCGTACAGCCGGTAGTCGTACCCATTTCTGAGGCTGACGAAATATCCATTGTCACAGCCTCAGGTATTGGCTCAGTCCCGACACGTACACAGACCTCAACCTGTCACACAACCTCGACGGACACGGCAGTTCCGCCCGCGAATATAAAGAGAAACGAGGGAGGCTACCAACCCTACGGAGATCCTTTCGATCCGCCGCCGCCGAAGAGTGCTGCGGTTGCAAACTCGTGTGCGTACTCTCTACTCCTTGTTGCGACAACCCTCTGGGTGACTCTCCTTTTGTTTTCTCTCCCTCGGTCAACAATCGCCGCCACGATCCCGCCAGCGCCTTCCGCACCACTTGCATCTCCAAATGTCAAGAGTAATGGAGGGGGATACCAGCCTTACGGAGACCCATTCGATCCACCGCCGAGAAGTGGTGCACCGCAGGGAGTGAGGCTGTGTGCTTCGTTGTCCGTCGCAGTCATGGTCCTTTGGGTGGTTCACTTCATCTTTTCCATTCCCCATGGGGCAGCCGCGGAATCCACCACCACGCTTGGTATGCCGCAGCAGCACAAAAGAGTTGCAGGAAGTGCAGTTGCTGGCGGACACGGTGCGGACGGCGAATGTGCTTTAGGACAGAAGGCTCAGTCAATCCTGCTTCCGCTCATCGAGACACTCCTTGCCGCTCTCTGGGTACGTTATGTGTTCAGACAGCGCCAGGCGGTTGCTTCCGGAGGCGACCTCGCTCGTGCCAGGAACTAAACTCAGGGCTCTTCGTAGGTAGACTATTGACATCCCTTTCACACTAAATGGTCAAATGCGTTTATCAAACGGTCAACACTCGCGACTCTTTTCAGGTTGCTCTTGGATGAGGATGATTTTGGGACCAACGACTCCTTAAGTTGTTGCCAAAGTTGCATGATGATCAAAGTGGCAACGAATGTTCAATAGCTTCAATGGAGATTATGTGCTTTTGTATAAAATTCCAACGATTGGCTCCGGCGACATTCCGCAAGTAGTGACACGACGTCCTTTGAGGGATGGCGGAGGACATATTGAGTCTACGTAGATCCAATACAATTTCAGAAACAAAGCCTAAAAATTTGTTATTCATGAGGGGTGGGTATATTAAATTTCAAAGAAGGAAGGAACAAAAGAAAGGCATCGTTGATCATTTCGAACATGAGCTCAATTCAGTAGTACTAGGTCTGAAAATTCCCAGAAGAGGTCCAGATACACAAAACAGGGTTGATTTGTATTCTACATGTGCTATGAGCAACGATTTCTAGTATACACAAGCAGATTGGTTAAGCCGGGTCCCCATACGACGCCGTCCAGTGCGCTCTAACGAGACTTCTATTCTACAGATCCATTCCCCGGCAACTCTAATCCAACATGATATCATAGCCATCCTTCTCTATTCTAGCAGGATTTGCAACCAGGCCGTACTTTCTCCGGACAATCTCGAAAACGATCAGTCCGGCGCTGGTACTTGGGACTTGGCGAACGGTGCTCATAAGAAAGTCTTTATAAAGCCAGTGTCTCCACCCTCCCATGCGCCGAGCTTGGAGACGGCACTGCTCGAACGTCTTTTCGTAAGCATGATAATAGAGGCGAAACACGGAGCGCTTGTTATTCTCTTGCTGCGCAGCAAAATCCATAGACTCCAGACGGCTGTAATGCACGTTCTGGATTTCTGTAAGGGGATGTGCAACGGCCTGCTGGGCTATCGAGGCGGCAATTCCCGCCATCAAGAGGAATGTCGGCTCCATCATGAAATGAGGCTTGATCGTCGGGCGTTCGCCTTCAATGTACTGGATGGTCGACTTCCAGGGGTGCCATTCAAACACGGGAGTGTGTCTCCCGTAGTACTCCCTCACAAATTGGTAGTACATCTGCGATTTGATGTACTCAAAAGTGGTGAAGAAAACCCCTGCACCAAAAGAATCCTTCAGGACAGATAGAGACCATCCGGCAAAGACACCCCGGAGGCCGATCTCGTGGAGCTTGTGGGCTCCGTACTGCCACATATTTTTGTAGCGTCCCTCAAGCATGTCGCTGGTTTGGAAGCGGACCTGAAGGGCATCAAGGGGAGCAGCAATAACAGACTGGATGACTCCGGCCGCGAACCCAGCCGCAAACGTATCCTGCGGGGGCGCGGGTGGGTAGACTCTCTTCGCAGAATGGGAGGACGGCTCGTGAAGGGCTCCCAGACACTGTAAATAGCCAGTGTACAGGACGGCTCCAATCCTGAAAGCACTCAGCAAGTATTTCGAGCGGATAGCGAGGGGGGTGCGGCGTACGTAACGTTTGCTAGCATAGGCGGCAGAACCTGGTTCGGAATAAAAGTCCATCCATGTTCCCGCACAGCGTGGGCGAGGATCGCAGGGGCCGTCATCCGCCATGACCACGGTAGGTTTGCCTGGACGCGTGGGTTGATTGCTCTCGCATAGGCCTGGAGACGGAGCATGAGCATCGGCATTTCACAGAGCGCGGCTAGGGAGCTATACCATGTAACTGCGAAGTGTCAGCGCGAGCGAAGGGGCAGGCGGCAGCGGCAGCGGCAGCGGACGTACTCTATACGAGACCTGAAGAAAGCTTTGATCGGAGCACGGAAATAGAAAGTCATGAACTGCACCGACAGGGCGCGGATGCCCGCAGCGGAGGCGCCCGTGGTCGCATTGGTCTTGGGATGTCTCTTCTGGCGGCGGTCCTGGATGTCGGAGTCCGGATACGGGCCATCGCTGACGGCGGTCATCGTCCGGAGGTGCGACGGGTTGCTGGAGAGGACAGAGGCATGAGGGCGGCGCAGGTGAAGAAAGACAGTTGGCAGCGAGGAGCAGGTGCGGCGGTCACTCGGGCAAAGGCATCCAGCGCGCGCACGCGGAACCTGGGCGCGGCGGAACTGGGCGCGTCTGCATTGGGCAACGTCATTCTCTCGGCGTTTGGTTTTGCCGGCAACCGCGACTGCCAGGGATCCATCAGTCAGTGCGGCGGCCTGCCCGTGCACCTGTCGCGCCAAGAGCTTTCGTGAAGCGCGTTCGCCTGCTGTCTCGACATCCTCTTCCCAGCACCGCGCCTCTCCACCCTCCACCTTCCACCTTTCCGCCGCTCTTCCTCTCGCAATCCGCTTGCGAAGGCGTTTCGCGCGCCTGCCGTCACCATGGCCGAGGAAATCTCCATCGACAAGAACGCTTTCCACGACCGCCTGTCGTCTTTCATCTCGCAATGGAAGGCCGACAAGCGCTCCGGCGATGCCGTCTTCAACGGTGCCAGCTCCATCGTCATCATGGTCGGCAAGGCAAACGATGCCCAGGCCTATCCTAAAAACGTCGCTTTCCAGGTGAGCTTCATCCCCGGCTGCCGTTTGTTTGCTTTCCGCGAGCTCTGCTGACCACCTATGTTGTATAGCTTTGGCTGCTAGGCTACGAGTTCCCCACCACGCTCTTCGTCATCACCCAGGAATCCATCCATATCGTAACCACGAAGAAGAAAGGTAAATGCTGCAACGCCCTGCGGCGAGCTTCGGAAAAGCTGATTTCGTCGCAGCTGCCTACCTGGAGCCGCTCAAGGGTGGCAAGGTCCCGGTCGAACTCCACATTCGTGGCAAGGATGCCGAAGAGAACGCCAAGCAATTCCAGCAGTGTCTGGAGGGAATGAAGGCTGCCGGCAAGAAAGTTGGTGTGCTGACCAAGGATCAATCGACCGGTCCATTCGTTGAGGAATGGAAGAAGTCCTACGGGGACATCTTCAAGGACGCCGAGGAGGTCGACTGTGCGCTCGCTCTTTCTAGTGCTGCCTTGTCCGTCAAAGACGAGAAAGAGCTGGTGGGTTCCAATGACTTTGCTAAAAATAATGCACCACTGACTAAGGACAGAGGGCCATTCGCGATGCCTCGAAAGCGTCGAGCGGTATTGCTAACTACTTCGTCGATGAAATGTCCGAAATCCTCGATGCCGAGAAGAAGATCACCCACCAAGCCCTGGCCGACCGCGTTTCCAGCAAGCTTGACGACTCCAAATTCTTCCAGAAATTAAAGGTCTCGAACAACTTCGATCCCATGAATCTGGATTGGAGCTTCCAGCCCGTGGTGCAGAGCGGTGGCAACTACGATCTTAAGTTTTCGGCGGACTCGGACAAGAACAACCTCCACGCAGGTGTCATTGTGGCGGCCCTGGGCCTTCGATACCAGAGCTACTCTTCGATGATTGCCCGGACCTATATGGTGGACCCGAACAAGTCGCAGGAAGCGAACTACAAGCTTCTGTCTCAGGTCCACCAGACCGTGCTGAGCAGCATCAAGGATGGCGTTCAGGCGAAAGAAGTCTACGCCAAGGCCATCGGTTTGGTGAAGTCCAAGAAGCAGGACCTGGACAAACACTTCCCCAAAAATGTGGGCGGTGGAATTGGCATCGAGATCAAGGATCCCACGCTCCTGCTCAATGCCAAGAACGTCCGTACCTTGAAAGACGGTATGACTCTGCAGATCTCTACCAGTTTCAGCGACTTGGTCAACTCGGAGCCTCAGGACAGCAAGAGCAAGAAGTATTCTCTTATCATCACGGACACCGTCCGCGTAACTGCCAGCGACGTGGTCATCTTCACTAAAGACTCTTCTTCAGACCTGGAGTCATGCTCTTTCTTCTTCAAGGACGAGGAGGAAGAGAAAGCCTCCAAGCCTAGCAAGGCGAAGAAGGATCCGCGCGTTGGTGCTGTGGCTTCCTCTAACATTACGAAGACTCGGCTGCGCCACGAGCGCCAGACCAACCAGAACGCCGAAAAGGAAGAGGCACGGCGCGAGCATCAAAAGGAACTCCATGCCAGAAAGCAGCGCGAAGGTCTTGATACTTACGGTACTGGAACTGGAACTATAAACGGGACGGCAGAGAAGAAGTTCAAGCGCTTCGAATCGTACAAGCGTGACAACCAATTCCCGCCGAGAGTCAAGGACCTGATCGTTCTTGTCGATGACAAAAACCTTACTGTCGTTCTTCCTATCATGGGACGTCCTGTCCCATTCCACATCAACACCATCAAGAACGCCAGCAACAGCCCAGAAGGTGACTTCACGTCACTCCGTATCAACTTTCTATCTCCGGGCCAAGGTGTGGGCAGAAAAGACGACCAGCCCTTCGAAGATCCGACTGCTCACTTTGTTCGAAGCTTGACTTTCCGTTCGAGGGATATTGATCGTATGGAGCAGATTGCCAAGCAGATCACGGAACTGAAGAAGGAGTCGGTACGCCGCGAGCAGGAAAAGAAGCAGATGGAAGACGTTGTGGAACAAGACAAGCTCATCACTGTCAAGAGTAAGCCTACCTTGCTTACGCATCCTCATCGCGTGCTAATTTTGAACAGACCGCAAACCTGCCGTGATCGACATGATTTTCGTCCGCCCGGCTCTGGACGGCAAGAGAGTCCCCGGTGCGGTGGAGATCCACCAGAACGGTCTTCGCTACAACCACGGCAACGGCCAGCATATCGATGTTCTGTTCAGCAACATCAAGCACTTGTTCTTCCAGCCGTGTCAGCATGAACTTATCGTCATCATTCACGTGCACCTCAAGAATCCGATCATGATTGGCAAGAAGAAAGCCAAGGACGTGCAGTTCTACAGAGAAGCTACGGAGATGCAGTTTGACGAGACGGGCAACCGGAAGCGCAAGCACCGCTATGGTGATGAGGAAGAGTTTGAGGCTGAGCAGGAGGAACGCAGGCGGCGCGGTCAGCTCGACAAAGAGTTCAAGGTATTCGCCGAGAAGATCGCTGATGCTGGGCGCAATGAGAACGTTGGCGTCGACATCCCTTTCCGCGAGCTGGGTTTCAACGGTGTCCCGTCGCGGTCTAGCGTATGGATCCAGCCAACGACAGACTGTCTCGTGCAGCTTACCGAGCCTCCGTTCCTCGTCCTTACTTTGAACGAGATCGAAGTTGTTCACCTCGAACGTGTCCAGTTCGGGCTAAAGAACTTTGACATGGTCGTCGTCTTTAAGGATTTCACGCGGCCGCCGTCTCACGTCAACACAATTCCGGTTGAGTCTCTCGATGCAGTCAAGGACTGGCTGGACAGCGTTGAGATTCCGTTCTCCGAGGGACCGGTCAACCTGAACTGGGCAACCATCATGAAGACGGTGCAGGCGGACCCGCATCAGTTCTTCGTGGATGGCGGCTGGTCGTTCATCGCAGCCGACTCAGACGAGGAAGGCGGCGATGAGAGCGAAGAGGTAGAGAGCAACTTCGAAATCAGCGACTCGGAGCTTGCCGAGAGCGAGTCGGAGTCGGAGGAGGAGAGCGACTTCGACGAGTATGCGTCAGACGAGGAGACGGACGCACCAAGCGATGTCAGCGAGGGCGAGGATTGGGACGAGCTAGAGAAAAGGGCTAAGAAAAAGGATCAGGATGCTGGTAGCGGTTCGGAGGATGACGATAGGGGCCAGAGGAAGAGAAAGCGGTAGATTCCACCGTGCGGGCTGCTTCTCCACTCTGCGGTGGTGTAGTTCCTCTTTTCCACTTTTTCTGAAAGGCTTTCTCTGACGATCGATGTTGCTGGGGCACGCAGGCTTTAAAAGCTGCGTTTGGATTTCAAAAGGGATATTCACTATAGCGGCGTGGCTGGATGGGTTTTCATTTTCGTTTGCATTTTGTTTCTTGCAGCCGGTCGGCTGTGGCTTCTGCCACGGTGGAGGCCGAGCTATCAATCGAACTATACCCGCACGAGTCGCGTGTACACACACCGCCGACGCAGCAAACCACGGGCTCCACCCCTGCCAAGCGACGTACCTGCACTGAGCTTCGGGCATGACGTGTTTAGGAAGCTGCGCGCACCAGAGAGCGGACGTGCGGGGTGTTCTCGAAGGGATTGACTCGCAACGGCGGCGGGGCAAGGCAGCAATTGAGCCGTGATAGCTCCGGCAACCACGGCGGTGGTGTTTTTGTGGGCTCGCGTGCGAGTCGCGGTGACGGGCGGCTGGCTTCTGGAAAGACGGGCGGGCAGCTCCAGGCAGCTCCAGGCAGCTCCAGGCAGACAGCCGGCCGCGATGCCACTAGCAACGCGTCCTTGGTGGTGCGGCAGATGGACGGAGGCACAGAGAGGGGCGGCAGCACGCTTGCCCCTGGAGGCAGCGCGCTCGAGGGTCGGTGGTGAGGTGCTGGGGCGCGTGAGGCAGTCGCTCAGGCACGCAAGGGCTGCGGCGCGTCCTGATAGGCTCCCGGACGCGTTCGCCGGCACGCCTCCCGCAGGCTGAGGGCTGGCCTGGTGGACGCAAGCGGCAGGCTTCGGATGCGGGCTGGCGGGCTGGCTGGTGTTTTTTTTAAAGGCGCTGGCTCGCCTTCACACAGCGCTGCCTCAGCACGCCGTCGGGGCTCGAGGGCGCTCGCCGGCTGCACCAGCCACAGGCCCGCGGCGGCGGGAGGGCTGCACGGCTTGAGATGACGACAGGGAGCGCTCCGGTGCGATGCGTTGGCACCCACCAATTTGTACGCACATGCCCCCAATCCTCTGGCTGTCTGCTGCTGAATGCCCGGACCGCGCGCCCCGCTAGTACAGCCGTCTCCAGGCCCGGAGCAGTCGCCGTGCACTGGCTGCCGACCTGACCACGACGAGAGAGGCCAGGGATCGCGGCGAGGAGGTACAGGCTGACCGGTGCGCGCAAACGCACTGCGCGACGATAGCATGCGCCAATTGCCCGCTCCGCGCAGCTCCTTGTCCTCCTGCACCTTGCCACCAGCCCGTTGAAAAGTGCTCGCGCCCAAGACGTTGCGGTGACGGCCCAGCTCCACGACTGCTCCAGCTCCCGCCGCCAACACCACCACCGCCGCCGGCCACCGACCCTTCCGCGCCCTGCCCGCAAGCACCCCGACCTGCCCAAAGCGAGCGAGCGCCGGCATGCGCGCGCCTCCTACGTCCGGCGCCGAGACGTTCCTGACCCTGCCGGCCGCGGTAAGTTGCGAGAGCGCGATGACGCCGTTGGAGTTGTTCACCTACGTCCTCGCTTCACCGTGCACTCCAGGCCAGCCGCCAGCCCGCGCATTGGCCCGACCTCCCCATTTTCACCACCACCAGCCTCTTGCCATTGTGCGCGGCCAGGTCATACTACTGCCTGCGCTGGCGCGCCGCTTGTCTTCAGCCCGTACTAACTCCCGCCCTCTGCAGAGCCCCAGCATTCCTTGTGCTTCTTTCCCGGACCAGCCCGTCTGCAACCCGACATCCCGCTGCAGCTGCCCTGACACCCTCGGCCTGGCCACACCAGCCGGTCCCTGCGAATAAGCACTCTCCAGGGCCGCTCGCCCTCAGTCGAATTGACGTCTCCAGCCCGCAGCGCGCAGCTGTCGACCAGCGTGTCGGCCGCAGATCCGCCGCCGCAAGCTCACGAGACCCACGAACGTTACGAACCCTACACGACCTCCCTCCAGCAACGCCAGCAGCAGGCCCACCAGTACTACCGCCAACACGAGCCCCTCTCGCGCCCTTCCAGCTCGTCCGGAAGCATCCCCCACACCCTCCGTCGCACTCCAGAGCTACAGGACCTCAATCGCCAAGCCTCCGCCTCCGCGCCCAGAGACACCGCCCAGGAACATTGGGAGTCCGCCCGCGAGGCCGCCAACTCGCGCAGGAACTCTGCCACTGAGGACGACCCCGGCGCTCCTCACCCGGCGCTCCGCATCTCGCGGCGCACCCAGGCCGCCATCCTGTACGCTCTCGAAGAGGCTCTCCGCGGTCCCAACGAATTCTCCCCCGACCTTGCCGAAGAAACCGCCCAGATGTCTGACCTTCTCGGCGGCAACGGCCGCGCAACCAACGGCGGCGCGCGCTCTGCCGCCGGCCCGGTGCCCGTCCAGCAAGCGCCGGCGCCTATGCGCACCCCGCAGCAGATTATGAGGGCCCGCCACGAACGCGAGACGGCACGCAAGCAGGCTGAGGCTGAGGCAGCGAAAGAACGAGAGGAGCAGGTACAACGGGCGCAACAGGAGGAACAGCGTAGGAAAAACGCCGAGAGGAGAGCTGCCGCTGCTGGCGTTGCTGGCCAGACCCAGGATTATGGAAGAACCGAGCCTGCACTCGGCAGGTCCTCTGCCGAGGCTGCGTTCCCCAACTACACTACCGCCGCTCCTCGCCCTGGTGAACGACCCCAGGGTGGTGCTGGAGGTCCGGTCATGTCACCAGGACGTGGTCAGCCACAAGACCCCGCTGCAGCTGCACGCTCTCGAGGCCCGGCACTGTCACAAGGACAACCACGCGCCGCGCCCCAACAAACCGCACCAGCTTCGGCACCAGCTCGCCCCGCGCCGTCGTCTTCTGCGCATGCGAGGCAAAATTCCGCGTCTGCCTCGCAGGCCCGCCCAGGTGCATCCGCGGGCCCGTCTAGCACCCAGACGCGGGTAGCCGGAGATGGCCAGGCACGTGATCCGACCGTCTCTACCTTCCCGCACGCGTTCGAGCGCTGGGAGCAGCTGTCTTCTCACTGGGAGGGTCTCACGTCTTACTGGATCCGCCGGCTCGAACAGAACCAAGAAGAGCTTGCCGGCCAGTCGCTCACGCAGCAAATGTCGCGTCAGATCACCGATCTTTCCGCGGCGGGCGCCAACCTTTTCCACGCCGTTGTTGAGCTGCAGCGCCTGCGTGCTTCTTCCGAGCGCAAATTCCAGCGTTGGTTTTATGAGACTAGGAGTGAGCAGGAGCGCCAGCAGGAGGGACTTGGTGAGCTACGGAAGGCTATTGAGGTGGAACGCGCGGCGCGTGAAGAGGCGCTTGAGCAGTTGCGCGGTGAGAAGCAAAACAGCATGAAGGCCAACAAGATGGTTCAGGAGATGCAGCGTGAACTCAGCATCTCCAAAGATGAAGCCAGAAGGGCGTGGGAAGAGTTGGGCCGTCGCGAACAGGAGGAGCGCGAGCGTGTAGTTTCTCTGCGCGAAGGCCAGCCAACCCTTGTCGGCGGCGTTCAGGTCGTACCCATGCTCCCTGGAATGAGTCGGCACGGAAGCATCTCGCAGAATGTAGCGCCAGGCGCTGGCCACGGCCTCCAGCAGCCTGCCAACATCGAAGGCGGCTACAGCTACGAAGACCCGCAGTCACCCACAGACACCGATCCGTTCACCGAGCCTTCTCGGTTGCATCACGAGCCTGACGTACCATCGCTAGCCCAAGGAACTTACCAGCCAGCGCACCCAAGCGTTTCGCAGGGCTCCGGTAGCACGGCGGCAAGGGCCACGATGCCGTCCAGCATCTCGCCGGCCCCACTCCAGCCGCACACGTATACTCCCGGTAGCACTGCGGCAGCCCTGCCCTCGCCATCCGCAGCGCCAGCAGGCGACTTCTACCAACACGATGGAACATTCCTGCCCGGCGGACGCACACCAACTAGCGGTGTGATGAGCCCCCCAGGCGGCGAACGGTCTTACGTGCCTTCTTCGGTCGGGGATACAAGCTCCATTGGAGGCGAAGACGATTGGCTTGTCGACCAAGATGGCAACTACATCCACGACAGCCACGGACGGCGCATTCCCGCGCGGTATCGTGACTCGGGTGCCACTTATGGCCACGGACGTTCGCGTTCTCAGCAGAGCGGCGAGGGCAGCGAAGATGACTATGATGTTCATTCGGACATTGCACGCGAACAGGAGCTGGCGCAGCGTTACGGCATTCCGTCCACTTCAATGGGCTCTCCCAGCGGAACCAGCACTTCTGGGCCCCACGATCCGGGCTACGGCCCGAGTGGGAGTGCTCCAGACTACAGCGGTGCGGGCTATGGCGAGTGGGCTGGCATGCGCCATCATCACCCCACCCGTCTGAGCGATGTCCTGGAAGAGGATGAAAGGAGCCGGACGAGCGCAAGCCGGGCTAGCCAAGCTAGCCGGGGAATGTATTAAATGGGAGGGATAGGTATATGTGAGGTATGAGCAGGGCATGAATGTTAGCGGGCGATGCGGCACGAGCGAAGTCAAACAGTAAACTTCGATTCTTGCGTATACATGTTCGGCACGACAAGGAAAAAAACTTTCTGTTGAGTGGTTTGCGTCTCTTTTTTTTTCCTTCTTTTTTTTCAGGCTCTATACCTCCTAAGTCTGTGTAATCACTTCTCGTTATCTCCCATACTTCAATTCGGTGTTCGTTTTTGTTGCTTGATACCCTCGGACTCCCTAAGGCTAAGGCCGACAGTTTTTCCTTCCGAGTTCGTCATCGGCATCAGTAAGCGTTAAGGGGATTTGGTGTTTTTCTTTTCTTTTCGTGTTCTCATTGACTAGTCGAAGGGTTGTGGTTTCGTTGATCCAGCTTTTTGTGTTTGCTTGTCCGGGTTCTTTTTTTTTTTTTTTGGTTTATGCATTGCATTGTAGCATATTACTTCCCGAGTCCCCCCTGTCCCGCTGCAAAAGCTTTGCATGTTGAGGATTTTGCACGTTTTTATTTTATTTTTTCCTCGCACGCTCGGCATCTGCTTCGTTGTTCTAGGGATGAATTTGATGGAATGCTCGAGGGCAGAATAGTGGATATGGAGGACGGTAAACGGTTAATGGACGGATAATTCTTCGAAGCTTGTGTTGCCTACAACGTGTCGTACTCTGACAGGAAGGCGAGAAGTGAAAAACCATGGAGCGTCAGGGAAGCATGATACCAGCTGTTCGTGACACCCAGAACTGTTGTCTGCTGACCTGTTCCTTGTCAATCTAGCCATGGATTACTCGGCTTCAGGCAATGTGAGTCAAGAGGTAAACTGTGGGGGTGCTGTCACGCCGGTCCAAGAGGAAGTTTGTCAAAGAATACAGTGTCAGTACTCTTATGAGTGCCTCCAGCGGCGACCGGACGAGGCCTCGACTATTTCATCATATGTCGTACATCTAGTTACATATTTCCCCAACCTCTACTCAGCGCTGACAGCGAGATACTAAGTGAACTAGGCTTTAAGCCCTGCGCTCGCATTGAATTTCTTCTGGATGTCCCCCGCCTCGGGCAAAGCTTTGTGAGAGGATAGAACAAAATCTCACGCGGGGGTTCAAGGGCTGCCATGCTACTTGGAGTCGGATATCCGACCCAGATTCAGACGCTTCAAATACTACGTCCACACGACCAGAGCCTCAAGCCACCACCACTGCACGTTTTCCCCTTGTGCGACAACAACATCGCATCAACAACAGCGACAGCGACAACAGCAACAACAGTGATGCATACTGTAAGCGCCTACCAAACCTACCTCTTAAGCAACCCTCCCCCTATTCCGTCTCGCTTGTATCCCCAGCCACATGAACACAAGCGGGTAGGCAGTAGGCCAAAAAGCGCGCGCATCGACCGGGAGGCGCCAAAGGGCAATTTTCCAGACTTTCAGATGCGACGTCCGACGTTGGCACGCGCCGACGTCAACAACATGCAGGAAACCCATTGTTATTATTCCCCACCATCGCGTTCAAGCTTGATTGGGTGTCTCGAAAAGGAAGGCAGGGCAATGTCTCCCACGCTTTCAGATGCGGCGTTCGACGTTAATGGCAGGCACAAACGAGCCTGACATCACGAAGGGGGAAAAAAAAATCCGTCTGGTCTTACCGTGCTCACGCATGTTCGAATGCGAGCCTCAAAGGGAGTAGTTGCCCGCTCTTTCGATTGCGACGTCCGACGCTGGGTTGTGGACCGTCGTTGGCAAAAGAAGGTGCAGAAAGCTGTCCCCTACTCAAGCATCATTCGGGGTGCGTCAAGAAGTAATTTCCCAAACTTTCGAATGCGACGTTCAACGATGGGTTGCGGACCGTCGTTGGCAAAAGAACGTGCAGCAAGCCGTCCTCTGCTCAAGCACCGTTCGGGGCGCGTCGAGAAGTAATTTCCCAGACTTTCGAATGCGACGTCCGACGTTGGTATGAACCGGGCGTTGGCATATTGTGCAGAAAGAGCCGGTCCCGTCGTGCTCGCGCGCATACATCAAGCGCGTCAAAGTAATTTCCCAGACTTTGGATTGCGACGTCCAAGGTTGATGGCATGATAATGCAATAAAAGCCGTGCGGTGAGGCTCCAATGGCACCATGGCATCACTGCGCCTCCCGGATCGAGCCCGGGCGTACCATGCAACGGCTTCCGACGTCTGAAGTTGGTGGAGAGGGTTGGAGGGAGAGGAGATTAATGCGAGCCGACCGGTCTGTGAGGCAGGAACCGAAGGGACCGAAAGAAACGAAATGGGGGAGAAGAAGGCCGTTGCTCGACCGGCCGTCTCTAGGGCCCGGGTTGGAAAGATAGAGGAACGGAAACACGAGAAAATATCAGTTTTCCCATGGAAACGGAGGAGACCAAAAGGGGAAAAGAAAAGGGGAGGAAGTCGTCGGCTGCCTCTCGCGTTTAGTTTGGTACCGGGACGTTTCAGCCTCTTTTCGTGCCAAAACGTTTGGCTACCTTGGCGCCCGCCACCCGGTCCCAAACTTGCAGGTTTGGGTGGAAACAACTCCAGGAGCCGAGTGTTTGGGCCGTGTTTCATGTTTCATCATCAACTTTCTTTTTTTCCTGCTCAACAAGATGCTCAAGTGAGGAGAGTCTGCGACATAGGGCTCTGTGGCCTGGAGAAGCTCGCGCGCAAACGGGCCATTCAGTCTGGCCATTGGGTTAAGAGTGCAAACCGGAACATCAAAATAGATCAGTAAAGAAAACTTTTAACAGTTGAGAATGATTGGCATTTCCCACATGTACACCTCCGACCAACGAGGTCGGGAGTGCAACGAGTGCTACCAAATGGTGACAGGATGGACAACTGTTTCCATCGAATTAGCGTGTGAAATATGGGACGCCTTTCTAATGTAGTAAATCAAGGCCGCTATAACAAAGAATCTCAAAGCGAAACGCCAGGCCATGCTTCGTGAAATCATGCGATCATCGTGTACAAGTCGAATCCAAAGGTCGGCGTGCGCCTTAGATCATCATGTCGTCAAGAAAATACCCTCAGATGCTTAGAACTTCTCCATCATGTTCTTCCGGACCGTCCACATGCGGGCTCTCTTCCCGTAGATGTACATGGGGATGGTGAAAACGAGGAAGGCGAGCTGAATGCCGCCAACGGCGAGGAAAACATCTTTGGCGCCGTCGGCTTCAAGCCAACGGGTGAAAAATAGGGAGAATATGAAGCCATGAAACACGTCTAGATGAAACTGTGAGTATTTGGGTCAAAGTGGATTGATCCTTCGGAATACTTACTCTTCGAAAAGTTAAGTGTAACCAGGGCTTCACCTGCATACTGACGATACGAATCGACGCAGAATGTGATGGACGTTGTGCTGCCGAGAGAGCAACCGAAACTGATGATACCGAAGAATACAGTTGGCACTTTTACAACGTCAGCGCAGCTTCGACATCGGATTGTGAGGGTCAAGCTTACCGATCCAAGCGTCCTTCTCTTCAGCACTCCAGCCGAAGCCCATCAGACCAATCACTGTGCAAATCGTCATTGGAATTGCCATGACCAGGCGGAACTCGGGCTCGTAAACGCCGTCGTTGCGTCTTGACATCCATCGAACTATGACATCGCTGACCTTGCCAGCAACGGCTGTACCCAGCACGCCGCCGATGAACGGGCTGATGTAGATCAATCCAGTCTGCAAAGCGGTGAAGTTGTAGGAATCGCTGTTACGGTAGATGTGAGCGACCGACTCGGACAAGACGATCAGCCAGCCAATGGAAAGAGAATAGACGACGGTGCTCCAGAGCACAGCTGGGTATGCAAAGAGGATAAAGGGACGAGCCATGACGCGGAACCAGTTGTCGCGGGACAAGCGGCCTGAATAAGGAGCAAGAGTTTGGAGATACGTCTTCTTCGGACCCTCACGGTAACGATCGGTATAGTGGCACACGGGCGGGTGGGGTGTCGATGTTCCCGATGCAGCCTCGAGATCAGGACCCAAATGCGCAAGCGAAGGCTTCTCAGAGAGGGGCGGTGACATGTGGGGACTGTGCGGGGCAGACAGCGCAGGAGACTTCAGAGCGGAGCGAACGGGAAGGGCAGAATGCTGTTGGTTCGCATCGCTCTTGTCTTGCGCCTCAGCATCAGGACCGAAGTAGTCCTCGCCGTGGGTTTCCACCTTCGACTCAGACTCTTCCTGGGCTTCGGCGGACGGTGCAGGAATCACCTGAATCTCAGGAGCGTCTTGTCCAGCATCTTCAGATTTGGGTGCCGGGTTCTCGGCATTCTCCTCGGGCTTATCATCGGCGAATCCGACATGAGCATGAGGATTGTGTCGCTTTCTCGGGCCCATGGAGCCTGGAGTCTCCGGGAGGGTGAGTTTCATGTCCGTCGACTGATTGAGCTTCTCGTTGACGTCATTCAAGTCTGGGTGAGATGGATGAGATGGTCCCGGAGACTTTGCATGGCTGTGGAAGAAGTCGCCAAGATGCTTGGATGAGCGACCGGCTGGCGATGTGGCTCGGGACTTGCGGTGCCTGCGACGAGGGCGAGGTGTTCTGTCCCAGAAGGTTTCGGGCACGAAGAAGAACAACAAAACGCCGCTGAAACCAACGATTATTGCGACGATCCTGAAGAAGAGTTAACGAACAGCATTAGAAAAGGTTGGCTCAGACATTACCAGAAAACCCATCTCCAGCCGAGTGATTGGATGATGGCGGCGCTGACTAAGGGCACCAAGTTCTTGCCACCCAAAAGCAGTAGGGTGTAAACACCCAGACGATAAGCACGCTCATGCAGGAAAAAGATCTCAGCAATGGTCGCAGAGGGAAGGCACTCGACCGGAGAGACAGCAACGCCCTGAACGATGCGAGCTATCAAGAGCGAGACATAGTTGGGTGACAAGGCACACCAGACTGAACTCAGGATGAACAAAATGACACCGAAGAGGTAGACAGGGCGTTTGCCGTACAGAATGGCAGTGGGGGAGGCGATAACACTACCAAGGCCCAGGCCCAACATGTAAAGACCGGTTGTGAGGGCGACGCTAGCGGTCGAGACGTCGTATGTCTCGGCAACGTTGTTGAAGCCAGCAGCCAAGATTGGCGTCATACCGCCGCCCAGCATACAAAAGAATCCCAGGGACAGCAGCGCAGCGTCGCGGCGGACAGGACGCCAGTTGAGAGGATCGTTGTGTGACTCATCTGGCTGGGGATCGAGGATGATCTGGCCATCTGGGGTTCGCTTTTTCTCGGTGCGAGTGGAAGCGGCACTTCTAATGGAGGGAGGGGGATAGATGGAAGGCAGAGAGGAGGACGAGGTTCTGGCGGGAGCGTTTCGGAGGCCCAAGGGTTCGTTGCGCTGATTGACTTTGGACAGGAGAAGAACAGAGCCTAGGCAAATAAAGTCAGGACGGGGGTGAAGGTCAGGATGGTGCGGGTGGACTGACCTGGGACCTCGTCTGTTTCTCTATCGTTCAAGATACCCAAGCTCCATCTCGGCACGTTCTGCTTCTCGTCGTCGTTTTCCGAGGACTCGGCGCGAGCGGAGGGGTCCTGGCGCTCGCGGCGCGCAGGGAGCCAGCGGACCATAGCGGGTGGAGGGCAGGCGGAGAAGCTGCGGCGGACAGGTGGTTGCTCGAGGCGGGTGGTTTATAAAGGAAACGAGGGCAGGGTAGCGCAATCCAACAAGGTGTGCGGTGGGGCTCGGCGCAGGGACCAGATAGCTCTCCCAGCGGAGCACCAGGCCAGCAGCGATCCTGGATCCTGGGTGGTCGAAGGCGGGTGTCGGCGACGCAGCGAGGAGGCTGTCTCTTGAGGCTCGGGCGCGGACATTGCATCGAGGGCGGCGCGGGTTTCTTGTACGAGGGCGAGGGGCGGTGATTGTTGCGCGAGGTCAGGAAGACCCCGGTCTTCCCCGGGTTTGGTCGTGGAGAAGTCGAAACAGTGTGACGTCGTGAGGCGGCGAAGGATGCAGAGCTGATGGCGCCGGGGTCGCGCCGGGGGTCTCTCCCTCCCTCCAGGACCCTCTCGCCCGCAACGAACGTGTCCAGACGCGCCTGCAGCAGCTGCCTCGCCCGCTGCCTCGCCCGCTGCCTCGCCCGCTGCGTGCGCGCCGGCAGCTGGCACCTCCAGGACGCGCGCGCCAGCCAGTCGGAAGCCATGGCGGGCATCACGAGAAGCTGTCGAGATGGGTGTTGCTTTTTGGTCAGTCGCGACAGCCGCCGCCACACCGCTTGCAGCAGGCAGCTGGCGATCGCAGACCCTGGTGGGCGCGTGAACAGTCGCCTGCCCGGCGTCTGACTGCACCGCGCGCACCGGTTGCGCGACCAGTTGCCCCACCGATAAGCCTTTCGCCGCGCGCGCGCGGCGCACTGGCGGGCCCCATCGTCTTGTCGCCTCATCGCACGCAGACCGCCTCATGGCTCGCTCGCAGATCGACCCGATGGCTTGTCGGCTGACCCAACCACCCATCCTCATCTGTCGCTTCCTTGTCGTTTCCGCATTTGACGTGCGCTTGGCGCCCAAGTGCGGTGAGTGCGGCGTGAGTTGGTGTGCATCGATGCGCAGCCGCGTGGTCGAGTTCCACTGCTCGATGTGCGTGCTGCCTGCCAGGGCTGACGATGTTCTGCAGCCGCCCCAGAGCTGGGCGCGCCTCTACCTGCGGCACCTACCGACCGCCAAGCGCCCGTCTCTCGGCTGCCCAGGACTGCGTACGCGCGCAAGCAACAGCAGCAGATGAAGTCAAGCACCCGTGTTCGGTGCTAAGGCGCAGGCTAACGCAGGGGAGTCTTGACCGAATTGCCTTCGTGCGATGTGGGCCGCGACGATCGAGTTTCCGCATTTGTGGCCCTATTGTGGAAAACTGCTACGGTGGATCCCAAACCAAGAATTCGTCTGTCGCCACGGCCAATCATTAATATCCACTCAAGCACGCGACCAATGGCTCCAAAGCTCGCCTCTGGTTGCACCATGAGCGGTGATGCCTCGGCTAACCCAAACCAGATCAACCGAGTCTCTATATCTCACCCGCGACCGCAATCCTCAATGGTGCGGTGAGCGGCGAACGAAATTGACAATCCTATCTGGAAGCATAATTGTACAGTTTTAATTCTCACATCTCCACCCGGATATCTGCTTCGGCTACTACTTATGGGAACCTACAGGTACACTGTGCTTGCTTCGACTGCCCCCACAATAGATCGCCGTAGGTCAATCTCTTTCGCCACCCACTGTACACCCCCACACACTTCAAGTCCCAGGTGCCAGCAAACTCCCAACTGTCTTTGCGACCGGACAGGGCGTTTCCATGTCGGAGAACAAGCTTACGCAGGTGGCAAATTCCTCAAGGCAACAGGGGTGCTGGCTCCATTGTCGATGCTGTCCGAGTTCCACTCCAAAAGGTAGGTCTGGTTGAGGCTGTCCAACGGGGTGGCGTAGAACAAGGACTCCATGCCCTTGGTGCCGCTTTGGAACAAGGTCCTCCCGTAGAACATGAAGCCGCTGTTGGTGTATCCGCTAGCCGACGACACGATTTTCGCCGCCTCATAGGCCCCGGAGTAGTTGTCGATGTACAGGCTCTTGCTGCCAGTCCATGTTGTGTCGGTGGGCGTCACGACCACGACGCCGGAGCTGATGCTGACTGGGGAAATGCTCAGTCGTCTGGCATCGCTATTGCATTTGGTACTGACCAGTGACATTGGTAGCAACCGAGGCATTTGATGGGGCACTGCCGAGGTACGCAAGTCCTGTGCGCTCTTGTCAATTGAAAACTGCTGTGGACCGTTGCGAAGGCCGGCGACAAACCGTCTGCGTAGATGAAGGGGAGGCCCCCGATGTTCACACCATAACCGTACAGGCTGTCGGCTTCGGTGTCGGCCCGCGAGACATGGACTGAGGCCGTCACAAGCGAGGCAAGACTGCCGCAAGCAACACTGAGCTTCATAGTATAAGTTGAGAGGTGCAATTGGGAAGCGGCGGAAAGAGACGGAGAGAACGGCAAGCCGGCAACCATGCAGCGCTCCGCACCCACAGATATAGAGCACAAAGTGAGCAGGACAGGGGAGGGAAAATGGCAGCATCGCTTATCACAGATCCGAAGATCCTCCACATTGCGTGGCCATGGGCCTAAAAATGGAAGCTAATCTGCCTAGGCCGGGTCCGAGCCGCAAGCTACAAACGCCTCGCAAACTGCATCCTCATCAGAGCGCCCAAGCGAAACAGCCGACCAGGCACCACTGACGCGGCCTTTGAGACTTTCCGCAGACCAACCGACTAGACACTGTTGACGATGCGCAAATACGAGGCTGCTACCGAGCTCCACGGCCCAGTCCGTCTCTCGCTACCATTTGGTGTTTGTGCCGAGTGTATGTTATTCTCTCCGGAACATCAAGCTACCAGCGGAGCTTGACTCTCCGATAGATGATTGTACGTACATACCATTTGGTAGGGCTGAACGGAGCTCTGGAGCCGCCACCTCCACGTATTGAGCGCGCCAAACTCGACACCTGCCAGCCGACATGGCGTTTGCCCCCCGCAGAAACAAAAGCCGCGCGTCTCGTCGTGACTTTCCAATTGCGTAAACGAAAGGAACAGTTGCCGTGTTCGGTAAGCGCCACTGCACGGTGAAGGGACGGAATCAGCCGAGATGCTGCGTTGAAGCTGCCGTCTCCTTCCATGCGATTTGAGTTCTTCTGGATATGCTAACGATGGGTCCATTACCATTCTCCTGAGCGTGGCTCGAACTATGGTGACGCTGGCGACGCTGGTGACGCTTAGCTCTCGCTCAAGCCCACGTCAGCTGTGGAACTGGCAGCCCCTGGCGCACTGTGTTGGACGAGGGCGGACTTTAAATGCTGTGAGGTTGTTCGAACGAATTTTGAGATTCATCCAGGCATCTTGTTCAGTCGCTCTCTTACGAGACTTGGTCTCCAGACATTCATTCTTTTAATTTCTACTTTTTCTTAATCGTCGTTCTTTATTCTCGCCATGGGGTGGCTTCAGAATCTTGTTGTGTATGCTCTTCAGGCCTCTGGAGGTACGCAACAAGGATCACAAGGACAACAGGGCCAGCAAAGCCAGCAAAACCAGCAAAACCAGCAAAACCAGCAGAACCAACAAAGCCAGCAGAACCAGCAAAGCCAACAAGGACAGCAGGGACAAGGCAGTCAGCTTGGGAGCAATGTCCAAGCAGGACACGGCGCTCCTGGCAGCCAGGCCGGAAACGTGCAGCAGAACGTGGCCGTCGCCCCATCTCCTTCTATCACTGTTGCTGGTAGCATCATTACAGCATCTGGGGGGACATATGTCTACGATCACAAGACACTGTCTCCGGGCGGCTCTGCCATTACCATCGCGGGAACAACGTACAGCTTGTTTTCGGATCCCCATGCTTCGACAACCTACCTCGTAGTAAAGTCCAGTGGTCACTCAGCTACGACTCAGACGGTGCAGCAGCCAAAGACAACTAGCTCGAGCTCGACACGTACTTTGACTACCACTGGCACATCCTCCAGCCTTTCTTCCTCTTCCAGCACCACATTGGCTACATCTACAAGAACAACCTCATCCGTCAGGACGTCGAGCGCTAGTTCGAGCCTTCGACTGAGCTCCTCATCGTCTGCCCAGACATCTGTCAGCGCATCCACGAGCTTGCCCACAACTTCGTCGCTCTCTTCCAGCAAGGCTTCTTCAAGCTCGATTGCGTCCGAGTCGGCCTCATCGAGCGTCGTGTCAACCTCTTCTTCTTCGAGTTCAGTCGTGTCGAGCTCAGCCTCGTCGAATTCGGCATCATCTCTTTCTTCATCATCCACTCTTGCTGCGTCTTCAACGACTTCGACTTCTACCGGCACTCCTTGTGCAGGCAACACGGCATCATCAAGGACAGCATGGTGCGACTACAGCATCGACACTGATTACTACAACGTCGTACCCGATACAGGCGTCAGGCGGGAGTACTGGTTCGACCTCCAAGAGGTTACGGTGGCGCCGGATGGCATTGAGAGAATTGCTTTGACTGTCAACGGAACGGTTCCTGGACCGACAATCGAGGCCGACTGGGGCGACACTGTCGTTGTGCACGTCACAAACAACTTTGCATCGAGTCTCAACGGCACCAGCATCCACTTCCACGGCATCCGCCAGAACTACACCAACCAGCATGATGGCGTCGTGAGTATCACGCAGTGCCCGACGGCACCGGGTGAGAGCTATACCTACACCTGGCGGGCAACGCAATATGGAACAACTTGGTAAGCCTCTCGTCAAGCGATTGAAGTTAGCAGAAGACTAAAGGCAATCAGGTACCACTCTCATTTTGCTCTCCAAGCATGGGAGGGAGTCTTTGGTGGTAAGTTTGCTTGAACTGACGGTGCCACTTTACGTGCGGCTCTGATGCATGGTGTTGCAGGCATCAAAATCAACGGACCCGCAACTGCCAATTATGACGTCGATTTGGGCCATCTCTTCCTGAACGACTGGAGCCACGAGACTTCAAGCGCTCTCGAGATCGTATCAGAAACGCAGGGACCGCCGACGTTGGAGAATGCGCTGATCAACGGAACCAACGTGTACAACGATTCCGGAGTGGTGACCGGTTCCCGGTTTGAGACAAGATGGGAAGCCGGTACATCTTACCGACTGAGGTTGGTCAGTGGTGCCATCGATAGCCAGTTCAAGTTCTCTGTCGACAACCACACCATGTTGGTGATCGCGAACGACCTGGTACCCATTGTTCCGTATAACACGACCGTGCTGAACGTTGGGATGGGTAAGATGCGCTGAGAAACGACAATGCAAAGCCCGCGTCGCTGACACTTGAACACAGGTCAACGCTACGATGTGATCATCACGGCTGATCAGGAATCCATCGCGACAGATTTCTGGATGCGGGCGATTCCGCAGACGGCTTGCTCCAACAACGACAGCCCCGACAACATCAAGGGGATCGTCCGCTACTCGACCAGCACATCGTCCGACGACCCCGAAACCACGGGATACGACTACACCAACGAGTGCGTGGACGAAGCCATGAGCGACCTCGTGCCGTGGGTGTCGAAGAACGCCGAGTCCGGGACATCGCTGCTCGAGGCGGTGGCGCTGGGGCGCAACTCGGACAACTACAACCGATGGTACATGAACAGCACGTCGATGGTGGTGGAGTGGAACAACCCGTCGCTGCTGCAGGTGTACGAAAACGACACGACCTTCACCGACACCAGCGGGATGGTGCGGCTGGACACGGCCAACGAGTGGGTCGTCTTCGTCATCGACACGACGATGCCGGTCCCGCACCCCATCCACCTCCACGGGCACGACGTGAGTCCTTTTTTTTCTCTTCTCTTTTTTCCAAAGCTGACATGTCGCAGTTCAACGTGCTCGCCCAGGGAACCGGGACGTACGACTCGTCGGTGACGCTGAACCTGGACAACCCGCCGCGACGGGACGTGGCGCTGCTGCCTTCGGCGGGCTACCTCGTGATCGCGTTCGAGACGGACAACCCCGGGGCGTGGCTGATGCACTGCCACATTGGCTGGCACACGTCCGAGGGCTTCGCGATCCAGATCCTGGAGCGGTGGGATGAGATTGAGCCGTTGATCGACTACGACGTGCTGGAGGAGAATTGCAATGCGTGGGACTCGTACGTGGCGGCCTATTCGGTTGAGCAGGACGATTCTGGGGTGTGAGGGGATGGATGGGTTTGGTGTTTCTCGATGTTTGGAATTTAATTTAGTCCTTTTTTAATTTGATGGCATCCGGTCTTTGATTCCCAGCGAGCAGGGGCGGCGGCGAGGGGCTTTTGAATGACCACGTCGGGCCGGGCCGCATCGTGCCCCGCATGCCGCATGCCGCATGCCGCATACAGCGTCTCGGCCGAGCATCCAGAAGGGTTCGTGGTTCGTGGTTGATGTGCGGCGGGCCGAGATGATGGCGGTGGTTTGTGCACGTCGTCGTCCGGGCGCTGACGACGACAAAGGCCCCACCGCGCGTCACCACGTCGGCACAGCCTTTTAAATGGGCCGCTCCCCAGCCACCTGTTTTCCATCGCGTGGCTCCGTCAGGGCCGGTCAAGGTTTGGTTCCCTTCGGGCTGGCTGCGACTGGCTGCGACTGGCTGCCAACACGCGGTCGACTGCCCCTTTGCGTTAAGCCGTGTCGTTGCCTCGCATGACCCTACGCCAGCAGCGCACTCACGCACTGTACCTGCGCCCGCCAGACGCCTTGGAACCTTCGCCCAGCCCCTCCATATTTTGCCGTGATAATGAGAGCCGCGACCCTGGGAACTGAGGCTCTTCCAACCATCCACGCCGCTACTGCACTGTGCATGCCCTGAATCCTGGTCTCTTTTTTTCTTAGCCGTGATCTCTGTGTACACCTTTAGCATGCGTTGCATTTGGCCTTCAGTTGCTGCATTGGCAGCCTTCGCACCAGCATCCGTCCTGGCCCAAACCTACACCGACTGCAACCCGCTCGAGAGCAGTACGTCGTCGTCGATCCACACCCTTTTCACGCAACCTCTCCGCTGACCATCCCCCCCAGCATCATGTCCCTCTGACGACGCCCTCTCGTCGGGCTCACACACGGCCGACTTCACCCAGGGCGAAAACGACCAATGGACGGTGACGGCTGGCAGCGTCGACTACGGCAGCAACGGGGCCGAGTTCACCATCAAGCAGTCGGGCGACGCGCCCACCATCGCCACCAACTTCTACTTCCTGTTCGGGCGGGTCGAGGTGCTGCTGCGCGCCGCGCCGGGCACGGGCATCGTCAGCAGCGTCGTCATGGAGTCGGACGACCTCGACGAGATCGACTGGGAGTGGCTGGGCGGCGCGGCGGGCCAGGTCGAGTCCAACTACTTCGGCAAGGGCAACACCACCAGCTACGACCGCGCCGTCTACCACGCCGTCGAGCCCGACACCCAGGCCAACCTGCACAACTACACCGTCCTGTGGACCGCCGCCTACACCACCTGGTACATCGACGGCGTCGCCGTGCGCACCCTCAACTACGCCGACGCCGTCGGCGGGTCCAACTACCCCCAGACCCCCATGCGCCTCCGCCTCGGCACCTGGGCCGGCGGCGACAGCAACAACGACGCCGGCACCATCGGCTGGGCCGGCGGCACCACCGATTACTCCGACGGCCCCTTCACCTGCTACGTCGAGAAGGTGTCCATCGTCAACTTCTCGCCCGCCACCAGCTACAGCTACGCCGACACCACCGGCAGCTGGCGGAGCATCACCGTCGACGGCGGGACTGTCAACTCGAACGAGGATGGCCAAGTCGATGACTCCGCCACTGCCACCGGGTCGTCGGCGGCGGAGACCACCGCGACTGCGACGAGCGGCTCTTCCAACATGTGGTGGACGGCGAGCGCTGCGGCCGTGGCCAAGGCTGCGTCGGGCGCGAGTGTGCATGGCAGAGCGGAGGTGTGGAAGAGCGTGGTTGTGGCGTTGGGCTTGGTTTTTGGCTTCACCGTGATATGACGACGGTGATGATGGTGGAGTGTGGTCCTTTTTTTCTCTCTGTTTTAACATGGGTGGCGTGGCGCTTTGATGTTTAGATATGATAATGATCTTACGATGTAATATAATGAGAGGGGGATTGAGTCCTGCTCGCCTACTCCAGGTCTGGAAGTTCACCATTTTTCAAAAGAGCCCTCGTGCACTTGCAGCATATGTAGGATCAAATCCGGTTCAATCCCCTTCCACTCCAAGGGAAGGGATTGGGGGAAAGCGCCCAAACGAAGCTCACCAACTTGTTGGACAATATAAGACCATTAGCCAGCACTGGAAAAACAGTGCGGCGTCGTAGTCTGATGGTTGTGAATCCGGATCTCGCTATATAGTCCAACACAAGGACTCAGGGCGAAGAGTAACCCATATAGGGCGGGAAAACAGCCCACACAGATAAGGATTTACAGTTCGAACCACGAGCGGCGCCAACTTTCCGACACAACTACTTGGCTGATGTGCCGCGCCCACTGGAACGACGTTCTGGTCGCAGTCCACGCCGCGATCCAAGAGCTCCTCAGCCGTCGGGGAGATAAGAGGGCATCGGCAAGGACCAACTTTGGGCGTTATTCAACACCACGGCCCGTAGGATCGACATTGACTTCTCGGCGGTGGAGGCGGGTAGAATCATCAAGGAAGCCCAGAAGGTCCAGGAGCAGTCCAAGGTGCAGTGCTTTACATGCGAGCAACAGACGCTGGAAGTCGGGGCGGACCGTCCACGGTGAACAAAGCCCGGATGTGGTTCTCTGCGCCAGGCTTCAACATCTCATCGACAAAGGCCATCTTGCCGGGGTTGGTTCCGGTCTTGATGTTGCTTTCATAGCTCCTCCACCTGTGAGCCATTCCCTTGGACTTGTTGCAGGACGAGCCGACGTACGCCATGGGCGGTTGGTCCGGCAGTTCCACGACACCGACATAGTTGCCGAACTTCTTGAGTCGGTCCTGCGAGGGGCGTGGCAGGCGTAAAATATCGGGCACTTGGATGTCCGGCATGCCAATTGCGGCAACAACCTCGTCTTCGACCGCGTCCAGTAACTGTCCGACGGCCAGGTGTCGTACGTCCGCTGTCTTTATAAATTGCCAGAAGATCCTGGTGGTGCCCATCCTCTCGGGCGGCACTCCAAAGGGATCGACCGACTTGGTCAAGTCCTGTAACTTGGTGGCAACCACCGTCATGGCGCTCTCGTAGAACTCCCGCCGACGACCCAACTCCTTGCCACTAATCTGCAATTTCCTGGGAGCATACTTACCGAAATCGATTTAAGTCGCACTGAGAGGCCCCTCATGTCACGGTCCTAAAGGAAAAGAATTGATTGCTTAACAAGAGGTTGGACGGTCCTTCGAAGAGAAGACCGTACGAGAAGACCTTGGATCTTCATCGTTGGATGATGTCGTATCTGTTGTTCTACCAATCTCTTGCTGTTCACCAGCGGTCTGTTGTTGACCCGTAGGAGGCGCATTGACTTCGGGGCTTGGTGAAGAAGCCGGCGACGTAAGCGGCCGGTCGACGTTGATGCGACGAGCTTCCAGACGCAACCGAAAGGAATCATAACGGCGTAGATTTTTGGTGAGGCCGACGTAGTACTGGAAAATGGCGGTTTGGCTTATGGAAACACATTCGCCGGTCTCTGGGTCCACACAAGTAAAGTGGACCTGCGAGAGTGAACATTCGAGGATGGTGCTGGCTCTTTTGCGAAGTATATGGTCCGATAAGTGGCTAATGTATCTGACTGGTGCGTCTTGCTTGGAGCCATTAGAAAGTGCACATAGGTCCGCAGCTACGAATAAGATGGGCTGGGCTGTCGCAGTATCCGGGAACGTAACCTCGATAATGAAGGACTCGAGGTTAAAGAGCGGTGGCGGAGGAATTTGCGCGATCTGATGCGCCGTGCGTCACTCTGTGAGCTTGACGGGAGAACTGAAGGCTTTGACGCGCTGCTCTGGGTGAGGGAGCTGGAACCCCGACATCAGAATCCACATTGCGAACAGAACAAGAACAAGAAATAGAATAAATACAACAAGAAGCTCACACTCGCACTTTCCAATCTGTTAGTATGGTTGCCACTCGCAGTTCGAATAAGTCCTCCGGAGCCAGTGCGTCTGGCCGCAATTACAACGAAGCAGGAAGCCGCAAGCGCGAGCGGGACGACCATGACGACTTCGTTCTGGTTTCGCCGACCGACGACGACGACGACGACGACGACGACGAACCGCCGGTTAATAAGAGTCGCTGCCAGTCCAGCAAGCAGCCCCAGCCTGCCGCCAACAAGAACTACACCGGTAAGGGGCATCAAAGGAACTGGACGTCATGATATTATGGTGTTGAGCACCGTTTTCGGCTGATGACGACGTCCGTCATCAAAGAACAAGCATGTGCTTCATCATTATAATCTTTTGATGATCGAATGAGTGTTGATTGATGGCATAAGGATCAGGAGGGTCTGCCCCGCCGGCATGTCCTTATATACCCCGAAATGTGACTAAGCTTTGTTTGCTCATCAACTTCCCATGTATTCTTCCCGACCGAGTAGTTGTAATTTTCTTCGTGCTTCGATCGCCTTCTTCGGGATGGCAGGCTCCTTCTATGAGTTTGTATCCGGAACCTACGAAAGGTCTGGCTCACTAGAGAAGATCATGTCTTCTCCCGCCTCACCCCCCTCACCCCCCTCACCGCCCTCGCCCTCGCCCTCACCATCACCACCGTCAGCGGCCTCGGCAGCGGCCTCGGCCTTAGCAGTAGCAAGCTCGGCAGCGGCGGCGGCGGCAGTAGTAGCAGCAGCGGCGGCGGCGGCGGCAGCATCCAGGCGGGTGTTAGCGCGGCCTTTCCGCTTCTGCGACTATATATCTGTTAATATGTTTCCTCTTAAGAAGAAGACAGTGTTGGGTGTAGATAAGAGTATCCACTTACCTTGGTCACCCCGGAGGGCTTGGAGGAGGGAGGGGGAGTGGGATTTTCCCCCTTGGGTCAGGCTTTGGCCAGATGGCCCAGTTCGCCGCAATTGTGGCATTTGCGGCCTCTACCACCACCGCCACGACCACCACGGCGGCCCCGACGGCCACGGCCGCCAGTGTACTAGTACAACTGTTAGCTATATAGTTCACGTGAAACCTGTAAGGACCAAGGAACAGAGGTGACTTACATAGATCGTGAAATTAATGGCGTCAGTCTTCATCTTCTATACACTGTTAGCACCTGTAAAGACCGAGGAACACAGATGGCTTACAATATTGATTGTGACGTTGTTGGCGTGGATTTTCATTTTGGAAGAGCTGGAGAGAAAAGAAGAAGAGAAGAAACGCGGGGGTCGAGCGTCTTTTATCTCGCCTCGTTCCTTCCGTTTTGCTTGGTAAGTCGACTTGGTCACGCGCGGACCAGACTATGGATGTGGCAGCTACGAGGCAGTGAGACGGGGCGCGCTTGCCCTCTACGCCATTTTGTAACGTTAGGTGACCGGGACGTCTCACCTCAAGTTCACCTAGATGTGGCAGCCACGAGGCAGCGAGACTGGGCGTGGTTGCCCTCCACGCCATTGTGTAACGTCAGATGACGACGTCTCGCCGCAAGTCCACCAAGCAACCCCAGCCCGCCGCCAACAAGAAGCGCCGCTCGATTAAGCTCACGACTTTCTATATCACTGCACATGACGAAGCGGAAAAGGGAAATCGAGAGCGGGCGGTTCTGGATGATTTGATTGATGAAGAGATAGGCCATCCGGCTATGCGGCCTGGCTATGAATGCATCGAGGACGAGAATGAAGGTGAGGAAGAAGTCGTTGCTTATAAGTGTCACGATCCGCCCCATGAGTCATCCCAGTGACCGGTCAAGAAAGAAGAGCAAAGTGCGGGTGAATGCACACTTGTTGAGCAAGCTTATGTGGGATATGGAGTGACTATGTGTCGTGCGAGAGGGTTAGGCGCTGGGAGATATTTCGTCCCAGATGTCCGGGGCTCAAAACAACAAAGGTGATCGATTCATCGCCCAAAGGCGTTAGTGGCTTTGAGGTGGAACAGATGTAGATTTTTGTTTGGAAGCTTGGGACGTTGGGAAAGGGAGTGGGTCCCAACTATACTTCACCGACCAAAAAAAACTGTTCTAGCTCTCGCCAACTCTTCTTGCAACGTGAAAGAAAGGGCAAAAAAGAAAGTATTGGGGCTCAGCCGGGGATCTGATATCTGTTAGTTATTGCTCGGATAGGAATCGAACTCAAGAAGCTCACCGAACCCGGGACCTCGCGCATGTCAAGCTTGTGAGACCTCTAATGAGGACTGGGCACTTCCCGAAGCACGAATCATTCCACTAGACCACTGAGCCGTTGAGAGCGGAGTCCAGAAGTTATCTGGAGTGGCTTACACGTGATTGATGGAAGCGGCGCTGGATTGTTTGCAATATATTGCCCAAGCCACGCGTGTGCGGGAAGACCCACTTTAAGCGAGATCCCGTATGCACCCTTCTCGCCGAGATCCGCGCTGTACAACCTATTCACTACGACTACTCGTTGCTCTGTTGCGGAGCGTTGATGGGATGCTACGAAACCGCCCCTTTTCGCCGGCTTCCCAAAGCGCAACCCTACTATACGACTGCTTGTGGCTGATACGCTTGCTGATAACACCTCACATCAGTTTACAATCCGCAAATATCCGGACGCATGTGCTCAGTCAAAGCAACGATATAGACGTCCTGAGGGCTCCCCATGTCTGATGGTGACGTTATGGCAACGCCAATGGAACCGCATACGCAGTCGAAATCTAAACGTGTGCGAATGATTGAGCTCAAATCTAAAAACAATGACAGATAAATACAAAACCTCCCAAAGCATGCAAAATCACCACCACTTCCCATGTCTTCCCTCTGCCGCGCAAGAACCTCACACTCCCCATGCCTCTGCAGCCGTCCTTCTCATCTCAGCCTTCTCCGCATCTCCCGCACTGCCCGTTTTCACAGCCTCCTTCAGCGCCTCGAGTCTTGCCGACTGCTCCTCGTCCAGCCCAACGACAGTACCGTCGGCTGCTGCGCCCTTCGCCATCAGCTTGACCAACTTTGGCGCGAACTTGCCCGTCGCGTAGACGACCCCATCTGCCCGCTTCGCCCACAGCGCGACCGTCAGCTTCAGGAACAGCCGGGGGGCGTCGCCGTCGCGCTGCATGTCCCGCACCATGTCCCGCACATACGCCTCCTTGCGCTGCGCAACGTCCGCCACGGGCGGCACGTCCATCTTGGCGGCGAACTTGTGCAGCGACGTACGGACGGCCGCCACTCCTTGCTCGCCGCTCTGCGGGGGGGATTGCTCTTTGAGGACGGCGAGCAGCTTCTTGACGTTGCGTCGCGCGCGCGCGCTGCGCACCAGACCCTTCGCTTCGGCGCGGGCCGCGGCGTCCGGGACGAGTTCTTTGACGACGTACTCGCGCAACAGGTCGAGAAGCTGGGCGCGGACCTTGGCATCCGCCATGGCCGTCTCGGTGGTGGCCGCGGCGTGCAGCTCGAAGCGGGCGGCGACGCGATCCAGCCAGAAGGCGGCGAGCGCGGCGTCAGCGTCGGCCTCGAGGCGGGCCAGCGTGGCGTTGAAGACGGCCTTGGCGCCGCCGTCGCACGAGCATCGCAGGAGGATGGGGAGGAGCGGCGGCGGCAGCTGCAGCTCGTCCATTGCGGGTGCGAGGATGGTGGGCAGGTCGCCCAGCCCGCTCGTCAGCTCCGCGTCCGGCAGCTGGTGCGAGTTGGACCAGAGATGTTCGACATGGGCGCGCACGCGCTCTTTGAAGGCGGCTTGAATGGTGAGGAAGAGGTCCATGCGGATGAGGTAGGGGAAGGTGCCTTCAGAGACGACGGAGCACTCGTCTTCCGACCGGACGATGGCGAGGATGTCGACAAGCGCTTTGGCGGCAGCAGAATGCGAAGCGTCGGGGGAGAGGTCTTGGAAGGGATCCTGATGGGTGTGGTGTTAACAGGTGGCGGCAGCAGGGGGTGCCAAATGGGATGATTTACGCTGATGTTGACGACGGACTTGTCCGCCAGTGTTTGCAGGAGATCTGCGGTGGCTTTGTCGTGCCATGCCTTGGAGACGGCGGTGTCGAAGAAGATGAGAATGTCCTCTGGGTGTTGCGTGTTGACATACCTCTCCGCGGCGCTGATGTCCGGGTACTGCTCTGGCAAAAGATCAACAAGCCACTGGAGGGGACAGGAAGGCGTTGTGCCATCGAGAAGCTCGTCGATCTTCTCATCGCGCGCGCGTTCGAGGTAGCTCGTTGGCGTGAAATCCACGGTGCCTTCGCCGACGGACATCCGGCCCTGAAAGTCAGACCCAAGCCTATCGACAATGAGCTGAAGGAAGGCAGTTGGCAAGACGCCATCTGCCGGAATGCTTTCGGGGCTGCAAGAATGTCAATGGCTCGCTCCATGCCCCAGGAATATGTGACTCACACGCCCGATTGCTGAGCAGCGTCAAAGGCTTCTTGAGCGTCTGCGATGAGTCCATCGAGATAAGGAGGCGAGAAGATGATGGACTTGCGGACCTCTCTAGGATCGCTGGTCTGGGGGTAGAGTGCAAGGCGCGGCCCGTCCCCATCCTCGCCCTTGGCACCATATCGGTTCATAGCAATGAGCTTGTTGATGCTCTCAAGCGCGAGGTTGTTGGCTATGGCGACTCCGGCAGCATACACTACCCGGCCCTGAACCAGCTCCTTGAGGTCATCCTGCAGGCGCTCTGCTTCATGCCTAGAAGCAGGCATCAGCACGGGGAAACACAGAGTTGCTTGCAAACACCGGAACGTACTTGGAGATGGCATTCTGGCCGTCCGTGCTCAGAAGAAGCTCTGCTTCAGGATCTCTCACCAGGGCGGAGAGCTCCTCTTTGGAAATGTCGAAATCAGCGGCGAGGCGAGATAACGGAAGACGGCCCTGGCCCTCTGGGTCCACATTAGCTTTGCAGGCAAGCGAACAGGATGATTAAGCGTACCGGCCTCGATGTGCTCGTTCAGCTTCTGTAAAAGGACGTCTGACCTAATGAAGCCGTCTCCAGAAAGACTAGGGACGAGGCGGACCTCCTGATCGCTCTCGGAAAACGCACGGCTACTGGCGTCCGGGAAGGCGAGCGCGAGGTCGCGCATCTCGTCCAATGAGAACATCTGCGGCATGGTGTCGAGCGGGTGGCAGACTCAACGTACACTTTCGAAGCGCATTCGTCGGGGTTATTTCTCGGCTGTGGCCGAAAGGGGGAGGTGAAGGGGCCCTGGCAAGCAGAGGGCCAAAGACGAAGCTGAAGCAATATGATGGCACACGGACGGAGATCAGCTGCAAGGACCAGGCGGTGCTCGAAATGAGGACGACGGCGTCCAGCGGCAACGATATATGCGAGAAGGGCGCGCGGGTCAGCGCTCGCAGAGGATTCTGTCGGCTGAACAGCGCATTGCAGACGGGCGCAGGCGACGGTGGATGGCTGAGGAATCCATGAGCGCCTGTTTTTGCAAAGCTGCAGCCAGCTGGATGACTCACGGAGAAGGAGGTCGCGTTGATTGCAGCGACGTGCCCTCCAGGCCGCGGCGTCGCCCAAGTCGCGGATCATCTCCGGTGCCGCACGCGCCAATCACCAACTTTCCCGGCCGCCGCCAACACCACCGACAGAGCATCCCACGCCATCCGCACTTGCTGCCATCGCCCGCCGCCCGCCGCCCGCCGCCCGCCGCCGCCATGTCGCAGTTCCGAGCCGCCCGCCTCGATCTGGGCGCCTTCATCAACATCCGCAACATTCGCGACCACACCAAGCGCAAGGTCTTCGCCGAGTTTGAGCCCGAGAGGTGAGCAGAGCCCGCCCGCCTTGCACCGCCCACCTCATTGCGCCCGCTAGCAATGCTAACAGAGCTCGCGCCGCTCAGGCAAGCGCTGCGCTACATGATCCGCAACACCACCCTCCCCGCCCGTGTCCGCGCCCAGGCCCAGCTTGAGCTTTCCCAGATGCACGCCTACACCCGCTCCACCCAGTTCAAGAACAGATGTATCATGGGCGGCAGGGGAAGAGGTATCATGAGCGACTTCAGGATGGGTAGAGTAAGTCTTCCCCGGACCATTGGGGCCGTACGCCGTGCGCTCTGTTTCCGCTGCTGACGTCGATGCCTCGTAGTACCAATTCCGTATCAATGCTCTGGCGGGCAGCATCCCCGGTGTCAAGAAGGCTAGCTGGTAAACGGCGCCGACCAGCAGAAGGTGGTCGTACAACATCGCGAACATTCACAGGGCATCGGGTGGCGTTTGGGACCTTTTTTTCAATCAGTAGCCGAAGCAGATGTCCGGCTGTACAAATGCATCTGGCTGTAGGATTCCTCCATTACCCATGTGAACTGGATGTAGACGGGTCGATTTCTTTCGTCGCCCACTGTGATAGTGGCTCGGCACGTGGCTATGCCTGGCCATGTCAAACTGCATATGCGTGTCTAGTTCGACAAACACCGCCGCCTTGAAAACCACTTCTCAACGCAACCACAGGCTGCAGAAAGAAACTGGCCCACCGACATGCACAGTGGAATACTATGTGGATGCATTTGTATGGTCTTGGTATCCGCATCTACAACCTGGTATCTGCTTCACCTCCTCATAAAGGAAGGCTGGGTGAACCTGCATCTACGTCGGGATATGTGCTTCGACTGCCTTCACAAAGGATTGCCGTAGGTCAATTTCTATCCGCACCCACAGTACTGCTGTGCAGGTGGTCGGTCTCGTGCCTTCCCTGTCTTTTTTTATGTTTGACCCGGCAGGTGCCTGTCGTTTTTGACAATTCAACGACCTCATCATAAATCACCCGTCCGCCTCGCTCGCCCTCCACTACCCAACAACAACTCCCATCCACAGGAGCTGGTCCGATCGGCTTGCTACTCACTCATCATTGGTTGGCGCCGCGATGTTCAAGCTCAGTCAGGCGGGAATTCCTGAGGATCCGTCATACCCGCGGAACCTCTCACAGCTTGGGTATGTGCAATAAATTCATCCAAGTGAGGCTCTGTCTGACAGTTTGCAGGTACTTCATCGACAAACAATCTGAGATCAGAACCATCAGGCCGCCTCACAACTACTACAACTTCTGGATCTCCAACAACGACCGCGTCAACGAGGCCTTTCGCGAGTCCATGCACGCCTGCATCAACGAGGAGATCATTCACCGCATGACGGCTCTAGGAATTCCGCCCATCTACTTGCCTCACCTAGCTACCGAGAAGCCGCATGGCCAAGCCAACGTCCCCATTCTCGTCACGGAAAAAGAAGAATTGAGAAAGCTGAAGAAGGTCACTGTGGTTGTCAACGATGATTTCCAGGACCTTGGTCTCTGGGCATACCGCATCGTTAGCAAGGAACGTGGCCTAGAGGCAGGCTCGGTGGTATCTCTTGCCAAAGCGCTGCACAACTCAGACATTGCGTCTGTCAAAGTCCGCGCGCACTGTGCAGAGAAAGACGAGAGTGGTCCGGATGAGAGCCCGATCTCCAATCCCGGTCCGCACGACTCGGGCCTTGAGCCTGGTGAGGTTCCTACACACCCTGCACAGGAAACCGCGGAGAACGAGAAGCACGACCTGAAAGAGAGCCTTATCTCTAAGCCCGGCGCAAACATTGGTCCGGAATCCCCGATAGCAAGCAAGACGCCCGTGACGAGCACCGAAGACGTCCCATTCAAAGTTCCGGAGAACTGGCAGGCGCCCGGTTTGGTCGTGCTGAACCCAGGCCAGCTCCTCTACTCTTACCGGCTCGACAAAGCTGTAACGAAGCAGTCTTGGGATTCGCAGCCGCGTCCGTCAGCCATCCATCCTGTTCCCAGGATCGATCCTGTCCAGAACAGAGCAGAAGGCCACAGGACGGTCGATGAACATGTCAAGTCGACCTTTGACACGATCCTCAACAGCTCGGACTGGGTGGCGCCTGATGCCAAGATCTACATGATTGGCATTGGAAATGGCGGAGATGCTATATTGAAAACCCTCAGTAAAGAGTGGCCAAAGTACCAGGGCCGCGTCGAGGCCATTGCCCTGACAGATCCGACACCCGTTCACGAAGTGTTCGAGGACCAGGGATTCGTCAGGTTCCTCCGTGACCGTGGTCGCGCACTTGTCCCATCTGCTGAAGCATTGGGCGTGCCGCTTGCTGTCCCACCGCCTGGCTCCAGTGACTTGCCTCAGCACAGTTCGGACTGGGGCTACCACTACTATCCGATCCAGTCCTCCGGCGAGCGGGTCTTTGGCGAGATCATCTTCCCTACTAACCAGCGCGACATCCTTGACTGGTTCGACGGTGTTGCCAACACTGCCGACTACCGCAATCCGCAGATGCAGGTCCCCGAATTTCTTCCTGAGGGTTTGGAGGATGCGGAGATCTTCGATGCGACGAAGGATGCTCCAGAGGAGAAAGCCAATGAGTGAATGGTCAATATGGATGGGCAGTTGAAGCGGATAGCCGAACGTAGAAGCAGGCTAGGTAGTCAATATGCATGGACAGTCAAAGCAGACAGCCACAGTGAATAATACCTACACGTGAGCCGTTGAAGCAGCATGTCTGTGTTATCATCGGCAATATCGGCACCTGCTTGCTGCCGATTTCGGCGCTTGACGAATCCAAGGCGAGGGAATTGTCGGTCAGTGGGATATGGGCTGGCCGCGGTAGGGCCGTGGGGGCACGGAGAGATTTTTTTTTTCTCTCGCCCTACGGATCGAGAGGCAGCAGAGCTAGTGCAGCATTGGTACCGATAGGGGTGCCGTATTCATACAAGTTATCCTAAATCCGCGGTATGTCCGGCCCACGTAACATTGCATAAGCCACAAGGCTGAAGAACAGCTGTGCCGTGGCCATGGCTTTCGCTTCAGTAGCCAGGTTGAGAAAGACCCGCCCCCGGTTCTGGGGAAATGCGGAGAGCTGGAGCAGAGGCGGCAGCCCCAGATGGAGCGGCGAGGTCGATTTTAGGTTGGAGGAGATTCCGTGGGCGGTCGCGACAGAAAGATGTGTGATGATGCCATGGGCGATGGACGGAAACGGCAAAGCTACATCATTGGCCGGCTCGGTCCGCCGTAGGGGGCCACGGGCGGAGATCCACCGCTCCTGCTCCGGACGGCGGCGGACGAGGGCGACCCTCATCACAAAGAGGAGCCGTCACACCGGCACCGGTCAGCAGCGATTGTTAATCAAGCGCCGCCGCACAAAGCGCCAGGGCACAGGGCGCGAGGCCATTGTCAGCGGCACACGGCGGCACACAGGCCCTTCGCCCGGCTGCGCGACTGCGTCGGATGGAAAACCCCACTTCCGCCTCCGAGCTGCTCGCCATCCGCGCTATTCTGACAAATTAGCACGCAAGGAGCTCGGCGGCCGGCCACGTCTTTGCCTTCCGGGCGAGCCCGAGCCCAGATTCCCCGGATCCAACGCGCCTTCGCCGCGGGTGTAGGGCTGAGGAAAAGGGCGAGATGCACGTGAGACGACGCCGGCCAGCTAGTAGCCGCATCGCAATGCCCGTCGCGATCGTCGGCCATGCGCAAAAGACGCCAACGCAGGTGCTGGCGGAAGCCTGACGACGGGCGACGAAATGGCTGCATCATCGCCAGGTACCTTACGCCTCGGAGCAGCCGCCTCGATTGCTCAGCAGGTTTCGATGATTCAGCGCGGCGAGGCTGTAACGCGAGGCCGTGGTTGGCCGTGCGGCGGTGCGAGCGGGCGTACCCCGTCCCGTTTAGGCACGCTAAAATTGCGTGATCAAGAAAACTTATGATGCCTTCAGGTCTGTGATTTCAAAGATGGAGCCGCTGGCGCCTGCCGGCGTTATATGCCCGATGTGACTCTCGGACACGCCGTGTTAACTCGTCTCCCTCCGCTGTCGCACCTCTCTTCATCAACAACTCTTCTGTCGCAAGTCACCTCGCGGAATTGCTTGAGAGCGCGCCACAAAGCTTTCGTCAGCCACTACAGAGCCCCTGCGCCATCTACGCGAGACCCCACCATGTCCGAGTCCAACTTCGACTGCCAGTCTCCCAGGGAGGTCGAGTCGGGCTATGCCAGCGGATGCTCGAGCGAGGCTTCCCTGCCCGACATCTTCTTCAGCAAGCAGCACCTCAAGTTCATCAACCAGCAATTAGCCAAGCTTGAGCCCGAGGGTGCGTCTCATTGTTGCCCCGCCTCGCCGCGCGCCTCACTAACAAAGGGGATGCAGAAATCCTGAGGTGGTGCTTGATCACGCTGCCGTCGCTCTATCAGACCACGGCCTTTGGTCTGACCGGTCTCGTGACCCTTGACATGCTTTCGCGCCTGCCCAACCCCACCAAGACCAACGTCGACCTCATCTTCCTCGACACTCTGTACCACTTCCAGGAGACGCTCGATCTCGTCGACCGCGTCAAGAAGCGGTACAACCACTTCAACCTGCACGTCTACAAGCCCGCCGGCTGCGAGACGCCCAACGACTTCGCCGCCAAGCACGGCGACAAGCTGTGGGAGACCAACGAGGAGCTCTACGACTTCGTCGCCAAGGTCGAGCCCGCCCAGCGCGCCTACGCCGAGCTCCAGGTCAAGGCCGTCCTCACCGGCCGCAGGCGCAGCCAGGGCGGCAAGCGCGGCGACCTGGACATCATCGAGGTGGCCGAGGATGGCCTGATCAAGATCAACCCCATGGCCAACTGGAGCTTCGGCGACGTCAAGAGCTACGTCGAAAAGTACAAGGTGCCGTACAACGAGCTGCTCGACCGCGGCTACAAGAGTGTGGGCGACTGGCACTCGACGCAGCCCGTGGCCCAGGGCGAGGACGAGCGCGCGGGCCGGTGGAAGGGCCGCGAGAAGTCGGAGTGCGGCATCCACAACAAGAAGTCGCGCTACGCGCAGTTCCTGGCCGAGCAGGAGCGGCAGGAGCGGAAGAAGCAGGAGGAGGCGTTAAGTAAGGCGCTGGAGTCGGCGCATGTGGGGGCGGCATGATGCTCCCCGTGGCGATCCGGCTCGGCACCTTCTTCTTTCTTTTGCAGCATATTAGCATCGGCGTTGGTTTTAGCATTCGGATGAGCATGATGCCCCAGTCTGGGACGGCGTTTTGAATTGCAGGGCGGAGATATCAATTGGATTTCGCGGGTTGATTGGTTGCTTGAAAAAGGACAGATTGAACACGCAAAGGGGGGAAGCAGGTAGACAAAAAGGCAGCCGACAGCTGCGTAGCAGGCAAACAATCGAGGCGGCCAACGGCCGGGTTTCGCATGGACGTTGATCAGCGTGGCCGCTTGGCGTTTTGGAGAAACAAGCAACCTTTAATTCCAGCGTCCCAGCCGGGCCTCCCGCCACGGGCCACGGCCCCCTCTCCGCTGTAAATCGCGCACGCCCCGGTGGTTGCGTGGAGCAACCTTCAGCCGACGGAGGGGCGGCGGAGGGGCGGCCACACAGAAAAGGTCCGGTGCCAGGTGGCCGCAAAAAGGCGTTTCTTGGTCATGACGTGACGGCGGCCAAGGGCCTTGTCAATGGCGCGGCAGTTGGCGACAGCAAGGCTTGCGGGTGCGACAGCAACACGCGCGGACGCGGACCAGGAGGTGGAGGCATCGCGGCCGGCGACGTAATCGCCCATTACGGTTATGCGGAGGCTGAGACGCGGCAGCCCGCAATCTGCTCCCGTCGCAACACCTTGCCCGCGCCAGCGCGTGCGGGCGCGCCGCAACTGGCCGGGCGTGTCGCGCGGGAGTGCATCGGCCAACGCTGTTGACGCGGCAGGCTGGGTGTGATTGTCATTAGCTCTACGTACTACCGTGCCTGCTGAATTTCGCAATCCCTGCCCGCCAGGCCACAAGTCCACACCCGAAACGGCCACCACGCCTCCAGAGCCCCATATATATCCGCCGAGTGCCCGCCGCCAGCATGTCTTCGCTCGCCGCTGCTGCTGCTCAGACTTCTCTCGTTCCCTCACTCTCCTCCTCTTCACATCAGTCACGAAATATGGCCAACCCTCCCCACGGTACGCCCGCCCGCCGCTGTCGTCGACCGCCCGCGACTGACTTTCTGCAGGTGGTGTCCTCAAGGACCTTATTGCCCGCGATGCCCCCCGTCGCAAGGAGCTCTCCGAGGAGGCCGACAGGCTTCCCGCCATTGTCCTGTCCGAGAGACAGCTGTGCGATCTCGAGCTCATCCTGAACGGTGGATTCTCGCCGCTGGAGGGTCAGTAGTGCCCCGCCAAAACTTTTTGCGTCGCCGCGGCACCTCCGCCGCCGATGTCGCCCCCGGCCCGCATGCTCACGCCCATGTACAGGTTTCATGAACGAGAAGGACTACACTGGGTGAGTTTGGCCCGCCCTCGAGCCCCGCCGTCCGCGCGCTGACTGAGTTCCGCAGTGTTGTTGAGACCGAGCGTCTTGCCGACGGCAATGTCTTCTCCATGCCCATCACCCTCGATGTCAACCAGCAGACCATTGACGAGGTCGGCGTCAAGCCCGGCGCTCGCATCGTCCTCCGCGACCTCCGCGACGACCGCAACCTCGCCATCCTGACCGTCGAGGATGTCTACAGGCCGGACAAGTGAGCACCCCGCAGTCTTGCGCTGAGGAGGACAAATGGACTGATACCGTCTAGGGAGAGGGAGGCCCGCCAGGTCTTCGACAAGGACGGTGACATTGCTCACCCCGCCATCAAGTACCTGTACAACACTGCTCAGGAGTTCTACGTTGGTGGCAAGCTCGAGGCCATTGACCGTCTGATGCACTACGACTTCGTCGGCCTGCGCTGTATGTTGCTTCGGCGCCCTCTGCAGCTTCAGTTGCTAATTTTCCGCAGACTCCCCCGCTGAGATCCGTCTCCACTTCGACAAGCTTGGCTGGTCCAAGGTCGTCGCTTTCCAGACCCGCAACCCCATGCACCGCGCTCACCGTGAGCTGACGGTCCGCGCTGCCCGCCAGCGCCAGGCCAACGTCCTCATTCACCCCGTCGTTGGTCTCACCAAGCCCGGTGACATTGACCACTTCACCCGTGTCCGTGTCTACCAGGCTCTCCTGCCCCGTTACCCCAACGGAATGGCTGTCCTGGGTCTTCTGCCCCTGGCCATGCGTATGGCCGGTCCCCGTGAGGCTGTCTGGCACGCCATCATCCGCAAGAACCACGGTGCTACCCACTTCATCGTCGGCCGTGACCACGCTGGTCCTGGCAAGAACTCCAAGGGCGTCGATTTCTACGGCCCGTACGATGCCCAGGAGGCTGTTTCCAAGTACAAGGACGAGCTCGGTATCGAGATGGTTCCCTTCCAGATGATGACTTACCTTCCCGACGCCGATGAGTACAAGCCCAAGGACGAGGTCGATGCTGGCGTCAAGACTCTCGACATCTCCGGCACTGGTAAGTCACGCCTCGATGTGGACTCGAATGCAGCTGCTAACGGCTCTAGAACTCCGCAAGCGTCTGCGCACCGGTGCCCACATCCCCGAGTGGTTCTCGTACCCCGAGGTCGTCAAGGTCCTCCGCGAGTCGCACCCTCCCCGCAACAAGCAGGGCTTCACCATCTTCCTTACCGGATACCAGAACTCTGGCAAGGACGCCGTTGCGCGTGCCCTCAACGTCACCCTCAACCAGCAGGGTGGCCGCAGTGTCTCGCTGCTGCTCGGCGAGACTGTCCGCCACGAGCTGTCGTCGGAGCTTGGCTTCACCAAGGCGGACCGCGACCTCAACATCCACCGCATCGGTTTCGTCGCGTCGGAGCTCACCCGCGCCGGCGCCGCCGTCATCGCCGCGCCCATCGCGCCCTTCGAGGAGAGCCGCAAGGCCGCCCGCGAGATCGTCGAGAAGTACGGCTCGTTCTTCCTTGTCCACGTCGCCACCCCGCTCGAGTACTGCGAGGCCACGGACAAGAAGGGTGTCTACGCCAAGGCGCGCCGTGGCGAGATCAAGGGCTTCACCGGTGTCGATGACCCGTACGAGGCTCCCCCCAAGGCCGACCTGGTCGTCGACCTGTCCAAGTCGAACGTCAGGACCATCGTCCACCAGATCGTCCTTCTGCTCGAGGCTGAGGGTCTCCTGGACCAGTTGTAAAGTCTTAAGAAGCGAGTACAGGGGTTTTTGGTATAACGGGATATGTTATGTGTTCTGTGTTTCTTTTGGGCGCGAAACGAAAAGGAAATCGGTATAACTGCAGTATGGGCATCTTTTGAATACCACGAGATATCATAGACGAGGCAAGCAGTCAGTCGTTCGGTCGACTGGCTATCATCACATCCATCTGGTAGATTGGATGTAGTGCGCTTGTCAAGGATAAATTCAGAAGCGATTGTTATGATGATTGGACCAAAGTACTATGATCTCCATCGTGAAGACTCTAATTGAGTTGGAGCTGTCCTCTGGGCATGAATGACCCGTATGATAAGGGGCAAAGCGTTCCCGGCTGAGTAGCTGAAACCCATGTCGGTATATTTGCTCCCTACTACCTTCCTTCCCGGGCTTCCGGATCTTCACTTGTGTTTACCGCTTATCGTGGCATTGGCTGGATCAGATGAGAACATCACTTTCCAAAGCTCATTCTGCTTATCGTTGTCCCTGACATCGGATACGAGGTCACGTCGGATGTCCAGGAGCACACATCCACAAGAACATCCTTTATACCCGTACAAGGTGAGTATAGCTCTCTCTACGGTTACGTCAGGATCAGTCAATCCTTTTGTGGTCGTCCGCTGCTATGTTTCGTGACGCTCCGTGCCGTAGAGTCGTAGCAGATTCCGGATGGGGTGAGAAGCATTTATCCAGATGCAAATGCGGAACTTGGACTCAGGCAATTGGCGTTTGAATCCGGACATCAACTACATCCTTACTAATACTTATGGAGGGTTGGCGTCACCTATACGGGCACGAGTGTCTTGAGTTTTCCGCTTTGCAGTCACGTCCCAACAACCTCTTTCAATTTGCTGGCCCCTTACCACCCCATCGATTCCGTTGTGATCGTCGACGACGAGGACGAGGGTGCAGTGGAAAGCCGTCTCGAGAAAACCTCCATGGTCAAGGCTGGAGAGGAGGGCGAACGTTTCTTACTGCACTCAGAGTTCTCCACGTCGAACTCGATGAGGGGTTCGATGGCTGGATAATTTAGGGATGATATCTCCATCAACGTCTTCGCTCGACGAGGGCTCAGAATATGTCAGTGGTATATCGAATGATGTTACTTCATTCCATTCTCTGATGGCCGGCCCTGCTTAATCGTGAATTGTGTGGCCGTACCAATGCATCCAGTCGTTCCATTTGACTGCCCACGTAAGTTGGGTGCAATGGTGCCGGCTTCGAAATTTTGCATTCTGCTGTGTAGGCGACATCACATTGAATTGCAAGAAGCTCCGATCCTCGTGTGTCCTGCAAGGGACGCCATGTTTTCACTAAGGGGTCCAAGTCAACATCTAAGCGTGAGTGCGAGCGTCAAAACTGTAGACACGTTACGACATAGGAGAAGTCCACCACCCACGTAATATGGTACAACCTCATCATGAGACGGAAATCTACGATCGAAGACCAGCTTCACTTCTGGATCCCTGTTATCGAGCCAAGCAAATCATCCACCAAAACTTCATCCTCTAATGGTATCTTCCCAACTTTTGCGCACACACATAAGGGATATCTATCGGAACGCCAGGCCCAATGCGTACAGGCAAGCAAAAAAACAATGCAACAACAGCATGACCATTCATCCACAACCACGACTAAAAAAAAATAAAAAAAACCTCATACTCAAGGAGAGTCGTCGCGCGTCCGGTTATTCCCGCTCCACTTGGAAGCAGAACTCAAACTGTCCTCCCTCTCCTTCTCGCACGAGTCGGCGCCGTCGGGCATCATGCGGCCGCGAGCGTACGTGATGCCGGCGATGTCGTCCAGCTCCATCGGGTCGCTCCGCACGATGACGGTCGTCTCCGTCTTCACCGCGAGCACGGCGCGCGGCGCCAGCCGGGGCGGGTTGAGCAGCTCCGTGCTGTCCTGCCGCACCAGTACGTGGTCGCTCCCGCCGTTGTGGATGAGGATGGAGCCGCGGAAGCCGGGGCCGGCGCCGGCGCCGGCCTCGATGGTGGTGGTGGTGCCGAAGAGCTGGCGGTTCTTCCAGAAGGGGAAGGAGGACTGGAAGGTGTTGATGAGGTCGTCCTCGGCGGCCTGCGCGCGAGCGGCTTCCTCGTCGTTGTCGGCGGCGCCATCGTCCTCGTTGCTGCCGGGGGAGACGAGGACGTCGCGGGTGAGGCAGAAGACGGAGACGTCGAGCCAGCCGGTGCAGGCGATCATGGCGCCGGCGAGGACCAAGTGTTCCATGCTGGTCTCGGCGCCGACGACGCTCTGGAGGCGGGCGGTGGCGAGGGGGAGCGTGCAGACGACGTAGACGAGCGGGTAGACGACCATCATGTAGGCGGCGCGTTGGGCTTTGGCCGTCTTGGCGGGGCAGCGGAAGTGGTTTCTCTGGATGCGCCGGCGGATGATCCAGAAGAGGGCGCTGTAGAGGAAGACGGTGCCGAACTCGGCGACGAAGATCCAGAAGTAGTGGCCCCATAGGCGTAGCTTGGGGTATTTGATGTTGATCCAGCACTGTAATTGGGGGTGAGCTGGAGCAGTGATGGCAAGGAGGGAGGGGACTTACCCAAGCACCAGCACGGACGTAAAGGTCGACGGGATGGTTGGAGACACCAATGATGGCAGCAAGAAAGACGAATGCCCAGATAGTGGCGCAAACGATGTAGAAGGTGTGGTGTTCGAGTTTGTAGGACAGAGCTATGCAGGCGAAAGTGTGAAGGCCGATGGCGACGGCCCACCAGCCGCTTGCAAGGTCGCCGACGGATACGAACCAGCCCTGGGCGTAGCAAGAGGGTGAAGTGACGTCGATTGCATCCCGCAAAAGCCACTCGATGTTGATGAAGAAGGCGATTGCTTGTTGGAAGTCGGCAAGGAGAAGGTTGAAGATGAGGAAAAGGAACTGATTCTGAGCACCGTGGGCTTTTCTTTGCCACCGGGAAAAAAGAGTGCGGGCGAGGACAACAAGAAAAATAAAGGAAGAGACAAGTGACATGAGACTGAAGACGACTACTGCTGTGAGACCCCTGGTCATGACATGTGTTAAAGGAGAGAGGGAGCCGGATTCTGAAGGCGTATCAGCTACATTATGGGCCATTGTGGCGCGGAAGACGGAGGGAAGAACAAGTGAGGCTGGTATGCATGCGGGAGGATTTCAACATGGCGGGACGGGAGAGGCGTGCCGGGCATATGTAGCCGCGGTCGGAGGCAGCGGAGGGCAGAGGTATAACGGCGAGTCGTGCTAGTGGCGGCGGCGCTACGGGGGTATCCTGATGCTTAATTCTGGCCATGAGTTGATGCGTGCGCTTAAGAACAGACGCATGATGCGGGCGTTGGTTTGTCAAGCTTGCGAAAGCATTGGGCCCGGACTGGCCGGCTGCGTCCATGCGAGAAGCGGAAGGTGGGTAAAGCTCGAAAGCCACGGCGAGGAGGCAGGCGAGCCGAGGGAAGGGTCCGCGTTGGGCAACTGACGATGAGATGATGAGTTGCCGTGTGAAGGGCGCTCGGGTGCACCCAGCGCGGAACCAGGCTGGCGGGTAGCAACGGCGGGCGCACATGGATGGGGCTAGTGACATGGGTCTCGAATCATGGAGGCCACGAGCGAGGCCGAAAGCAGACTGGGGTCGGAGCTGGGGTCGTCGAGCTGATGATGAAGAGCCGTCGCTTGGGGCTGGTGTTGAGCCTGACTCGCTGCTCCGCCGCCGCTGCCTCGCCTCTTCGCCTGTTCGCTTCTTCGCCCCTTCGCCCGCCTCCGCCTCTACTCGCCTCCGCCTCTGCCCTCTCCGCCTCGCACCGGACCCCTGGCCACGCCGACCTGCCATGTTTTGCCTGCTGCTCGTGCACCGCACCGCCCCGCCCCGCCGCGCCCGCGCTGAGGCTACGTCGCAGCCGGCTTGTCTGTTGTTTCACCTCCAGAGCATGTCCCCAGCGCCCATGCCGTCGATCCACCCCCGCCCCAGGCTGCTCCACTTGTACATCACGACCATCACCCATGCCAGAGTCATGTTCCCCTCGAGGACCAGCTTTGGGCCTGCACACCAACACGTCAGAGAGCAGACAGGATGTCCAACATACAGCACACACACCTGCGCACACGAGCTCCGGGCTGCCTCCACCTCGTAACACAGACCCCGTAACGTTGGCCGACGCAGCAGCGCCCGCGCGGCCCGGCACGGTGCCGCCGCCAACTCGCAATGGTCTGGTGTCGTCGCTGCCCAAGTCTGGTCTGCATGATGATCTGCTGAGATGCCTCGGCACATGGATGGCGAAACAATATCTATGCTGCCGCCGAGCCAAGCCCAAGTGCCGGGCGGCAGTCATGATCTCTCACTTGCAAATCTCCAAGACTCGAGCCAACTCCTCTCTCTGCTACCGCCAGCCAAACCCTAACTCTGCCGCTCGTGTTCTGGGCCCGCCCTTTCTCTCTCTCTCTCCCTCATACCATAGCGTGCCTTTCTGCTTGCTGACGAAACCATGTCGTGCTCGGCTCATCTGCCGCGCCTGCTTCCTGCTTGACGACATGATCACCATCGTATTTTCGCTCTGTGCGGTCGTGACCCGAGGCACTGCTGCTGCCGACTAGTCATAAAATGCTGACATGGTGCAGCCACAGCCGCGCAGGCGCCTGACAAATTCTCCGGTCACTGACTCGAGCCCAAGGCCGTTGCCGAGATTGATAAGGCAGCGCCTCTGATCAGGGTCCTCCTTACTACTGATGCCCAGTCTCCCCACTGCTCGCCATATGACCGTCAGGGACCGTCGGCACTCGAGTCACGGCCGTTCTTGGCATACTCTAATGCTCCCCCCACCCTAGCGACGATGAATCTTGACCCACTATTATCTCTTCAGGCTGGAGCTCTTACGGCGGAGATGGTGAGACCGACGAGAGCTTAAGCGAACTTCATGGTGCGATACCGCATGGATTTCGACCGGCGGCGGAACTTGGAAAAACCCCCCCCAGAGTATGGTTTAGACGATGCTTCCACGGATTCAAGTCCGCCGACTTTGCATTGAGATACGGCCCCTCTCCGATGGCGCAAAGGAGATAGCCGAAGTAAAGTACTCACCGAGGTATTTTTCCGCCTACAGTACTAGCAATGTCATTGCTACCTTACGCGTGGCGGTTGACGCCGTTCGAGTATAAGGTAAGCCACGATTCTAGACTTTGGCACCACTAGTCGCCTCTTTCTCTTTGTCACGCATGCTCTTCGTCTTCTACAAAAGACAGCGCCACCACACCCTACTCCCCCCAAGCACTTATTGCCTTGAAACAACACTAACTTTGCAGAATTGGGGTTGATGGAGCTTGTGTCCGAATGCTCCGGTTCACATAAATATTGCGCATCTATGCCCAAACGACTGCTTTAGCTATCTGTCCTCGTGGGTTCTTCGATGCTCAAGATCCCTCACCTTTCCATCATTCAAACGACCCGTCCTCCATTCCTGGAAGCAATCCTAATCGAACATTGCTTCGAATGCATTGCTTCAGCCACAGAAACACCCAGTTGACAAGACTGAGCCAGCCAACCTGTCAGGGAGACGGAAAGGAGAGAGGAATGAGATTAAAATTAAGTATGAGAAAAGGCTGTGTGGTCTCACAAGTTGGAGATTCTTCCATATCCCGAGCGCTTCCTAACAAAGCCCCTTGCGTAAGAGACATGTTCATCCACCGCCGTTTTGACATGATCTCCTTGGCTGATTTGGTCGAGATTAAGATAGTAGCTAATGTCTTACATGCCGATCTACCATGTAAGAATCGATCAAAAGAAGACGAGGGGGTATGTGAATGTGTAAAAAGAAAAGAAAGAAACAGGAGGGAAAAAAAAGAATATAGCCTTCCCAGGTCGTGTCCACCTTTTCCATATATTGATCCTCCTCGCCACCCATGCATTTGTATTGAGAAGAGAGCAAGGAAACAACGAGAGTGAAAACAAAAAGGCCGTACCCAGTCCGGTATCCAGGGTATCTCAGATGCTAGAAAAAAAAAGAGAAAGGAAAAGAAGGAGTATACAAGTCATTCCAGGCCAGCGTACATGCGCATCGTCAATGATTTGATTGGTGGGGAAAAACAAAAATCCAGGAGAACAGTTGGAAATTTTTTGGAAAAGCTTCGATTCCAGATATTGTTCGGTGTTGTGTTCGTGTCGTTTTGTCCTTTGTGTGGTTCGTTGATTCTTTAGTATGGACTACCCGACCTCGGCCTCATGGCGTTTGAATTGCCCACCACATCGACACTTCTACCGATGGGCGTCGAGTTGCCGCTACTACCATTGCTACCACCCTCACCGGGCAGCATGAAGCCGTCAGCGGGCTCGACCCTGATCTCGACCTTTGTCTCGGCGCGCACACCACCAAGCCCGGCGAGGATGGAGTCGGTGCTGCCACGAGGGGTGGACTCGCGGGCCGAGGTGCTGCTACTGCGGGCACGGGTAAGGCCATGTGTGGATGGTGTGCTGCTGGCCTTGTGCTTGGGGCGGCCGACGCGCTCAGTGGCGCCATGGACGCCACCCTTGGAGAGTTCATCCATGTCGATGAAGCTGGAGCCGCGGGCGTCGAGACCGCCGGTGATGGTGACGGTGTGATCGGCGCCCATCCCGCCCTTGCGGTCGCTAAACGATGAGATGTCCCAGCCCGTGGCAGTTTGGCTGCCGTGGCCACCATAGCCGGTGCGCCCGCCAGAGGAAGAGGCGCCGGCCTTGCCAGCCCCACCTTGGTGCGGCTCAATCTCGTTGGAGACGAGCACGCGGCGGGTCAGCGCATACAGGGCGGCATCGACCCAGCCGCACGACGTCATCATCGAACCAGCGGCGCAGTAGTAGGCAATGGGCAGTTTCTGGCCCGTCATGGTGGCCATGCGGCCCGCCGCCAGGGGCAGCGTCAGCAGCACGTACGTGAGCGGGTACAAGACCATGTAACGCGCCGCCTGTGAGACCTTGGACTGTGTGCTGTGCTGTTGCGCGCTCGCGATGCTGACGAGCTGCTTGCGCAGGTAGATGAAGATGAGGGCGTAGATGATGACGGTGCCGAATTCGATGATGAAGATCCACAGGTAGTGCAGCCAGAGGCGCTCCGTCTCGTACTTGTCCGATGCCCAGCACTGGTAAGAGATGCACGTTAGCCTTTACGTTCTGGTAAGATTGCTAAGCGTGTTGCAATGATGGGAGTCGAAGCATTTCCTAGCTCAAGGTTCATATCCCAGCCCTGGCCTGCCACAAAGCTCCAATGTTCGTGCAGAGTAAGCTGGCAGAGTTTTCGGCAAACCTGACCCATTTTTACCGTTGCTCCTTTGATCTTGATCCATGATCGCTTTTTGAAGAAAAGAAAGGAGTCACCTACCCAAGCACCAGCCGCGGTAAAATAGTCACTCCCATGCAGTGCCGGACCAAGCACCGTCAACAGCAAGGCGAGCGCCCAGATGACGATCGTACCGGTTAAGAAAATTCTGAAGGGCAGCTGGCGGCCTTTGACGATGCTGAAGAAGGTGTGCAGGGCGATGGCGAGGACGAACATGCCGGAGGAGATATCGCCAATCTGGACGAGCCAGGCCTGACCAAAGCAAGCAGGGCTTGGAGCCAGCATACTATCGGTGTGGATCCAGTGGAAGCTGATGAGGAAGGAGATGGACTGCTGCAGGTCGGCCAACAGTAGATTGTAGATGAGCAACACGTACTGGTTGTAACCAACGTAGCTGCGGTAATGCCTGCGCCACGACACCAGACGGTACGTGATCCAGCAAAGAAGTCCCAGCGTCGCCACCGTCGACATCAGCGCGAAAATTCCAACCGGCCACAGCCCCCGCCGCAGGTTGTCCGGCAGCGGATCCACGCTGTACGGCCAAGGAAAGTACTGCGGCATGTTTTTGGATTCCAAATTGCGGATCAATGAGTTCCTCGCTCTCGTCCTGGAGTTTAATTCCTTTGAGACCTTTTCTGTGTTCAGGATTCTCTCCGTTGTCCTGGTGTGATCGGGTTGTCGGCGTGTCCAGGGTTATACGACGACGTATGGATCGCTCGCTTAGGCCGGGAAGTCGTATATTCGTAGACGTCGATCAGCTCTGAACCCCCAAGCGCATGTCGCGAAGTATTAGTCCTTCACTTCTTCTCCGGTCCTTGCAGCCGTTTTCGTAGAGTGCCTCGTGGGGGAGATATGGATCACTGGAGCGACTGTGTCGAGACAGACGAGATGAGAGAGCAAGAGAAGGAATGGAGGGAGGAGGGCTGATATGAGAAAGAACGAGGGTCCGTGGGGCTGAACAGGAAGTGGTATCCGAGGAGGACTATAGGGCGGGGAGGAGGGGTTTCGAGGCACAAGGCGAGTCAAGATCAGGGACGAGCGGATGATGGAAGATCGGCCTTTGGGCGGGAGAGGAATTCGGCAGTCTTTTTCGGTGGACCAGGGTGGTGATTAGCAGGCGGATCAGTGGGGGACGAGGCGAGAGAAGGTGGCAGCTGAGGGAGTGCGCTATGGCAGATCAAACGGGAGGGAGAGGACGCGGATGCGGCTGCTAACGCAGACTGGCCCAGCCCGGGCTGCCATCTCTCGTCCCCACTGGCCATCCTTCCGGCAGCCTGAGGAAGTTGGACCGGGGGATGCTGGACAGGCCGCACGCCATAAGCTTTTCCGACGGCCATGATGCCCGCTTGGCCGGTTCAGCGTGGGATTCGGGCCGCTGCCATTGGACTATTTTTGTGGGTTGGGGCGGGCCCCGGTGCCCTGGTGACAGGGTGTTGGAGGCGCCCTCGGTGCAGCTCCGGGGCGTGCATGCTGTCGAAATGCTCTCTGCAGCGGAAGGATTGTGGCTAGGTGACGGGGCGACCGCAGAAGCACCGTTGTCTCTTGATTCCCATCTCGAATGCCCATGGCCGTCGGCTGAGGCGGGAGGCTCCGCTGAGAGTGGTGGCGGCTGAGCATGGCACCAGGAACCAGGGCGGCACGTCGCCTGGCGCGGTCCAGATGGCGCAGCAGGGGGGGCCGCGGAGACGACTACGTAAACAGCAGCGTGGGTTGGATGGTGTCAGGCGAATGACGGGGCAGAGTGTTGTTGCTGGCGGCTGGCCAGGCACCTGCCACGATCTGCGCCCCCAAGAGCATGGGGTAGGCAGGCGCCGATACGGCGCCCGCCCGTTATGGAGCGCTGCGCCGGTGATCAGCAGGGGTACCTGCTTCTTCTTCCTGCACAACCGCGTCCAGCAGGCAGCCGCGAGACAGACGGCGCGGGCACGACACGACACCAACGGCGCACCGCACCGCCAGCTTACCAGCTCGCCAGCAGCGGCGGGAATCTTGGTTGCGACGGGCGCAAGAAGGGTGCGCCAGCGGGGCGGGAGCGCAGTCCCGGCGGGAGGAAACGCCGCCAGCGGGGACAACCAGCTTAGACACCAAGCACAGCGACGCGAAAGGCTTGCCTCGCGCGCCTGACTCGCATGCTCTGGCCGCGACGAAACGGCGCCGACTCGACTGGTGCAGCCACCCAGCGCAGCGTTTCGCTAGTGGGCGCTACGTTCGACAACCGCATCACACAGCGGATTAGCGGCGCCCATCCTCATCCTCTATCGTCCCCAAACGCCAAGCCGTCTCTGTCTGCCCTCGCCAGTATTTGCATTCCGGCGCATGGGCTGTCCATCACCAGAAAACCGCCGAATGCTTGCCAGGCAACGTGACAGCTGCCAGCTCTCGTCGCGCCCGCCTTGTCCAGAACAACGCCTCAGCACCTGCGCCTAACCATTTCAGGTTGCCGGGCCCGGGAATGATTGCACAGGGCATCTCCGGCGACATTGGCCTTCAACAGCGTTGGGTGCGGGGTAGGAGACGGAGGACTTTGCGATTCAGTAGTGCTGGTCCATGGCCCGGCCAAGCTTTCCGGGGCTCGAGACGGAACTACTGCAGGCACGCAGGGCTGAGGACGAGGAACAAGAAAGAGGGGCACCCACTGCAATCCCGCCCTTGCAGTGTCGTCCTCACCTCACACGCCCAGATTGTCGGCGGATGGGGCGCGCAAATTGCACAGCAACTTCTCGGCTCCACTATGCCACATGGTGTGTCGTCCAGCAGGATGATCCACCCTCATCAGCACCCGCAAATCCTCGGCTTCAGGTTCCGTTGCGCGCGCGCCGAAAGGACCAAGGGATTCACAGCCAACAGCCCCACTTTGGCACCCAGCAAATGCAACAAGGGGATCCGCCGCCTGTGCGGACGACGCCTTAAGCGACAAACGGAACTGTTCCCGACCGCTCTGATACTCAATACTGTGACTTGCGCGTCGCTCCCGCCGCGGCTCGTCGGCGCTGCGGTGCGGGTGGGGGCGTCGCCGCATCAAGACGATCGCTGTTGGCCACAGGCGAAGCTTAATGTTGTAACAAGCCTTTCGCGCAGCAGACGCTCTGCTCGGCCAGTTGTGGCGCATGACGTCGTCCAAGGCACCGTGGAAACAAAAAAGCAAAAGGGACGCGAATCCTGCAGGAAGCCGGCACTGTTTCTTCGTCTAACGGCGCCGGCTACCTCGGCTGCCGCTGCTACGTAGTAGTACGTACCTTCTCGCCCCCGTTCTGGAATAATCCTCGGGGATAGCGAGCCCTCGTCGATCCACCCGCCGATCCACCTTTAACAATCAACACGAAGACGCTCCCTTGCTTTCGCAACCACTTGACGAAATCCCCGGTGGGGCTGCGCGGCAAGCACCTACAGATGCTCCACTTCGCCGTCTGGAGCTAATGCTTTGCGCCAGCTCACAATGTTACCCTCAGCCCACACCTCCTTTCCCCCAATAGAGAAATTGCTTTCGTCTTCATCAGTTCTCGGTCCTTTCCAGCAGGGCTGGGCTCGGTGTTCGGCACGCCTTCGTCAGCGGAAAGGCCGCCGCGGTGCAGAAATCACCGAGAAGCGCACACTGGGCGGGAACATCCGTTTGCCATTGTCCATTCACCTCGTTATCAAGGATGGTACAAGCACTGTGGCACTATTGATGCATGGCCAGAACCACGCCCTAAATTCACCCGCACTTCGGAAGCTGCACCTCGGAAAACCATGCAGGCAGCCGACCTCTGCGGCAGATCTCCCCGCTCCCGCAGGAGCCTTCCGAAATCCTATCACGTAGGTAGCTCCCCTGTAGTTGCCCTGGCTCTGACATTTAGACTTTGGTATGAATTCATGCGTGGGGCTCCTCTCTACTCTTCTTACTGGACACTGCTATCCCTGAGCATATCGTCTCAGGTCCGTCCGATGCCCTGCTTTAAGCTACACACCTAAGCGCAACGAACCTGTTGGCGTCCATATCGCGCGCTCTGCTGTCCGCCGCAACCAGCCATCAATGTGCAGATGCCATCGAAGGATCGACAAGCCTACAGCCGCCTGTTTTTTTTTTCGTTCTGCTGCTCAGCCTGCATCGTGTCCAGTTGCTGACCTCGGTGCTCCCACGGCGACGCATGGGAGAATGACGAAGGAGCCAAGCTATCAACCGCACTATCGACCGTTCGACCGGTGGGGCCGTGGGCTTCGTCGGTCTCGTCTCCCTCATACACTACTGCCCTCTCGCCTTGTCTTCGTCTCTGAAGAGAAAGATTCCTTGCCTGGTACTGGATAATGACCACCACGCTCCGCTTCCGCGCTTACCTCCTTTCCGGACTTGGCTTGGTATGTCGCCATCTGATTGGCAGGTGCGCTCTTTAGGATTATGTTCCTTGCTAGTTTGGCATATCCATTTCTTAAAAGGGTCCCTGGCGTGTTTGAAAATCTCATCCTCCCTGACGCCACTTTTATCATATTTCTCCGCACGTGGTAACTGGGATGAGGCGGGTTTTCGAGCAACATCGGCGACAATCGGCGCAAAATCCAATCAAGATCGTCGCCGCTGGGCAGGTTGCGACAACTGTCGGTTGGACTTGAAGAAACACTAATGCAAAAGCGGCAGACATCACGTTCTCGGTGCTGAGTGACTAGGTGGTATCCTCTCTTGATGTCTAAGGGCACCTGATCGGCATCTACACTTACCGAAGCTCACCCGTGCTCGCCAATGCTCTGGCAGGACTACTGTTGCGACCGAGTTTCGAATTCTCCCGTTGATGGGCACCTTTCATACGACGTCCGTTCCGACTTCCGTTTCCTCCCAACGGGTGAGACCGCCATTGCGTAGCGCAACATCTCCCACCGTTATTCCCGTTATTCGCGTCATTCCCGTGCAATCTTACTAAAACCGATATGCTTTCTGTTAGTTCTGCACCAAGGCACTTGTGGTTCACCCAAAAATCCATTTCGTTGTCGTGAGCACTAAGGTTTTGGTATGTGCCCACACCAGCCCCAGCCTAGATGTCGATCCTCCGCAAAGAAGATCCACTGTCGTAGTGGCGAGAGATTGAACGTGGGCCCCCGTCTCCCTCGCCCTGGCGCGCCCTCTCCTTCCACTCCGCTGCATGCCGCCCAGTATCTTGGACAGACCCCAAGCCGATCATCGGGGTAGCCTTAGCAAAGAGGGAAAGGTGGCCCATCACCAGAAGAAGATCAGCACGATCATTGGATGGGGGAGGAGCGGGTTATGGGGCTGTAGGGCTCTCTCGGTGATGGCTCGGAGGTGGCTTTGTGCTGGTGTCGGAGCACTTATCCTGGATGGGCAGGAGTGTGCGGCACGCATGGAATTTGGGAGATCTGTGACAGGGAAGACGAGGGAGGAGTGGAGTTCTGATCTCCAGTCCATTTTCGCTTGAGAACCTGTCTCGAGCTATGATTGGAGTCCGTTGTGGAGGGGACAAAGACACGGGAGGATCTGCCGTGGATCCCCTTGGCTGATACCGATGCGATCTGGGAATGTTATCTTCTTGTAGATGATGCCATGGGTAATTCTCCGATCGTGTCGTAATAAGAAAAGGTGAGAGATTGGAACTAGTGGCGGCGGGGTCTACAAACTCAAATATCAGTTCGAAGATCGGCAACTATGGCAGGCGCTGGGTCCGGCACGTCAGCCGAAGCAAGTCTGGGCATAGTCCCGCAGGGATGGCTGTCGCCATTGGTATACCATAATGCAATTGCCCACGTAATAGCTTGACAGTACTTAAAAATCACAGTTCCTGCAACTGTGGCCTCTCGAACGGAATCCTGGAGTATGTTCGAGACGACTCTCAACGCACGGCCCGGTTGTATCCTCGTAATGGATGGACTGGACGAGTTCAACTGCGTCGGAGAATTTCGAAGCGACACCGTACATAGACCAATAGTGGCCAAGATGCAGGAAAGCCAATTGGAAGACTACAAAAGCGAAGACATGCTCGAGACTCGAAATTATTGTCAACAGAATGCCGAGAGGCCTTTTACTATGTATATGAACGCACTCGAAAGGCCATTGAACATCTTGAAGACGACGAACAAGAATGAGCTCTTGAAATACTACGATAAGCAACGTTCGTGTTCAAGCAGTTAACCATTGCAGAGTTAACAAAAGCTCGTTTGGTCGGCCCGGAAGGTCAATCTGAGGTTGTATCCGCGAATGGTCTTCCTTCCATCGCAGAACAATTACATCAGTCACGGCATCACAGCGCTGTGTGCATCAGTTCTGGGCATACGAGCCGGACCCGGATGTGCATCTCGTGATGTGCCCAAAGGTTTGATGGTGCACATAGTCCACCCATCAGCATGGGATATCACACTCACTCCATAATAATGCAACACTTTGACTCACCTATTTCTCTAACGCTATCTGGTGCAGCGCTTCAGCACAGGGTTATTGCACGAGCACTTCTGCTGTCTCTGCGGGAAGAGCAAGTATGGCACCGAACCGGTTCAAGCTTTCTGGAATATGCCATTAGAAAATTGCCAGAACATGCTCATACAAGCGACGAATAAATGCCCACATGGACGGATTGTATCATGGGCTTTTTTTTTTTTTGGAAAGCTATTCCACTCTAACTCGTGACGCTTGTCGTTCAACGCAATGTATGGTGAGGTGAGTTCGTAAGTCCGGGTGGCCATCAAAGCAGACCAATATGTTTCGCTGCTCTATTAATTATGACGGCGACAATGATGGCGCTCGGATCCTTGACTGTCATTTTCCTCAACGGTAAGTCGCATATATGGGACACCATTTCAGGCAGCCTGTTCGCAAGGCCATCGAGAAGTGTTCGAAATCTTGATCGATTGGGGTGCAGACGTCAATGTGCAGGCCCGTCTTTATGGACCGGCGCTCATTTACCCCATGGCGTACCAGCCTGAGGATATAGCCTCGCGCCTTGGGGACTCCGGGGTAGACAACAAGATTTTCTCTATTCGGCTCTCCATATAGCTGCTTATTACGGACTTTGCAACACAGTTTAACTACTGCCCCTAATGGGCGTAATGGCTTCAATATCCTGTTGAGACACGCGTTAGACCTTTTATTATCTCCTCGATCGTAGGGCTGATCTGGAGGCGATGGGCGCGGACGATATCACATCCTTGCATGCAGCTATATGGAGGGGTAATCTCCCTATAGTAGCTTGCTTACTCGAAAAAGGTGCCAGTGTTTCTATTCAAGGGAGGAGTAGCGCTTATGGAATATGTAGTTTTAGTTGGCCGCCTTGTCAGTGCAACTCGTGGTTAAACAGCGCTCAAGTCAGTTATCATTGACTAAGAAAAAAAAAAACATAGCATGATAGCACTGCTCCTGACGGCTCCAAAGATCACAAGAAAAGCATTCAGTTTCCCGTCGATTGCGGGCTGGAACGAGCAGCCAAATACTTACGAGGCAACTTGTTGTTTTACCTTGCAGTAGCATCTGCTTCAGTGGAAATGGTTCAGAGTGCTCAACACACCAAACAACTGCTGAATCTACCCCTAATGAGACAAACCAGACACCGTTCCACTGGCCATGCCGGAGAATGGACCAGGATGTAGTCGGTGAACTCATCCGCGTTGGAATGTAGGACATTGGGGTGAAAGCCTTGGACTCACTTGAACATTGCTCAGATGCACGAAAATGAAGTCAAGGACCACTGTGTCGGTGCTCATGGTAGAAGCACTGCCTAGAACCAAGCCCTAGATGCCTAAGAGCTAAAAGCTTGATTCAGCCATGCAAAGTCAAGCGGTGAAGTGTTATAGCGAACTAGCCAGCCATAGCTGGTGAGTCAACCAGGCAACAGCGGACACGAGCCACAACGGGACTGACACAGCCCCATTGGTCCCCCGCCCAACCACCAATCCATTTAAGAGCAGCCTCAAACCCCCATTCCACAGCCATCAACCCACTGCCACGTGTAAATACGAGCAGCACAATCCCTTTTCCAGAACCCCCCACCCCCCTCTCCTCCTACGTTGTTCGTATCATCGCAAATCGTGGGCCGGCGACGACCTGCTGCGCCACCTCCACCACCACGGGACCACCAAACCCACCCACCCACGAACGAAACCCAAGCAGACTCACAAACAACTCAACAAAAACAAACAAGAAAAAGAAAAGAAAAAGAAAAAGAAGACCTCAACAACCGCCATACCCCCAAACAACACAACCATGCCCTCCCCAACCATCCCCTCCTCCTTCCTCCGCGGCCCGGCCCCGCCCACCGTCAGCACCTCGCGCATCGACTTCGCCTTCACCCCCGTGCCCGAGTACGCAAACTGCTACGCGACCGTCATCGACGACGCGCTCACGCCGTCCGAGTGCGCCACCCTGCTGCGGCTGGCGGCGGCGGCCAGCACCAGCACCAGCACCAGCACCAGCGCTTCTTCCACCACCACAGCAGAAGCAGCAGCAGCAGGAGGAGGCGGCATCTGGGAGCGCGCCATGATCAACACGGGCGGCGGGCGGCAGGCGATGGCGGTGGACACGCGCAACTGCGGGCGCATCATCTACGACAGCGAGGAGCTGGCGGGGCGGCTGTGGGCGCGGGTGGCGCCGCTGGTGCCGGAGCTGGCGGTGCTCGAGGGCGAGCGGTGGGCGGTGCCGCCGAATGCGCGGATGCTGGATGGAGGGGAGGAAGATGGGGATGTCGGCTACGGCAGCGCGCTGCACGGGCGGCAGGTGCAGCGCGGGGAGCGGTGGCGGTGCGCGGGCCTGAACGAGCGGCTGCGGTTCCTGCGGTACGTCGGCGGCGAGTACTTCAAGCCGCACTGCGACGGCGCGTACGAGAGGGGGCGGGGGAAAGAGGGGGAAGCGAGCCGGCCGGTGGAGCGGTCGTTTTTCACGCTGCACCTGTACCTCAACGACGGCGAGGAGGTGACGGGCCATGCCGAAAGGGAGAGGAGGAGCCCGTTCATCGGCTGCGTCGAGGGCGAGCCTGAGGCCCCGCTGAAGGGAGGCGCTACTACCTTCCACAGCACGGAAAACTGGTTTAGCTTGTCGTTTGGCGACCCGGATCCTAAAATTATACAGAAGAGGGTGGATGTTGTGCCGAGGGTTGGGAGGATCCTTTTGTTTCAGCATCGAAACATGGTGCATTCTGGAGATGACGTGTTGGATGGGGTCAAGTACACAATGAGGACAGATGTGATGTTTACTAAGGAGGTAAAGGAGGATCAGGAAGAGTGAGTACGGGTTCTTTACAAGTAGAAGAGAGGCTGTAAGCACAGGTGCGCAGGGTAGCAAGGCCTGAAGTAGTCTCTTAGTCAACTGCTGAGAATCGAACGGTGGAGAGGGTGAATTTGCCAGCGCGCGTCCAAATGGATAGATTGTTGATAGGCGTAGGCCAACGAAAGTCAAAATCATTTCTCTGTTCACAAGGCAATTGAGTACCTCGCGGGTTGAATAAGAAAAAAATATCAGTCATGAACTCATGAGAATTACGAAAGCCTTCCCGTACCTAATCGTAACAGATGCATGATTGCCGAGAGTGGTTGAGTGTTCATCTTGACGGTATGGTGAAGCAGTCCACAACAACACCATCAAGTTCGGCATCATCTCAGTCACACCTCGTGCAAACGCCACAGACTTGCACAATCCACGCCCGTGCCGAACCTTCACTCCTGATCCTCACTTATCCTTATCCTCATCATCCTTCTTTGGCTTTGGCTCAAAGTCCAGACTGTTCCCGTTGTAATACTCGTTCCCCTTTTCACCCTGATCTCTTAATGTCCGGATCCTGATCCCACTTCCACTCCCACTGCCCCCTTCACCCCTCCCCTCTCTACCTGAGCCCTTCCCCTGCCCCTGCTTGTCCTGCGCCCCACCAGCTGTAGCCCCACCATTGCCTCTGCCGCCTTCTTGACCGCCTCGGACCCTCGCAAAAGGCGCCAACAACGTTGCGAAGAGCCCCACAAACATGTTGTACAGCTGGACCATGGCGACGTAGATGCTCCCTATGTACCCGCCACCAAGGCCCGAGTACGTACCAACTGCATTCTTGACAGGGACCAGGACGAGTGTCGCGCTTGGAACGACATCCGCAAGATCGTTGAGTGGCTTCGTTTCATCCGAAGGGCCAAGGGTGCGGTTGGGCAGTGGTGCAAGGATATGCTTAAAGGAGTAGGGCGGTGCTGGGGGAGGTTTACTTGAGGAAGAAGAAGGCCCGGGGCCGCTGCTAAGCGCCCAGTCGACGCGTGGCCGGACGTCCGCCTGCAACGTGGCTGTGGGCGGAAAGTACTCGCGAATCTGGCTGCCATCGAGGAGGCGGATGCGGAGGCAGACGTCTCCCGATTTGGGGGCCGGGCCCCGACTTGCTCCAGATATCGAACCCCTCTTTGCGGCTTCTAGCACTGGGGAGGCAGGAGTGGCGAAATCTGCCCCCGCGAACTCGTGAAGCTCGGCTTCGCGCTGCCGTTTGCGCAGCTCTTCCCTCTCCTTGCGTTCCTTCTTGTCGGCTTCCACACGTTGAAGGATCCTATTGAGCTCATCCTGGTGGGCCTGTTTCCGCATCTTCTCCTGCGCTGCGTAACTAAGTCTTCTCGTGTCTTGCGAACCCGCCGAAGATATTTCCTCCTCAACCGCCTTCCGCTTTCCGGCGGCCTTAGCAGCGCGTGCAGCAGCCTCCGCTTCCTGTGTCAGTTGATGGTCTGCCTCGAGGCGAGCTGCGCGGTCGGGGAAGAGCGAGTTGAGGTCGGTGTTGGGCGTGGGCTCGGTGGACGCTGCAGGTCGAATCGGTGCGGGTTGAGTTGATGGCGAAAGAGAGCCCTCGCTTGGTGGAGACGCAGGTGAGGTGCTTGCTTGCGCAGTCGACGGTTCGTCTGCTATCGAAGTGGGTTCGAATTGCACCGGCGTGGTAGCTTCCGGGGGGTTCTCCACCGTGGCTTCCGTTGCAGCCCTGTCCTCAGACGCGGAGCTCTGCCCTGCTGTATCTGGATTCAATACCCCTTCTAACTTGCTGATGAAGTCATCGTGGCTGATTCCTCCCAACAAGCACAGCTTCAGTTGTCCGTTGCTGAGCACCTCGCGCGTTAGAATAGCGGTTCAGCAGCATTTAGAACGCGCGGCCCCCGAGCCCTTGCGCTCTCACACAGGATTCAGTCACCTACTGTATCACAACGAGCGCGGGCGTCTTCGGAATCGGACAGAATGCGGACAAGAAACCGGCTTCCTGACTGCCTGCTTCAAGGCGCAAAGCAACCGACTTCTGGGCGAGGAGTGTGGCAAGCTACGAGGGACAATACGTTAACAAGCCGAGTTCCAGAGCTTTCATGGTAGCAAGTACTCGCTCATTCGCGGGAGTCGTCGTCGTAGGTGGAACTCACGGGTTCATTGCTTAACCACTCGTCCTCCCATGTCGTACTCTCTTCATTCACGTCTACCTTCGCAAGGTTCTGTCAGAGACACACAGAAACGTACTGTAGGGGCCTCGAACTGGGGAGAGAACGCCCACGGTTGGGGGTAACTGGAAGGCGGGGAACAACGTCTAGGCTTAGAGGCTACGCACCTCGCACAAAGCAAACGACAGACTTGGCCTGCTGGATAGCGAGCGAGATGCCGCTTTGCAAGTCGCCCTGGTGAAACATTTCCTTTTCCGGACGGTCAAGTGTTTCTGGACGGAGGGGCCAGCAGGAGCGCGAATGAGGCAGGGCAGGCGCAGGTCGGCGGTGCGGCGCAGGCTAGGTTGCGAAGACACGGTAGCTGGCGGCGGAGCTTGGGAGGGAGCTCGGCGAGGCTAGGCTAGCCTAGGCTTCGCGCGAGACAGACGGTGGCCGGAGCACGTCGGGAACACCGTGACGGAGCAAGGTCAAGCTTGGGAGTGTGTGTGGCACCAAATGCGGGTCCGGGAGGCCACGCGAGCTGCAAGCCGGGGCAAGCTGTACGAGATCTCTTACGTAGCTTGTCGGCTGCAAGCGAGAATGTCGTGGCCATCCGTGGCCATCCGTGCTCGCCGCGTACAACTTGGTGGTGGTTGCGAGCAACAGCGGAGACGTCAACCGCTGGACGAGAGCATCCAGGACCACGCCCTGCCAGATCAAAGCTGCCATGTCGACAGCGTCCACGCCGAAGAGACTATATAGCATCGATCCCGCATTACAACTTCATCACGCATGTTGATCTCCGAGCTGGCAATCTCTGCGAGAAGCTGCTTACCGAGCTCCTGTCTTCCCTGGTAAACACTTGGCACATATTCACGTCACTGCCGCGTCTCAAGGCGCGCGATCCGTGTTCTCTCCCGAATCTTGCTTCGCCCGTTTGTGACCCACACTTCTGCCTCTCCGCCCGCAAAGATGTGGAATGCTGTCCGCTAATCGTCATCATCGCCATCCGCACGTGAGTCATGCCCATCGGACAAGGGAAGCAGATGGAGCACGGAGAAACAGAGAGTAGAAAGCTATACAATTACCGGCGCATACTTAGAAGGCACCCCGTGATTATGAAAGCGAAATTGCTCCACTACTGTGCTTTGAATCCAGCATGATGCCTTGCTTTACCCGTTGCTCCACGCACTATCTACAAGTGAACTAAAGAGGGGAATCCCTCCTTCAAACCCAGATCGACACCTGTTTGCTACCGCCCACTGCTTGCCCGAAGAAAGAAGGAAACTGAAAACCAGCGATGAGAGTACTGTAAGGGAAAAGAGAAGAGTCCCGCCGTCGCGGCTGCGCGTCCGCGAGACGCTTGCGGCCGGCTCCGAGCAACACCAGACGGACTGTCCCAGTCTGCAAAACTGCCTTCAGATATCGCGAGGTGAACAGGCTTTCTCTAGAGATTTCATTGTCATGCTCCGCCGCAAGTCATGCCACTCGTCAAGGTGCACCGGTCTATATCATTAGGGTGTGATGCGCGTTTGACGTTTCTGCGTAGCTCCTTCATAGGACGACACACTTGCTCTTCTTCGGCTTGGCGGCGGGCCTCGGGCTCAGGACGGCGCTGTTTCACCACCAGTCAGTATTCAACCGCTCCTTCCAACGCTTTTGTTTTGGTGGGCGTCTTCATGGGAAGCTCTCACCGAATGGCCTCGTCGAACACGCTCTTCAAGTTACGCTGCGTCAGGGCAGAGCACTCCAAGTACTTGTGCGCCTTGATCTCCTTCGCGACTCCCACAGCCTGCTCGTACTGGATGGGTGCCATCTTCTTTTGCCTAAGGCTCTCCCGGGTGCCCTCATCATCTCTGAGATCGAGCTTCGTGCCGACAAGAATGATCGGGACACCGGGCGCGTGGTGCTCAATCTCGGGATACCACTACAAAAGAAGCGTGAGTGAACCGTGCGTCCAGCAGGGATGGGAGGGCGCGCACCTTGGCCTTGACGTTGTCGAACGAGGGCGGGCTGACAATGGAAAAGCAGATGAGGAACACGTCGGTTTGCGGGTAGGAGAGCGGGCGGAGACGATCGTAATCCTCCTGACCGGCAGTATCCCAAAGACCCAGGCTGATGGGCTTGCCATCGACCATGACATTGGCCGAGTAGTTATCGAAGCTGCCAAGCTAAATCAGCCCCAGTCGTCCCAACAAGAGGCAGGAGAAGTGCATACACAGTCGGGATGTACTCGCCCGGGAAGGCGTTGGTCGTGTACGAGATCAGAAGGCATGTCTGGACAGGCGTCAATGGTTGCGCGCACGGGACCGGGGCGGGAGAGGCATACCTTGCCGACGGCACCGTCACCGGTGACGACGCACTGCAGAAGCGGTCAGCGTGAATCCGGTTGCATCTTCAGCGGCTGCAAGCGTACCTTCAGGGACTGCGTCGCAGGTGCAGCAGCCATTGTGGGAGCGTTGGAGGATGGGTATCAAACGGAGGCGAAGGTTGTTCGCGTTGAGGAGGCGCGGAGGCGGCTGCAGAGTGACGGAAGCTTGACAGATGCACCGAGGGACTTGGACCAAGCTGCGGACGGCGGGCCGTTGCGGTCAGCGACAGGAGCTTAATCGGGGCGAGCTGGTTCAGGTGGTCCGGCGGAACTCACCACTCGAAGTTGCAGATGCGCTAGCCGCGATGGATTCGGGGGGGTTGGGCTGGTGCAAAAGAGCTGGCGGGGCGGACGCGACAGGCGTGCTGGGGTGTCGTCGCGGCGATGCTGGGAGCTTGCAGTAGGGTATCCGGTGGTCTGACGAGGCGCGGGAGCGTGGAGCTCGCGGACGGTCGGTGAGGACGGAGCGTTGGCCTTCGCGATGGCGGCGACGGTGAGAGGTGGTTGGTGTTGCAGACGCGACCTGGGCGTGGCGAGCTCAAGAGCCTTTCGGACGGACTCGCGGGCTTCACAGTGGCGGCGAGAGCGGAGTCGGTCAAGTGTTCCAGCGATGAAGCAGGTTGTCAGAGGGGTTGCAATGTGCCGGTGCAAGTTACGGGGGTTCGTTCGGCTCTAGCTTGCACGGATTGGCGCGCCAAATCAGAATACCTATCCTATCACTCCTGTGCTCCCATCGCCGACGCGCCAAAGACGCGCCGCAGCCCCAAGCCGCCTCTGCTGCCTCTGCTGCCTGCGACGGGGGCCGGGCGACAGGCGACAGGCGACTCGCAGGCGACAGGCGGCTAGGACGGCCCCGCTGCCAGCCAGTTGCCAGCGCGCTGCCGTCCCAAGCCACGCCGCCGTCAGTCCCACCGCACCGGCTGCGCGCTGCGACTCGGCAGTGCCGCATCAGTGCGCATCTTCAAAACCCTTGCACCGTCGCGCGAGAAAGGCCGGGGCCACGCTCTGTTTCGACCTCCATCGCGGCCGCTGCCTGCTCCACACCCATGCCTGCCCAGCCCGTCGCCCGCCTCCGCTGGGGCCTGTCTCCATCTTGTGGCAATGGCTGACTTCCCGCGATTTAGGCCGCGCCTCGACAGCCGCCGGCGTCTGCGGCGCCCGCAACTGTCTTCCCGCCCTTTTCGGCCGCCAGCTGCTCTTTCTCGATCTACCCGAAATGAGCACACGTGTCGGCAAGGGCGGCCAATGGGTTTCAGCGTCTGCTATAGCATGGGCTGGTTATTGTATACACCGCCGAGCTTTGCAGGCGTCACATACAGCAAACGCACGCTCTATTTCGACAGCCTAGCTTGTAGATGCTTGCGATGCCGCGCAGTTGGCTACTGATGATCGTCGTGCGTCGCAGGTGTGACCTCTTTGCAGCACCGTCGCAGCATCTGGCTCGAAGACGGGCTTCCATCTACCCACGAGTACCGGCCCACCCCGGCCCGTGCCGGAGCGGCTATCTATGTATACGACTGGAGGCTATCATGAAGCTATCGTGGTTCCACCATTTCCCTGCGGCGGCTTGAGCTTCGGACAGCCTTGATCCTCAAACCTGTCGCCCTTTGCTCGCTTGACTGTCTTACGAGAATCCACAGCTGCCTGAAACTCTTTGCAAACTATCACGTCGGATCCATGTCTCCGTGATTCGTCCGAACCTGCAGCGTGATGGTACATGAGCTTTTGGGTAGGCCAGGCATATACGGACTAGTTGTGCCCGTATCGCTGTTCTTTTATTCGTCGAAGACCATGCTCCCACCCTACACATTCGTCGCTCTATCGCGAAGCCAGTGGCTCCTCAATAGAAAAGCACCTCGATCTTCTTCTCGGGCTGGCCATATCGGCTCTTGAACTCTGGGCGAGCCAGAAGTTGAGCGAGTTCTTTCTGCACTTCTTGATTCTCCATGATTCCGCGCTTTTTCACGTCGATGTGGGACGCATCCACAACGATTCTCTCAAGGCTCTCGGGTGACAAGGCACCTATTGAATATTAGCATTCATATTCGGACATCATTGTGATCCCGCAACACATCGCAACGCCAATAAGCATTCGCAGCTCGCAGATAGTAGATCCTTTTGCTTCCGCTGAGCGCTTGCTTGAAGTTGCAACGCTTTCGTGAGTTTGATCCCAACTTACCGTTATCAAGCAAATCAATGATTCTCTTTGGGGTGCCTACACCGATGTTCATCTTGAACCTCTTGCAATTCTCAATCGCCTCCTGCAACTTAATGTGTTTGGCGAAGAGCTTCGTGACTTTGACGCCCTTATCTTCGAACGTCCTCAAAGCCCTAAGACCGATCAGACTTTGACCATGATTTCCCAGAGAAAAAAAACATACCTGACCATATCTGCGGCCCTCAACCCAGCCATAGCAACGACAAGCGTATGCGGTCTACCTTTCTCCTTTGAGGTCTTCTTCAGATTGCGCTTAGCATAGTTTTCTAAGAAAGCAGGAAGGTGTTCCAGGTCTCTCTGCTGCTCCCAGCTGCTAGTGTCGACAATCGCTTTCTCTGGGATCTCATTAGCGGAGGCTCCTAACATTCTGCAAGCCGAGAAATTATGAGACATGACACTAAAGACAGTGTTTCGTTGGTCGAGAAATGAAGGGTAGTACAAACGCAAAGCATACCTGGAACATAGCGGTCCTCCAGCTCCACCATGCTAAGATCAGGATCAAACCGCTTGGTCCTTTGCGCCATGTAATCAGCCAGCAGCTGGCTGTCCATACGCCCGATGGCCAAGTTCAGGCCGAGCTCTTCATTCAAGTCCTCATTCTCTGCGTTCTTCGGCTTTTTATTCTTTCTCTTCTCTGCCCGCTTGCTCTGCTTCGGCTCGACGTCATCCTCTCTCTTCCTTTTCCCACCGTTCGCGGGAGACGGCGACCTTAGGAATCCGGGCTCGATGAGCGGCACGCCGGCTCCATCTTCTGAGTCTGACATGGTGTGATCTTGGAATTCACGGGGTGGGTGAAGTTTTTGAAGTGTAGTCCTGACAGGCGCAAAGAAAAAAACCGTGGCAGCCATTTAGCTATCGGGGCGATAAGGCCCTAGCGCTAGGTAACGGTGACGACGCGTCTCCCAGCCGCCGACGCGACACTCCACTCCGCTGCTTTCGCGACGACGACGACGACCACCACCACCCTCTTACTTTGCAATAGCCGACAAGCCCACGGCTACCGACCGGCCACCATGGCTGAACCTCCGTCTAAGCGCGCGCGCACTACGCCTTCAAAGCCCGGCGACAACGACGTTCCAGCAAACGAAGCCGCATCGACCAACGCAACACCCATCGCAGACGTAAACAGCGCCCCGGCCTCCGCCTCACACAGAGAGATCCGCTAACAGACGTCCGCGATCGCAGCCCCGCGCGCTTGCCCACGCTCTCGACCAACCCCAGACCCGCACGCCCCTCCGCGCCGCCAGCGCCGGTCCGAGCCGCACTCCCGCATCGCAGCAGACCCGGACGCCAGGAGGCGCCAACAACAATGCCCGCCCGTTCCCCGTCGCGCGCCGACTGGTCGGCCCTCCGACGACGCCGCATGCGATCCGCGCGCTCCAAGCACGCCGCGACGCCGCGCTGGCCGCGTCCGGCGGCCGCAGGAACAGGCGGCGCAGCGGGGTGCAGGAACGGGAGTCGCCGCGCGACATTCTGCGGGCGCTGAGTCGACGTGAGTAGTGGCCGTTTGTGTAGCCTGGAGAAGGTGCGGACCGGATGGATACTGATGTTATGAGTAGGCCTGGCGCCCTTCTCGCAGCGGCTCATCCCCTCTCCGGATGTTCAGCAGTCGACTGCAAGGCCGAAGACGGGAAACGACGATGACGACGATGGGCCCGATCCACCCCGTCCGCGTCTGTCAATGCCGCTCAACGAGTACGAGGACGACAGCTTTCACGAAGCACCACCGCGTTTGTCGATGGCGTTGGAAGATGTGGACACTACAACGCATTCGGTGGAAGGCGGGAGGCGTGCTGTGAGCGAGGATCTGCGGCCACGGCTATCTATGGCGCGTTTGAGGTTAAGCGAAAGATTTGGTGATGATATGGACGTGCTGAGCGAGGACGAGGCAGCCGAAGTGTATGATGCAACGGTCGGGCCGCTGGTGTTCGATGGCGACGCTGAAGATGTATTGAACGAGGAGATGACAAACCGATTTGGGGACGAGTATGGCTCCAAGCGATTCAATGTTTGCAACAGAGATGGGAGCTGATCTTGAGCCGCAGTGATACAACACAGGAGCTTCGTGCAATGCTTGCGTCGCGGCGCCGCTCCCGCGTTAGCGACATCAATCAACCCGAAGGTGCTGATCTGGACGAAGAGCCGACTTTCCACTTCCGGATGCCAGGTTCCCGCGACCCATCACTGTTGCTTCCACAGCCAGAGGAGGAGGAGGAGGGGGACACCGAAGACGCTGAGGGCGAGGATGATGATCAAGATGCGTTGCACGCCCAAGGCATCGCATACGACCAAGGTGTGAATGAACAAGAGGCTCTAGATGATGTGGAGCCGGCCGATGCGCTACCCGGCATCGACGAGGAAGGAGACTACGAGACCGAGCCAGACGCTGATCAGGACATGGAAATTGACGAGGTCGAGCAAGCCTCAGAACCAGAGCTCCGCCGAAGTTCCATAGCTCGCTCCGTATCACCCTCCAAACTAAAGAAGCAAGCAGCAGCCCGGCGCAAGTCACTAAAAGTTTCCCGCTATGGCACGCCGTATCCGTCTCTCCCGTCGAGCGTCATGAAACGCTTAGCAACTAGCTTCGCCCGTTCGCATGCTGGACCCACAACGAAGCTGAGCAAGGATACGCTGGACGCCATCTCACAGGCCTCTGACTGGTTTTTTGAGCAAGTGGGTGAAGATCTCGCAAGCTACGCAGAGCATGCCGGACGTAAAACGATTGAGGAAGCAGATGTGGTGGCTCTGATGAGCAGGTATGTGGTTCTCTCGTCATTTCCCTCTAGTCTCCAGTTATCTGCATGGGTTTTCGTGATATAGTATGGCTACAAGATTTATGCCCGCATGGCACGGCGGCATATGGACCTCCTGTGTATCAAGTGCGGGTTCGCTGACGGTGTTCGTCATATGCAGACAGCGCCAAACCAATGCATCAACGACGCCCTTCTCACTCGCGCAGAAATACCTGCCACGCGAACTACTCCAGGAAATTCGCATGCCGCGGATTGCACCCAAGTCCAAGCGCCCCACAGCTCGGAAGAGAAGTAGAATGGAGATGGAGACGATCGAGGAGGAGGCGGAGGAGTGAAGGGGCCTAGGGTGTTCATGGGTCTACCAAAGGGGAGCACTATTCCCCTTTGTACTATGGCCCATTTTGCGTCTATTGCGTGCTGTCAAGAAGTCTACCACTCCCTACTCTGGCGAACACGGCGCGCAACGCCACGAGTGGGCTTCTTGATGACCATCCAAAGCATGATGGATGTTGCAGCGGAAAGGGCGTACCTGGGCAGTTTATTAGTCTCTTGTCCTGCCTTTCGTTTACATATGATACCCGTGGAAAGGCATAAGGTAACAAATTATGAGTGCTGATTGGGATCTGATACATACCATGTGAAGATATACTGCGTGTGGTTGTTGCGAATATTGACTTCCGCCGCCCGACCCTGGGGAATGCCCTTGGCCGCCCGGTCCATAGACAAAATAAGGTCCGGCTCTGTTCAAAGGACTCAGTATCAGCCTTCAAGAATGTCAGACAAGGAAAAGGCATTCCCGCGAATTTGCCAAAGTCTTCATAAGAATTGGGGAGAAGTGAGAGTTGGACATACTCATAGTCTCTTCAATCCACACCGGTTGCGTGCCCGCCCACTCGGCCATCTCGGAGACGTCCGGGAAATACCACACGCCCTGCTCGGGCCTGTTTTCGGGCGTGAACCTATTCTTCTTCCACGGCTGGCGCAGCAAGCCCTGCACCGTGACCTCGCCCCGCGGCAGCGCCGCGGGATCCCTATCCTTCTTCAGCTTCTTGTCCTTGGGGATCCAGCCCCGGTTGACCAGTATCGCCGCCGTCTGGCCCTGCTGCTTCCCGTCCTCGCCGGGGCGCTCGAGCGGCGTCACGACCAGGTAGCCGTCGTCGCCGTCGTTGAGGCGCGGGCCGATGAGCATCTCCTTGCTGTGGTTCAGCACGCCCGTCGCGTGGACGCGGCGGTAGTCGAAGTCGGCGATGGCGTCCGGGTCGATGCGCGGCGGCAGCGGCAGCGGCGGCTGGATCAGCCGGTCCTCCAGCCGCGCGAGCAGGTCCGTCTTCCAGCCCAGTCGCTGCACCTGCCAGGTCCCGAGCGCGAAGGCGGTGATGGGGATGAGTGCTGTGTGGCAAGGTTGCCAATCGTCAGCGCCAATGCAGATCCGATGTGCTGTGAGGAGGGAAAGCAGGAACAAGCGTCGTGTAGACCCGTCATGATATCGTCGCGAGAGGGACCGGTGCGGGTGGTACCTAGAATGATCAGGCCGGGCCCATGCCTCCGTCCGGTCTTGACCAGTTGCGCCGGTTGGTCAACGATGGAGGTGAAGCTGGGGTCGTCGCCGGGCTGTGGGCCGGGCTGCGAGCTCTGGAAGCGGCGTTGGTGTAGCTGCAGCGGCCTTTTCCGCGCCGTGCATTGCGGGCAGCGCCATTGAGGGCGCCGCGATGTCGATTCGGACAGATTGCGCAGGCCGGTGCTTACGGGCCGCAGGAATTGGCGCAGCAGCGGCTGCGCGTTCATGGCGGGCTACGGGGAGAAAGTTGTGGATTGCGGCGGAGAAGGTTGTAAGAGCAGTTGCTTGGTGTTGGCGGAGCCGTGATCTTCACGGCGTAGGGCTGAATGTTCTAGCGCCGAAACGTCATGGGTCGGGGTCCCTGCTTCTGCTGTCCGTCGGCCCTCCTTCGCCGCAAGCTACCCGGTGCAGCTTCATCAAAGTTCCTAAGAGATGGCTGAAACGCTCCCAACTCCGAGGGCCACGCCGGAGGTGCAGGACAAGGTTGTCGCCGACAGTGCGAGGAACAGCCTGGAAGCAACGCTCGACGAGCTGCTGAAACGCTACCTTCTCCTCCTCGACCAATACTCTCAGGCTCGTCAGCAGCTTTCATCCGAGCTCTCCTCCGTACGTCCCCTTCATCATATCGGGGTAGGTGACGGAACAATTGCTTATAGGGACCTCGCAGGGCTATCTCTCTCTCGCACAAGCAAACTTCAACCCTTCCAGCCGTATCCGTTATGGTCAAGACTTCTACGACGAGCGCATGCAGGCGCTGAGGCAGGTGTACGGAATTGGTTCTATTAGCTAGTTCGCGAGCTTTCTTTTACTGACACAAGAACATCAGAACCACCGAAGAAACAGACTCCAAGCTATACAGGTCAATTCGCCTACTTGATCCTCCCAATGAACCGACAGCCGATGAGAAGAAGACGAAGGATACCGCCGTGCCTACAGACAAGAACAAAGAAGGCACAGAAATCAACGCCAACGACGACGTTTCCGCCTCGGTCGCCCAGCTTAGCCTTGATCACGAAGTGGAAGATGAGTCGAAGTCCCGACAGGTACATCCGGGAAGCAAACCCGGCGAATCAGATTTGGGACGTGATGGAGAGAAGACGGAGAACTTTGATGAAGCCCAAGAGAAGGAAGGAGCGAGCAGAAAACCTCGAGTAGACGATCCCATCCGCTGGTTTGGTATCCTCGTTCCGCCTGCCTTGCGCAACGCCCAGGGCCGCTTCATACAAGCTGTCGAGGGCCCGGTCCCGAAGCTTGTGAATGTGGCAGCGGGGATGAGGGAGCTGGAGATTGAGATTGGACGGGCGAGGAAGGCAATCAGGAAGAGTGCAAGTTAAGTGGAAGCGCGAGTCGAGATGCCACTTCAAGGAGGGCATTTGAGTGCACCGATTTTGCCATTGCCTATCGAATTCTACACTTGGCTGTGGTGAAGACAGAGTGGTTCAACTGGTCATGCGTGGTAATTGTGAAATATATGATTGAAACAGCAGGTATTCAATTCCTTATTTGACCCTACACTGTTGCAGCTTTTCGTCTATTCATCAAGCTCAGCTCCGTACCACCACCTGTGCCTGAGCCAAATTGGTCCTTCTCGAAACGATTTCACCCAGCACTTCAGTAACCAGCTCCGCTTTCCGCCCCCTTGTTACCCTCTCCCACAATGCCGTCCGCACCAACAGCCTCCCTCGCCTCCTTCATGATGGTCACACCAGAACTCGCCCCGATCCTCTCGGCACCCGCCAGCAGCATCTCCCTCGCGCTCGCAAGGCCCCTGACGCCGCCGCTCGCCTTAACCCACATCCTGTCCCTGCCCTGTCCCTCGCCCCTGCCCACCGCCTTGATCGCCGCCACCATGGTCCGCACGTCCTCGACGCTTGCGCCGCGGCCGTTGAAGCCCGTCGACGTCTTGACGCAATCGATCCCGGCGAAAGCGGCGAGCGTCGTCGCGGCCACGACGTCGAACGGCTGCAGCTGCGACGTCTCGAGGATGAGCTTGATGGGCGTGTTGGCCGCGGCGCCGCGCAGCGTGGCCAGCTCGGTGAAGATTGCGCTGTAGGAGCGCGCGAGGAGCTGCGGGTAGTTGATGACGACGTCCAGCTCAGTGGCGCCGGCGGAAACGGCGGCGGTGGCCTCGCTGGGGATGGGGGCGTTAGTTTGGCGTCGGGTTGGTTTTGTCGATAGAGAAGGGATGAAAGACGGAAGCTTACTTCACTTTCTCCTCAGTCGTGTAGGTGCCTTCGTGGAAGCCGACGACACAGGCCACGCCGACGCCGGTGCCTTTGAGGTTGGAAATGGCGCGGGGCACCCATTTGAGGCGGACACAAACAGTCTGAGAGGCAAACTTCCTTTAGTCACCGTAAAAGCATGAGGTAGTAGGAAAAAACAGATACAAGGTCACGGCCAGCATAGGTTGGAGATACACTTATGCACTTGGATGCAGTGTAATCCGTATGCCTCTCATATGCTCGATTTTGAGAGCCTTATCAGCGACCAGATATGCAAACTCAAAAGGTGAATGGAGGTGTAGAGTTTTGCAAATCAAAGAGGCTTCCAAGATACTCCAGAGAGCAGGGAGTGCAATCTATAAGGGACGCTCCGAAAGATGACGATTGAGCAACAACACCTGCATTCGTGCTCTAGTTTCATGACAACAACATGGAATATGCAACAAAGCAAGGGAGGGGATGCAAGAACATGAGGAAGGAAATGTTCAACGTACTGCGAACTTGTCCTTCTTCGCCTCTTCGCACAGCGCATCAATCTGTGCATCTGTGGCGTCGAGCTTGAGCAGTGTGTGATCGACCGTCTTAGCCAGGCTCTCCAGCGTGAGTTTCGACACAGCTTCCTTTCCGCTAGATTGGTCGATCACCAGCTTGCTTTGGGTCTCCTCAGCCAGCTTGTGCCAGTCGGCATCGGTAGAGGGGACGGTCGAGAGAAGAGGCATGGCTGCTGGGATTTGGGCTGCCGTAAATGGTAAGTCTGGTCGGTGGGTACGTGCAAATGTTTGCAGATTGTGTGGCTGTTCGGCCAGGAGCGGTGCGGCTAGCTTCAAGAGTGGGATGGCGTGGGAAGAAAAAGTGGCTTGCGCGCGGGGAAAGGTGCTTTTAAAGCGGCCAGACGAGGGCGTTGATGATGCACCATTGGGGCAAGAGGGGAAGAAACCGAGACGCTGAGGACACGGAAAATGAGAAACACGGGCGCCGCAAAATACCCCATGCAGAAGGTGGGACCTGGGCACATGTGGCATTTGGCTGCAACGAGTTTAGCTGTGGGGTTGCCAAAGCGGAGATGGACAGTGGAGAGGAACCGGGCGGCGGTGGCCGCCGGTGGCCGCCGGCGGAGCCTGGGCGTCTCATTCGCTACGGCTTCACGCATCACTGTGCCACGGGTCATGAGCGAGTACAAACGCGCATCATTTGGTTGAGAAATTGAGTTACAAGAAAGACCGCGTGAGCATGTTGTAGGTATCCTCGATGCTACAAACGGGTCCTCACCTCCTGGCAGTGGAGGCTCATGCGAATGTCATCATCTCCCCTCCCAGCATGCGTTATACACAAATCAGAGAGGAAAAGGAAAGGGAAGGAGAGAGCTTCGACGCGCCAGAACCAGCAGCACACGCGGAGAAGAAGCGTAATCATGTCGCCAAGATATCCGGAACTCCTGATTTTGTTCGATCAGCCGCCGCCTTGCAGCGGTGCTGGCTTGCTTCGCATTCGGTAACCAGGATGGGTCCCTCTTCTATCCTGCAAGGTGATTCCGTGTGGTTTCTAACACGCCATTTTTTGAAAGTCCATGAATTTCGTGTCCCTTGTCGAAGCAACCGCCACCGCCGTAGATTTTTCACAACACGTCCTGCACCGCCACCAGCTCGTCGCGGCGAGTGATTTACTTCCTCCTGAAAGAGCAGCCCTCAGTAAGACGGGCCTTGCCACCGGTGGGCTGGCACAGGACCTGCGAGCAGCCCTGGCAAACGACGACGGTCTGGGCGTGCGAGAAAACGGTGGTGATGGTGAAGCAACCAGGGCACTTCACGTCCATGAAGAAGGAGCGGGGGCCCGGGACAAGAGTCTTGGAAAGGTCAGCCGGTGTCCAGCGTGCAGTAGACTACAGGATGCCAACCTTGAGCTTGTGCTTGCGGGCCTCGGCCGCGGGAGTGGGGTTGAGAAGGTCAACGGCGAGAACCTGTAGGCGAAAAAGAGTCAGCACCGGCCTCCGGGCATGTCCGTGTTGCGCCGCCGCAAATGGCCCCAATGGGCTCAGGCCGGTCGAGTGTCGTCCCCATCGCAGAAGCAAACGCGTATTGTCGAGGCCGGTCGCGGGTAGTGTCGATGTCGTGTGCTTCGTGCAGCGGGTCGATTCGCCACCGTCTCCTCCTCTTGCGGGCGCGGCTGGAGGGTCAGGCTCACCATCTTGACTGTTGTCGAGGATCACTAGGATGCTGTTCCTTTGGCTGGTCGGCACGGAGGCGTGTGGAGATGGAAGCAGCGGGTGCAGGTGATAGTCGATGGGATTCCGGAGGAGAAAAGAGACGAGAAAAGCGCAGGTAAACGGCCGAAACTGGGTGGTGCGAATGCGCTCGCCTCTTTTCCCGCTTTGGGTCACTAGCGTCAAAAAGTCCAAGATGCGCTGCCTCGCACTTCCCCGTCTCCTTGCACCACCACGCCACCGAGCAAAGGCAGCATGCAGATTCTTCGTTGACGTTCTCGCTGCTGCGACGTGGTTCTTTTGCCATGCAGTTTGTCAAGGACTAATCTGGCCATCTCCACCGACAAATCGCCTTCAGGAGAGGCGCAGACTCGCCATCCCGTGACTGGCAACGCTCGGACTGCGCTCTCGACCATCTTCAACTTTGCTTGTGCATATTCTGCCTCGGACCATTCCATGAGGCTGCCAATGCTGCCTTCGGAATAAAATGTTGGTTCATGTGTTAATACAGCACTATATGCACTTGCAGCGCCTGCAATTGGCTCTTGAGGCGCTGCTAATTTCAGGTTGACTCGTGGCCACACCTTGATGGATTGAAATTCGCACCAAGCAACACCCTGCCTATGCCCGGCAGAAAACATTTCAATTTTGCCCCAGGGTCGTTTCCTTCGTCTTGATCGGCCAGGCTGCATGCTGAGAGTGGGAGGGCCACCACCTGCACCGACCGGGGCAATTCACCGCCTTTGCGCCCCAGAATGATACGGCAATGGGAAAGTCTGGACTCGGCCTTACCATTGCCCCAGTTGCACCTATTAGGACTTTGAGATCCTTCAAAGTCTCACTTGGCACCTCGGTGATGTAAAAATCCGCAGCCTCCCCGACCCCGCCGATGATTCATGAAGCCATTGCTAGGAGTCGTGGCAGCGAGCGCCTAGCGCAGCGTCCCCAGGAAGGCCGAGGAGCCGAAGGAATCGGCCAAGAGGCCATCAGTCCCATGTTCTGCTGTTGTCCTCGCATTCTCGCCAGATGATTTCGTTCTCCGCAGCAATATACAGTACTCAAGATCCATAGGTGAATGGTGCAGAGACCGAGAAGCTTGTTGTGTTCAATAGCCCTTGAGAATCATTGTGCCGCTACGCGCTACCTTCCTTCTCTTAAGATGCATGAGACGCCTTCGTGACAAGTTTCAACACCCCTTCATAGACAGTACCTACTGGTCAAGCCCTTGTGCGTGGTCTCGGTTCCCTGGACAGCGTGCAAATCCGAGGGCTTTGATTCGACATGGCGCACTTCCCTGTACGCATCTTGAGGGGCGGCGGCGGCAAGCATCCGTGCGCCGCGCATCTCGGCTCCCGGAGCTTCTCCAATATTTTGCCAACGCCCTGCCCTTCACCTCGGCCACTCGCTCTTCCACGCCAATCCTTCCCCTTCCATCCGCCAACCGACCGTTTTCCAACATCAACAACAACAACAGCAACAACACTACCACCATCAATCATGCCTCGCCAGTCCCGTGGTTCCGCTCCCGCCCGTCGCTCGGCCCCCGCTCCGGCGCCTTCCAGGCCCGCTGTTGCGCCTCCGCAGCCGCCGCACCAGCAGGCCCGTCCTGCCTCCACCGCCGCTCACCCCCCGGCCCCTCAGCAGGGCCAGCCTCCGATGCAGGCTCCTCAGTCGCAGGGCCCCGGCCTTTTCGGGCAGATGGCTAGCACCGCCGCGTGAGTAGTCCCAACATTCCGAGAAAGAGTTTGCGAAAAGAGAAGCGAAGCGAGGGAGTTGCGCGATTGGGTTGGTGCCGCCACCGTCGCCGCTGCGATCAAGGTCAGCGCGACTCCATTGTGAAGCGCGCTTAGCCGAGAAACAAAGTGGCGCGGTGATGGCAACTCCGGCACTGCTTCCAAACGAGGGGACCCGGGTAGCGCGAAACCATACAATCAACCCAAAACGCTAACCAACGCTCCTACAGCGGTGTCGCCGTCGGTTCCTCCATCGGCCATGCCATCGGTGGCATGTTCGGCGGCGGCTCCTCCGCCCCGGCGGAGGCTCCTCAGCAGCAGACCGCCGTTGCCGATAGCTACAGCCAGCAGCAGAATCAGAGCTCTGGCGCATGCGCTCAGGACATCGGAAACTTCCGGAGGTGCATGGACGAGAACCAGGGCTCCCTGACCATCTGCGGCTGGTACCTCGACCAGCTGAAGGCCTGCCAGCAGGCCGCTAGCCAGTACTAAGCAAATGGGTGCGCATGGAGAGAAAGAAGAAGCGGACGATTCGGGGGGTGAAAACTTTGAGAGAAACTCAGCGGGGGATAATTGTATTGTGCCAAAAACCAGCCACCTAGAAGGCAAAAATCCCACTCTTGTTAATATTGCCATCATCCATCGGATTAATCTTTCTGCCTTGGAGATTGATTCGACGTGTATCTAAATACGAAAATCAGTGCGCATCGAATTCCTACGAACCTTTTTCTGCTCTCTTTTCCTTTAGCCAACTCACTCGTCTGAATCACTTAAGTATTGCTTATGGAATGTCGGCAGTCTACATTCAGCCAGCTGGAAACTTCCCATGCGGTTCACAAGGTAGTCAAATCTTGATCTATCTCATTCGCAGACTCAGCAAAGCTATCTACCGAGCCCCGAAACCAGGCCAAAGAACTAGAAAGGGGTCCAAATCTGATCGAAGGTCCAACTTCGTTCGCCACAAACTAGCAGCTTCTCATTGGCAGCTCTCCCTCGTCATTCTTGTAGTGTCTAGATCAAAGTTCAGCGAGAGATTAGCGATCATCATGTGGTATACATGGCAGAGCTATTAACTCAATGAGATAGCCAGCGCTTCTATCGGATATAAGGACTGCGCTTCCCACGTACAACAGTCTACCTATCGGAGAAACGCCGTGATGGTAGCATCCGCTTCCTCGATATGGTGTAGAGCATAGAGTCATGCATCTATCCTAGCTGAACCCCCCGTACTTCTTCTCTTTCACATTGTCCTTCGAAAGTGCTCACATAACTTTCAGACAGCCTCCAAGATGCGCCAGAGCGGGGACACAGTGAATGATATCGAGGCCGCGGGCAAGAACTAAACTTTCGTAGACAACTGTTCAAGAAATAGCGCAAGTTTACAAAGACTCATTGTCCGTGGAGAATGAGAAATGGCTGTTCGTTTCCGTGGCTCCAGACTGCAGGCGGCCGTTACCGCCAGGATCATGTCCAAAATAGGAAAGGGAAGTGGCTCTACCAGCGCGCACGCATCGGAACACCAAAAGGACGTTCCGACGGCAGGCCCGGCCAGTATTGGAAGAAGTGTTACCAGAAGTCGTCTTTATACTCGCTAGTTGTGTTTTTTCCCCCACTGGTCGACTCTGAGGTGATGCATGGCTTCCTTGAAGGTGCGACATATTTCACTCTGATCTGGCGGAATATTGCGCGACGTAGCTGGCGTGACGCGTTTGAATGATGCAGCCCGTGCCTACTTGGCAGATTGGACCAGGACCATGTAGGTGGGAGCGTAGCACTCAGGCGTGACTGGCCATTTCACTACGGCAGCCGCTGACGGCGAGTCGATATGTTCGAGCGACAAAGTTTTCGTACTTTGGACTACTGAATCGAGGTGTAAGGGCTCTTTCAGCATTACGCAACATATCCCAGATATCAATTGGAAGATTGAGAATATGCAATTCGTGTGGATATCGAGCGAATAGAAATTTTTGTTCCATATTACGGAACCACGCTCCATCGTGGAAAAACTAGCAATCCAGAAGGGTGGTAATGGAACCGGGGCACCTTTTTTGATTCGCATATCTAACTTTTTCGAATATGCCTCATGCCGGACACCATGCTTTGGTAAAATCCCATGCCCCAATTTCAGAAACCGAACCCGTTCGACCGACCTGCCGTCATGATTTTCGAGTAATTTACTCCTCGTCCTCCTCCTCGCCGGCATCGTCACCCTTGGCGGCAGCGGCGGCCTTCTTTCTCCTGACACGGCCGGGGCGACCACCGCCGAAGGGCGAGGTGAGAGCGAAGTCAATGTGCTTCTGGGAGTCGAGACGGACAACGAACGAGGGAACGTTGACGATCTGCTTGCCAACGCTGCGATGATGTCAGAACCGACAGAACCATCTGTAGAGAATACAAATTGTAGGTGCTTACCGGATGTGGCGCTGCTTGATCAGGACACGAGCGTGGTGGATGGACTTGGCGAGACCGAGCTTGTAGACGCAGGTCTGGAGACGGCGCTCCAAGAAATCCTCGACCTTGAGGGCCAGGACGTAATCGAGCTTCATGCGGGACTCGTCGAGGACACCGACACGGACGAGACGGCGAATCAGGGCGTTACCCTCGAAGAGACGCTTGGGGTCCTTCTCGTCGAGCGTGAGCAGCTGACTGCGCAATTGTTAGCTGAAAAATGTTCCATCTGGAGGTTCCGTAAACTTTTTCGCAGCGCACGTACCGGGCAGCACGACGGATCTTGGAGAGCGTGAGCTGGACGCGCCAGACCTCGCGCTTGTTGCGAAGACCATACTCGCCGACGATCTTCAGTTCAGAGTCCCTACCCAGCAGCCAATTAATCAACCATTCTCAACGACTTAAGCGGAGGAGCAAGCCTCGCTCAGTGGCCGTGAGGTGCAACGTACAGACGCGCGGACTCGAACGGGCGACGGGGGACCTTGTAGGTCTTGGAGTAACTCCTGGGGGCCATGGTTGCGTCTCGGAGTCGGAGGGCGGAAAGAGGCGGTGGTCGTCGTCGTTGTCGTGAGGCGGAAGACGATGGTCGCGATTGTGCGTTGTAGGTTTCGGCTGTAGGCTTGGCGTGGAACAATTATGGGCCGAAAGCCACTGGGATTTCGACGAAACTTCGCGACTTCCCTCGATAGCGCTTCCGAACTGCTCCCCTTCGCTCCGCCGCAACTGACCAAACCGCCAGCCACAACTCCTCCACAATGGGTCACTCCGCAGGTCTCCGCGCTGGCACCAGATATGCCTTCAGCCGCAACTTCAAGGAGCACGGCGCTATCAAGCTGTCCACCTACCTGAAGACCTACAAGTGAGCCGCGCAGCTCGTCCGCCATCGTGTGCGCCGCGTTTCTGACGCAATTGTGTAGGGTCGGTGACATTGTCGATGTCGTCGCAAACGGCGCCGTCCAGAAGGGGTCAGTCTAGCCCGCGGCAATTGGAACCAGGCAAGAGATTGGAAGTCTGACTTTTGCGCAGTATGCCCTACAAGGTCTACCACGGCAAGACCGGTGTCATCTACAACGTCACCAAGTCCGCGGTCGGTGTCATCCTCCACAGGCAGGTCGGCAACCGCTACATCGAGAAGCGCATCAACGTCCGCATCGAGCACGTCCGCCACTCCCGCTCCCGTGACGAGTTCATCAACCGTGTCAAGGAGAACGCCGCCAGGAGGAAGGCCGCCAAGGCCGAGGGCCAGAGCGTCCAGCTCAAGAGGCAGCCCGCTCTCCCCCGTGGCCCCAGGACCGTCAGCATGAAGGACAACCTTCCCGAGACCGTCACTCCCATCCCGTACGAGACCACGATCTAAGGAGGTGCAAGGGTTGAAGGGCGTGGTTGCAGTTGGGTCGGATACAGTATGGGCATGGCTCTGGCGCTGTTTACTTAGGGACATCACGGTTCAGTCCTGAAAAAAATTCAATATTCTGGATTCCCCACACAGCACTTTGATAGAGGTGAATATCGAAGAGCCGTTATATTTTTTATGGAATGGAGCTGCGCAAATCGCTGCGCCGATTGCCATTTTAGTCACTATCAAACCAATCCAGATGTGCCGGGACCATGCTCTCGCTGTTTGATTCATTCTATGCAGCAAGCCATATGAAAAGTTATCCGTCTCAAAACCACTTCGTCTGGTGTCTAAGAAATGCGAGGCTTGAACGCGAGCCTGTATTTGAGCCTGTGCAGCACATGGACCAGCTTACATACAATATTTAGATCACGAAATCGCAAGGCGCAGCGACGGTACTCGGCAAACTCGAAACAAACGGTGAACGAACATACAGTATAGCAGACAAGCAAAAGGGGGAAGAATGCCAACTCGAAAATGCATGTTGGCTTTTGCTGGTCTATGCAGGACGAAAGGTACGGACAGATCAAATAAAATAACAAGAACCTCCACCCAAACCCATATCGATAATTGTGACGTAGATGCCATGATCAGCGCCATGAAGTAGCCGAGTACGCCCTCAACTCCGATGGCCGACGCTTGAAGGTATCTGCCGGTGTAGAAATTAGAAGGAAATAAGTAGGGCGCCCGGTGCGCCCGATCGATCCACACCTTACATAACGACGCACTTCGCGTCGTTGTCCTTTGCGTTCTTGACAGAAAGGGCCACTCTTGCCGCCTCTGTGAAGGCCTCGTTGACACCTCTGTTCTTCATAGCGGAGCATTCTGAGTAGTAGTCGTCAGCAATCTCACGTGTTGCGTCGTAACACGGGTGGCGGCGAAAACGGAAAATCAGGCCATAATCATCGGGCCCAGTGTACGTGTGCCACTTACCGAGGTATCTCAACGCGCGAATCTTTTCTGCGACCTTGAGCCCTTGATCGTAGTTGATGAGTACCGGTTTCTCGCCTTGCTGTCCGTCCTCATCGTCGGCGTCGGTCTGTTCTCGGAGGTCGCACTTGAGTGCCACGAGCACGAGCTTCACACCGGGGCAGTTCTCCGCAATTTCGCCCACCCATTTGGTCTCGACGTTTTCCAAGGAGTCGGGCGAGTCGACCTGTCGCATTGAGGCATTAGTTGGAATGCGATAGGTTGTATGGCGTGATGGCACGTCCGTACGCTGAAGCAGAGCATTATAGCATGGGTGTCGTCATAGGATAGCGAGCGCAGCCGGTCGAATTCTTCTTGGCCGGCCGTATCCCAGAGGCTCAGCTCGACATGCACATTGTCGATGAAGATGTCTGGATGGGGCACCCTGTTAGAACGACGTCATCGTGCGGCCAACAAGGGCTGGCATTGTGGCTTATTTTTTACCATGTACATAGTTCTCTGTGTCTCGATGTTAGCGCGTGCGCAGGTCTGCCGTGAGAACTGAGTAAACCTACCGAAGACAGTTGGTTCGCTTTGTGGGGGGACTAGTTGTCAACGGGAGGTCCGGCGGGAAACAGTTGCGGCAGCTGAGACTCACTATACCGTTGGGAAGTACCTGTGTGAGTTGAAATCGATTAGCTCTCCGCACCGAGACCGGCAAGACAATTGACGAGGCGGCTCCGAGGATAGCGACCTCACCCTCTTGTAAACACATTTAGCAGCGATGTCTTTCCGCAAGCGCCATCGCCTCTGCAGTTCCCGGTGTCAGCACGCTGGCACTCGCGTTGTTCCCACTTGCACGCGCCCGCAGCGGGCCCGATCCCATCTTGGTCTGGTCATACGTACAGAAGCACGAGCTTCCGCTGTACAGTCTTGGTGCCGCCGCAGAGAGGCATATTCAGGAGCGTGGTGAGGAGGGCCGGAAATGAAGGAGAGACGGAGTCGGATGCGTGGCGTCGGACTTAGAGCATGCGATGCGCGCGCGAGCTGGTGTGAGGAGACGAGCCGGCTGTTGAGTCGGGTGTCGGGTCGATGCGAGGCGGCAGGCGTCGTGGGCGAGGACAGTGTTATGCGCGGTCAGGCTTCATAACCGGTTCAGAGCGTGAGAAGCGCGGCGGCCACAGCACTCAAGATTTGGGGGGTCGGCGGGAGGAAGCGCGGTGCAGCTGGAGGTAGGTGTATGATGGAGATCGATTAGAGATTCGCCCGAACGCCTAAATTAGCGCTGCGGCGAGATGGGGCTGCCGTACCAGCGAGCCGAAGACGGCTCTCCGTCTGCACAGCCAGGATCCATCCACCCATCACCAATAGAATACAAGGCGGACCGACTTGCGCACGGCTAGAATCGCGCTGGATTGCCAAGTGGCCATCAGCTGAGCTCATTCGCATCCTCTTCCTCGGACGTTGTTGCGAAATATGTCTATTACGTGGACTCAGCGCCGAGAGCTGTCGTGGCGCCCATGATGTCGTCCCTCGCTAAGAAAAACCCGGAGCATCTGCTACTTTTAGGGCCCTGTTGAGTACAAGGGCCATGCCTATTTGGGCTTTCTTCAAGGCCCAGTACCCCAATGAGCCAGAAGCCTTGACCAATTCCATACCCTAACCGCCGGCGCCGTCCATTTCAGGATTCCTATGCCTCACTGAAAACAGAAAGAAAAAAATGAGAGAGAACCATCCTCCACCCAGCGCAAGTTGCGCGTTCAGTAAGCCTCAAGCTTCTCGAGGCCTCCTCTAGACCTCTTCAGGCGCTCGCCCAAGCCAATGTTATCCTGCGCTTGACGATGCAGACCAGCAACGAACCGTCCCTTTTCCGAGCGCTTCTTGTCGTCTGCCAGACGTTCCTCCTCCTCTCTAGCTTCGATCGCAGCCAGTCGCTTCTTCCTGTCCTCTTCGAGACTCGACGCACTCGATTGCATGGCCGCGAGCTTCCTAGCACGCTCTTCGGAATCGTCTTTCGTTGGCTTGGGTGAATAGGATCGTTGCTGGAAGGTCCTTGGAGGTGGACCTCTGCGGCGATTAGGAGATGGTGAACGAGACGAGGCTGCCTTGGCACGATGGCTGTCTTTGCTGGAGTATTCGCGATCACGACGCTCATCACGCCTACGGTGCGTGTAAGGAGAACGAGATCGCGAACGCTCAGAGTCACGGCGCTTGTAGGAGTCCCGCTTGCGATCATGCTCTTCATCGCGTCGACGCTCACGTCCCTCGTCATAACGGCTCCGTCTGTGAGGAGATCGCGATCGTGACCGCGAACGAGAGTCGCGATGCTGGCGTGAGCGGTGGCTGTATCGTCTCTCGTCATCGTCATCTCTCCTGTGACGCTTGCTGCGATGCCTGCTCTCCTCGTCCCTGTGGCGGTGTTTCCGATGCTTTCGATCTCCCTCCGATGCCCCCCCTGTCTCCCTTAGAAGAGCGCGACGACGCACGGGGTCGTTCATCATAGTCTCCAGCGCTGCCTGCTCTTGCTGCCTGACCGCCGCCATGGGATCCATCGACGCCTTGGCAACGTTGTCGCGTGGGTTGCTCACGCTTGGTTGAGTGTCCATGAAAGTCTCCTGACCAGCATTCTTCTCCAGCTTTTTGGTTTCATCGTTCTTTATCAGGTTGTCGACCCGGCGCTGTGACTTGGTTAGCGGATTAACTGCACACTCATTAGAGATGCGACATACCTTGCCGAGTAGATAGCCCTCCATTTCTTCTGTGGTGCCATTCTGCCCGCTGGAAGGGCCTGAGTACATCCAGTCTACGCGGTTTAGCCTCTTCTTGCCGCCTGCGGCTTCTTGCATTTCCTGTAATTCCTGGATTGCGCGTTCTTCTGCACGTTCCTTCATCATCTGGTCGATACGCTTGCGCTCTTCCAGCGCCTTCTGTTCTTCCTCTACAAAGAGTTAGCACAATGCGCGGGTGCAGCCTTCATGCGATTCACTCACCCCATACTCGCCGCTGGTTGCTCATTAAGAGCGGATGCCAGCTCTTCTTCAAGTTGAGATCTCCTCCCATGTTGGCGGTATTACAGAGAGAGCCTGTTGCGAGTCGATGTTCAAAAAAGCAGTCGTTCGGGGGGATGCCGTCGAAAGGGCTGGCTGAGAAGTGACCAGGGTCGGAGGCGGCGGCTTCGGCAGGACGCTGTCGTGGAAGTCCTCAAGATCGAATGCGCGTGTATGGTTGAGTTGGAAGAGCGAGCGCGTTGTGGCAGTCCAGGGCGGGAGTGGTAGGTGTTGGTTGTTTCCTGGAGCGGCGGCGGCGGTCGGGCAAAAGCCCAAGGAATCATCGCCGCAAGTGGCGGGGCGTGTCCGTGCGCACGTAGCTCCCCGGACCTGGCACGGCTGCAAGGCAACACCACAGCTTCATAGCTACTGCGTGAACCTTCCTTTGCGCCATCTTACCCGTCCAAGTCGCGACCTTTCTCCAACTATCAGCGCTTGGGCTCAGCGCGCCTCCAGCTACTCCCCCAAATTCAAACCAACCAGCGCCATGTCTTCCGACGATGATTTCATGCAAGAGTCGGACCAGGAAGAGTGAGCTTGCCCCCGCCGCCTACACCCTAATTCCAGATCTCGCTGACAACCCGCTAGCTATGACTTCGAATACGAGGATGACGACGACGAGCAGACCGGCGATGTCGATATCGAAAACAAGTACTACGGCGCGAAGCAGATGAAGGCCGATAACCCTGAGGATGCCATAGAAGAGTTCTTGGGTGTTCCCGCGCTGGAGGAGGAGAAGGGCGATTGGTAGGCATCCGCCGTAAGCCCCACCTGCTTGGAGCCTGGGTTAACACAGTGTAGGGGTTTCAAAGGCCTTAAGCAAGCCATCAAGCTCGAGTTCAAGCTCGCCAAGTACGCCGATGTCAGTACTCACGTTTTGGAACCATGCATTTATTCCGGCAAGTATGGACTTCACACTGATTTCGAAAGAAATAGGCTGTCGAGCATTACAAGGAGCTGCTCACATACGTCAAATCGGCTGTCACGCGCAATTACTCGGAGAAGTCAATCAACAACATGCTGGACTTCATCGAGAAGGCCGCAGAGGATGATGAGGCGTACCGCTGCATGGAAAAATTCTATGCGCTCACACTCGAATCCTTCCAGAGCACCAACAATGAGCGGCTGTGGCTGAAGACGAACATCAAGCTGGCCAAGCTGTGGCTGGAGCGTAAGGACTACCGTCAGCTGACTGAGAAGCTACGAGAGCTTCACAAGGCATGTCAAATGGGCGATGGCTCGGACGACCCGACCAAGGGAACGTATTCATTGGAAGTCTACTCGCTTGAGATTCTGATGTACGCTGAGACGAGGAACAACAAGCGGCTCAAGGTCGGTTTGACGTGTCCAATTCATGCGGAACGAGACAGGTTTCTGACGCGCGTGTACAGGCACTGTACCAGCGTGCGCTGAAGGTGCGCTCAGCAGTCCCTCACCCGAAGATCATGGGAATCATCCGCGAATGCGGTGGCAAGATGCACATGAGCGAAGGTACGACCTCACGTAAGCGGCCTCATCTCGACTGCAGCTGACCTTGAGACAGAGAACTGGAAGGAAGCGCAGAGCGACTTCTTCGAGAGCTTCCGCAACTACGACGAGGCCGGATCGCTGCAGCGGATCCAGGTCCTTAAATACCTTGTGCTCACGACGATGCTCATGGGGTCGGACATCAACCCCTTCGACTCGCAGGAGACCAAGCCGTACAAGAACGACCCACGCATAGCGGCAATGACGGACCTGGTAGATGCGTACCAGAGGGACGACATCCACGGCTACGAGAAGATCCTGCAGAACAACAAGGACCTCCTTGCTGACCCATTCATTGCCGAAAACATCGACGAAGTGACGCGTAACATGCGCACCAAGGCGGTCCTCAAGCTCGTAGCGCCGTACACGCGGTTCACGCTTGGTTTCATCTCAAGGCAGCTCAAGATCTCGCTACCAGAAGTGCAAGACATAGTGGGCTTCCTTATCGTGGATAAGAAGCTACGCGGGAAGATCAACCAACAGAACGGCACGGTGGAGATCGAGAGTAGCACAGACAGGGACCGGGTGCATGCGATGCAGGAGTGGACGGCAGCGATAGGGTCTCTCTGGGCGACGGTACTGAACGAGGGCGAGGGCTTCCGGTCGGAAGAAGCTTCGCAGTTCCAGGCGAGCACGGGAGCACAGGGCCTATCGGATCTTGGGGGACGCCATGGACCCAGCGCAAAGCTCGGCCGCGGGACGAAGGGCAAGGGTTTCTCGGGAAGACTGCCGGGAGCTGGGTTGAGGTAATGACTTGCAGCGGTGGCCTGCAAGCCCTTGTGCGAGGGGGGGGGGGGGGGGGGGGGG